CTCTTTTCACCAACAGGTGTGCGACATTTTTTGCAACCATTAAATGAGCAATAAGTTACTTGCCACAACCTTCGATATTGTGGCTGCATAAGTTTATGCATAAACTATTTATGTGTCCAGTTAAGAAAGGTGATCCTCCTCTCTTCTTTGTCAACGGGTGTGTGCGACATTTTTTGCAACCATAAGCTACTCACAAAATAAGCGCAATTTCATAATAAGTAATTTGCCACAACCTTCGATATTGTGGTTTATAAGTTTATGTAAGTTACGGAGTTAATGCATGAATTATACGTGTCCCGCTTGTAAAGGTGATCCTCCTCTTGTCTTTATCAACGGGTGTGCGACATTTTTTGCAACCATAAGCTACTCACAAAAAAAAAGCGCAATTTAATAATAAATAAGTAATTTGCCACAACCTTCGATATTGTGGTTGTATAAGTTTATGCATGTTACGGAGTTAATGCATGGACTATATGTATGATATACATATGGTTATGCATGACATATCGGATCGGTTATTGATTTTCTGTTTGTTCCAAATGGCTTGAATAATTCCAAAAAAAGGCTTCATGTGCTACTTCTTCTTTCTGAGAGGTCAATACCTATTCCAATCCATGAGGAACGCCTTAGCAATTTATGAAGATACAAAGAGAGACAGCGCTTGTTTTCTGGGCATTAAAAGTTACAAATTTGTGCATTTTTGTTTGTAAACTTCGTAGACATGTTACCAAAAAATGCGATTTCACCCAATTTTCGGTTTGTCATATTCCCCTCGATACCCACGAACGAAGTTACTTAGAAGAAATATTTTTTATTGTTTTAGTAGATGTATGGACATAAATAAAGAGGTAAAACCATGTCCCGAATATCTCTTTTGCACTTGTCTATGATCACCACTACTTAATCTAAATCGCCGTTATCAAGTAAAGTAAACAATGCTCCTAATACCTTTTCAGGATCAGCTCTAAGTCCATTATGGAAATGTTCACTCGTGATATATTGTTTCAAATTTCCATTGTTGTTGAATGCACGTTTCTTAGCTTCCCTACTTAAACCAAAATCAACATATTGATCATCGAAATATGTGGCAGCAACAACAGGAACTTTGTTCCAGTCAACAGTCTTCAAATGCTCAACATCATACAAGCGGCTCCATTTTGTATTTTGATGTAATCGATCAGCCAAGTTTTTGAACTTACGTAATTCACTATAATCTTCAAACATAGATTTATAAACCATTTCACCCGTGAAATAGACTTCATGGTCATTCTTGATAAATTTCTCATTACCTTCGATGTTTCTTAATCTGTTGGCACCCCAATTTGTTGGCAGTTCGATATTACCATCACAATAAATGGCTTCTTGAAACAACGCATAGATAACATTGGTATCAAATCCCAATTCGTTTTGGATGGTATTAAGGATTTGATAAGTTGGTTGTCCAAATTGGAGATCATAATAGAATTTCGTGACAATTTCATGTAATCTATCAGTACCTCCAGTTGCACCAAATATTAATCCCAATTGTTGGAATCTTTCTACGGATAAAATACCTTCATTGGGTAATATAACCCTAGTGGTGGAAAGATATTGACAAATAGCAGCTACCTTAGCTTTATCTTGCGGGAATTTATTATAATAATGAACATTCCTCTCTTTTGTCCGTTCATAAGTTGCTTGATAAATCTCATCAACACTAAACCCAATAGGTGGAATTCCTCCCGTGATTAAAACCTCCTTTAAAGATTGTGAATATTTGGAAAGATAAGCAAAAGTAATAAATCCACCATATGATTGTCCCAAGAGAGACCATTTCTGATTTGGAATCAATTCCTTACGAATAACCTCCAAATCTTCTACAATACTATCAGCCCGGAAATTTAAGATATATTCAAGTTGATTCTCGACGGAATAATCGTCGTTGTAGCGTTTCCGGACCAATTCCTCAAAGGAATCACCTTCAATGGGAGTACTTAATCCAGTACCTCTTTGGTCAAGGAATACAATCTGATATCCCCTTTCCAAGAGTACTTTCTCCTTACCTGAGTTGGAAGTGGGTACTTGACAAGGATATCCGGGACCTCCTTGGAGATAAACAATCAATTTTGGGTTCTGGGGGAGAACTATCTTGTCCAAAGCGGCTGCAGATCCTGATTGGAAGAGTGATTCATCATATTTTTGAGTAATGTTGATAGCTACTTTAATTGTAGTCAGATCTTTGCTGTTGTTGTATTGTAATGGTACTTCGAAACAAACCCTTTGATTGACAATTCCTTTAGTCTGGAACAGATCAATTATCTCGTAGTTTACCATTGTGTCTATCTGTCTATCTGTCTATGTAGTAATGATTGTCGAAGGAAGAGATCTAGGGGTTTCTTTGAATAAAAATGTGAGGAATTGGGAGGATATTGGTAACCGGATGGGGAGTTGGAGATAACCTGCAAGTGCCGTATCCTTGGGGGGATAATCTGCAAAAATTCTGGTTTGATCTAATCTGTAAAATCCTAACCTGTATTTTTGTTCTGGCGTGTTTGAATCAAATTCGGACGCGTCTCATTCCTCATATTTTTTTCTTTCAAATAAACAAAAACACATTAACTCTTCCCCTTCCTTACTCTATAAGTTAACAACAACAAGCAAATGACCAATCGATCTCAAGATCCCACATTACAGTTTAACAAACTGTTAGTCCCCAGTGTTAAAGATCCAATTTCCAATAAAGAATTATTATATCGACTTCAAACTCTTAATGATGAACTTAGTACCCTTGATACTGTTGATCTTAAAAGTTTACAACCAATTCAAACAGCATTAATCAATAAGAAATTATTATCGCATACAAATGTTGGAGTACAAATCTATGCCTGTAGTTGTGTTGCTGATATCTTAAGACTAAGTGCTCCTGATGCTCCATATACTGCTGAACAATTATCTGAGATTTTTAAGGCTTTTATTCGACAATTTAAACGATTAGGGGATAGGAAGAATTCTCATTTTCAACAACATTGTTATTTGTTGAAGAGGTTGGTGGAAGCGAAATCTATGGTTTTGATTACTGATGTTCCTGATTCTGAAGTTTTAATTGAATCTATTTTTGAAACATTTTATGGGTTGACTAAAGCAAACGAATTCCCTACAGAATTGGAGAATTTGATTAGTGATATTCTTTCTGAAGTTGTATCTGAAGCTGATATTGTACCTCACAATGTCGTTAAATCGATATTGAATAAATTCTTAATTCATGAACCAAATAAATTAGTCAATGGACATATTTCAAGTCCAGCATTTAATTTTTCATTGGCTATATGTGAAAGTAATATTGATAGAATGTCTCGTTTGGTTGCACAATACTTTTCAGAAATCTTGTATGATAGTTCAGTCGCGACAGAAGAAGATGAAGAAGAAAAGATCCGCAACTCTTCCAAAAGTATGGAAAACTTGAAAATGATCCATCGACTCTGTGTTCAACTTTGGAGATTTATACCCCAGATCTTAACTTCAGTAATGACTCTTATTGATGATGAATTGAACGCCGATGACGAGAAGATCCGAATAATGGCCACGGAAACGATTGGTGACATGTTGAGTTGTTCAGATGCAAAGGCCAACTTCTTTGTGGTAAATCAACAAACTTGGACTAATTGGTTAAAGAAAACTTCTGACATCTCACCGGATGTAAGAGCAAGTTGGATAAAGAAATTCGCTCCAATCATATCCTCAAATATATATACTACCACTGAGGTTAATCTGGCTTTCTCTACTTGTTTGAAGAAGTGCCTTCTTGATACTGAAGAAAAAGTCAGAGCGACTGCAATTTCCAGTCTTGAACAGGTCCCATTGCCAAAATTAACGGCTAATGTCATTAATACCAGTGTTTTGCAAACTTTGTTCCAATTGATTAGAGAAAGAAGTCACGCCATAAGAAATAGCGCCATTAGATTGTTAGGTTCACTTTATGATTATTACGAGAAGCATTTAGAGGATAATGGAAATGAAATTACGTTTTCAAATGACGAAGAAAGTAAAGAATTGGATAAAATAATCAAAACTATACCTAATCAAATTTTATCTCTTGTTTATATTAATGACAAGGATATAACTGCTATTGTTGACTTATGTCTCTTTGATTATTTGGCACCAATTTCTGAAAATGATTCAACAAAGAGAGTTAATCGATTACTTAGACTTTATTCTGGTTTGGATGAAAAGGGAAAAGAATCTTTCGTGGCAATTAATAAGAGACAACAACAAGTGTCTAAAGTATTGACTACATTTTTGGAGATTGCCGACACTTATAATAAACAAGTCTCCATTACAGATAACAAAGAAAACAATGAAGGTAATGCCATGGAACAGAAGAGTACATTAGTGAAGTTGGATAAAATAATCAATTGGTTTTGTGTTTCGTTTCCAGAAGGACATTCCACATTTGCATGTCTTGAACGTTTATTCAAATTGAATAGATCTCGATTCATGTATTTGATAAGAATGTGTATTTCTCCAGAATCTGACTTTAATACTGTTAAGAATTCAATGAAGGAATTGTTTAAGAAATTGAGTGAACCTAAGAATATAAGATTAGAAGGAGATAGAACTATGATAAACACCCTGGAGATGGTTTATAACATTAAGCTTTTGTTATTAAGGTCTTCTGTTTTGTTATATAACAAATCCAACGTGGTTGAATTAATCAAATGTTCCAAAGATTTGACAAATCAATATAATCCAGTCTCAAATGAATTGCTTCAACAAATTTCATTGGCTATTCCCGATGTGTTCAAATTTCATGTGAGAGAATTAACCAGTTTAATAATTGAACAAAGACAAGATGGCGGCCCCAAATCAAACACTTTGAAAACCATCTATCATTTTGTCAAGAAATATCCTGACTTATTCCCCCGTGCAATTTCATTCTGTGAAGCATTGAAAAAGATTGCCATAGATGGAACCCCAAGGGAAGCACGATATGCAGTAAAGATTTTGGGATTAAGTGAATCTAAAGAACTGCTTGCTTCAGAAGTATTTGAGCAAATCTATCCATTGGATCTTGAGCATGAAAAATTTGCTACTCATTTGAGTACTATTGCTGAGTTGTTTGTTGTTGACCGCTTATGTGTGACTAGATATGAAGAGGATATAACTGCGCTTATTGTCAAGGAGATATTCTTAAAGAATAGAGGTATTAATCGAGATGAAATTAAGGATGATCAAACTTGGATTGCTGAGGATGAACTAGATGATAATTATAAATTATATTCAACCTTATATGAGAAGCTACTTGCAATCAGATTACTCACGAATAGTTTGAAAGGGTTCCAAGAAGAAAATATGACTTCCGAAGAAAAAGAAGAAGCTAAGAGTAAAGCCCAACCTGTTATCAAGTTATTAATGTCATATGTGGGTAATAATGGAGAAATCATCAAAAAGGGATCTGCAACATATCCTACTCCAGAACCATTCAAGCTGAAATTAAGATTATCCGCCGGATTGTATCTTTTGAAATTAGCCCAAATCCCAGTCTTTAGTGAAACATTACTATCAGCCAGTCTTAGAAGAATGACATTTTTATTAAATGATGATAATTATGATGTTAGGTCTAGATTTATGATTAGTTTACAAAGAAAACTTTCGAATGAACTTATTTCTGAAAGATTTTTGGCACTTTTATTCTTTGCCAGTTTTGAGCCAACTCCGGAATTGAAGAATAATGCTACGATATCGATTACTTCTGCTTTCAAACGTCTGGAGGCCAAGAAGAATATCAAGTTTGAGAGATCATTGGTTAGATTGATTCACATATTGGCCCATCATGAGCAATACCTCGCTTTAAGTCAGGCTAATAGAGGTAACGATGAAAGTAAGACTAATGCCTACAAGTTTGCCACTATCTGTTTAACTTATTTCGTGACGTTGATTGCAAAGTCCGATAGTATTTCATTGTTGTACTATTTAGCCAGCAGGATCAAACAACATCGAGATGCCACACTTGCTACATCCATGTATGAAGAAGATGAATTATCGGAAACTGTATTGAATTTATATAGAATTTCAGAATTGGCTCAGTTGGTAATTAAGGAGTATAGCGATTATAAGAATTGGCCCATTCAAACTTGGCAAGGTAAGATCAAGTTGCCTACTGATATATATGCTCCTATGGCATCTCCTAAAGAAGCACAATCGATTGTGGCCAGGGTTTTCATTCCTGAAGAGATTCAAATCAAGCTTATAAATTTCATAAGGAAGACTTTGAATGTTGGGAATAAAAGAAAGTTGTTACCAACTGAGAATTCGGGGCATACTTCAAAGAAACAAAAAATCAAACCAGTGGTGGTCAAGAAACAAAGCAAACCAAAGGAAAAGTCAGAAAAGGTTGTTGTTCGTAAAAAGAGTGTGAGAACAAGAGGGAAAGTGAATTATGAAGAGAGAAGTTCAGATTCAGAAAGTGATGTTGATTACGAAGAGTGATTTAATTGAAGTATATATTAGTGTATTTTTTACTATTGTTATGTAGATGTAATTTAAGGATCCATTTCGGCAATACTGTTGAGTTTCCCAGTTTCTGACCAATCGTCACCAAATGTGCTAAATCTAGTTGCAGAAGGAAACTTCCTATCTGCAACCAGTAAGATTAAGTCTTGAGAAATAAGTGACATCAATTTAGCACCCTGTCTTCCATATTTTTGTAAAAATTGAACAGCAGCAGCTTCCCACCAACTACATAAAAGTGAAAAATGGGTATTCATTAGTAGTTGACGATTTGTGTTTGCAATTCTGGCCAAGAAGTGCCAAGATGCTTCAAAAGAATAATGTGGAAGTTGTTGATAATCAGTCAAACGAGTCATCACTGCCCATAGAGTGCATATCCCGGAAACTCTTTCATCATATGCTGCAGAATCTTCCCATTTATCATCTTTCTTTTTCCAACCCATTTGTTGACGTCCTTCTTCTGTGTCAATCAGACGAGTATATCCAATTATACATGGGCATTTCTTGACAAATCTTGCTGTAAGAAAATAATCAAATTCTGGGAAAGTTGTCAATAAAGTATATGTTAGTTTTGCTAATGGTATTGCTGAAGCAGAGCGGACTATAATTTCCGTCTCTGCTTGATCTATTATTGCCTTAGCAATAAAATTTAAGACCCATTTATATGCGAGATCAATATTCTTTGTCATCTGCACCATTTCTACTACTTCATTGCTTACTTTTCTACATTGTCTTAAGGACTTTGAAAGCTGTCCGAATTTGGGGTTCATTTTTCTTCTAAAAGCATTCACATTCTTCTTTAATTCTTTATTTGAATTTACCTTTTCCACTATATCCTTCTTGATATCAGCAATATCTTTTTTATATTTCCAAAATTCCTTCTCAATCCTACCAAAATCAGTCAATGATTCAGTTTGCTTTTGTTTTTGTAATTCTGCTTTCCTCTTCAATTCTTCCTGTTGTTGTTTCTTCTGTTGTAATTCCAACTGTTTCCGTTTTTCTTCTTCTTCTTTAGCTTTGCGTCTAGCTTCTTCTTCCTTTCGTTTCTTTTCTTCTTCTTCACGACGTTTACGTGCTTCTTCTTCTCGGCGCTTTCGTTCTTCTTCTTCTCTACGTCTTCGTTCTTCCTCCTCTTGACGTCTTCGTTCCTCCTCTCGACGTATTCTCTCCTTTTCAACAAATATCACTCTTTGAATATGTTCATTCTGTACCTTTAGATTATTCAGTGTTTTATCAACCAATGATGCAATATTAACTTCTGCTTTTTTATTATGTAAATTAACCTTTTCCGTAAGTAGCGCTCTTCTATTAGTCTCTTCCATTTCTTTCATCTGGATTAATTGTGTAGCATAATCCTCAATTGCATCGTATACTTGTGAAAATTGAAATGCAATTGGTGATGCCGCCCTTTGTGGGATTAATTGAGATATTTGAACATGTTGAATCAATTCATTGGGAGTTGTTGTTGCTTGTATACTTGGAATGGGATGTGGGTGAGTATCAACGTATATCTCAAAGTCATCTGGAAGACCGAATCTCATTTCTTTGTATGTTCTTGCTACTTATAAACGTTGGTAATAGATGATGAAGTATGATTTAAAGATATGAAGAAAATGAATAAACATAGATGCGATTATTTAGTTAGTGATGTAATTTACACCAAAGAATTTAATTCTAAGAGTAAATTTGAGTATTCAATAATTTTGTTTCACATCAAACAAAAATTTTTCAGAGGATTTTTGATTTGATAAATTTATCCTGACGACAGAAGACACAGTGTCAGGTAATTCTACTACTATGAGCAAAGCATTCATTCGTCAGTTCTCCCGTTCTGCACCAGTGCTGGGAAAGGGTTATTCAACTGTCCATCCTGTCCATCATTTAGTCAAGGTTGAAAAATCTAAATTAAAACCAGGTTATAAAGATCTCTTGATACCTAAAGATGACATTAGATCAGTTAAATATAAACCAACTGAATATTCTCAAGATAGATTAGTTGATTATTATAACAATACTTTAAAATCAGACTTGTTATTACAATTATATGACCATGAAGCTAAAGTAATTAAAGGTGCAACCAAAAAATCATGGGGTACGGATTCTCCTTATAAATTATTCCGTCCATTAAGAAAGATAAAGGGAGGTAATCGTAGTGCTAAAGATATATTACCAATTTCCCATGAGAATATTCCAGAAGTAACTGAAATTGTTGTAATGGCTTTCAATAAAAAGGCTTTAGAACTTCCACATTTGAATATTTCTACAAGATTACAACTTTCTCAAATAACAAATGTTAAACCAAAACAAATTCGTGCAAAAGCAAATATCTTACCTTGGAAGATTAGACATGGGAAAGAATGTGGTGGGAAATCTGTTTTAACTGGCTTAGATCTTTCACAATTTATAAGTACTTTGACTGAATTGGTATTACCAAGAATTAGAGCTTTTAAAGGGATTAAAAATACTTCTGGTGATTGTCATGGGAACATTTCATTTGGGTTAACAGCAGAAGATGTTTCACTCTTTCCTGAAATTGAACATTATCAAGAATTATTCCCAAGCTTATGTGGATTTGATGTTACTTTTAAAACAACTGCTAGAACTGATGAACAAGCAAGAATATTGTTGAGTGGACTTGGTTTCCCATTCTATAATCCTTCAAAGAATTCTCAAGAATAAAATGACAACCACATGTATATAATTAATTGTATATAAATTAATCTAACAATGTAGATACGAATATTTCATGCCCTGCGCTTCCTCTATACAGTACCCGTTTTTCCCAAAAACATAAACATAAAAAATATTCTACAAACAACCTTATTCCGTCAGTATCATTCGAGCTAGAAACTTACATGACCCAACAAGACCAACCCTCGGAGATTTCTATAGTACACGAATATGAAATCCTCTATTCAGATAGAATAAAACAAAAAGACAAAAAATGGAATGATGGTTTCCTAAAATTCTATGAATTTAATAGTAAATTAGAAATACTCAATGATTCAAAAATATTAATTGGTGCTGATTTTATACGTGATAAACAGATTCCATATATATTAGACACGTTATTGAAGGATGATAATGAGTTTGTATTGCCAGGCGGGAAGTTCATTATCCAGATTCAGGGGTTTTTACAGACTAGTGAACGAGATATTTCGAAGGCTTTTACAAAGAGGTCTTCGACACAAGTGGAATCACAACAGCAGCAGCGACGGCAGCCGACAAAGTTAATATCGCCTCCAACGAGAATAATTAAAGCAGGTTCAGGACGAACCAATGGTCAATCTTTGAAGGCATCTCGTTCTCTCAAGCTTAGTCAACCTTTAATTAGGACCAGTGCACCAGCATTAGGAATACGAAAGAAAACCATCAAGCACAAGAACGGTGCTCAAGTCCTTCCGAAACAGTCTGAACCATCACAAGCTGCTAACTCATCAATTATAACAAAGACGTCTGGCGAATCACTCAAACCTAACAAGATAATCCGATCTGCTGCAAATACTTCGCATTTCACAACGACTAATTCCACCCAATCCAAAATACGACAGTTGTTGATTTCTAAAGATCGAAGAAGCAATAGTAGACCCCTTCCCCGAATTCTCCCAATGACGTCTACTCATTTCGAATATATGCACACTCCACGAGAAGAGACCGAGGCAATGTCCTTTCAGAAGCCACGAAATAGAATTGGCTGGGATGATGTCGCGGATGACGAAGGTATCGATGATTATGATGAAGAGGACCACGAGGTCGAGGAAGAGGAGGAGTATGATGTACACATAAAGGAAGAGAAGAAGTTTGTGGATTCCGGTACGAAGCTTGAGGATGCGGATATCATATATGATTTTTCTGATTTCGAGGAGGATCAAAACTTTATGGAGATGATTCAACAAAAACGACAACAAGACTTTGAGAAGGCTGCAAAAATGGATGATTTAGAGGAGTGGGACTAATGGAATTGAAGAAAGGGAAGCCATATCAAAATGGAAGTATTTTATATAACAACAATTGAATAATATATATGAATGGGGGTTGTCTACTTCCTACACGAGGAAAGGTTAGACAACAACTCAATACGAAGTGCTAACCATTTCTATGAACCTAAAGGGACGAACAAGAACTGTCGGAAAGTTCAAACAAGTTGTTGGGAAAATATTTAAACAGGAAACGTCGCTCAGACTGAATAATATAAAGATGTCCGTAGGTAGTTGTAAATTAAATTAGTCATAACTGATTAGACTATTTGATCTATTTGAATAAAAGAACTAAAAAACATACTTAGATTAAAAATATATTTAAATTAATAAACAACTGATAGTAGGATGATTCCAAACAAAATTTCCATCATAAAGGATGCGCTTTCCATTCTAATCCCAATACCAGCAAAAGGCGTGTCAATGACCATTTGATAACTCAAAGGTTCATTAGCTTCTGGGATAGACGTTGTCACCGAGCTTGATTGAGGTGCTCTTCCTTGGGTAGAAGTTGCAACTGAGCTCAACTGAAGTGCGCTTCCTTGACTACCATCAGCTGCAATGGTACCATGACTAGATTCTTCATCTAGATCAATCGTAAGTGTAATAGTACTGGCAACTGTAATGGGAATGGTAGTCACCACCCCAGAACATGTTACTTTCTCATGCGTGGTCAGAATCATGAAAGTGGTTTCCACTGTCTTCGTTGACACAGTCTTGTCCGTTCTCGTTTTGGTAGAACTAGCAACACACGGCTTACTCCAAGCACTTGAATCGTTGTTGTTGCAACGGGAACTAGTATCGGTTAGTGGAACATTGCTTGATTCCAATATAGTCGATTCTGGACTAATATGCGAAGGATCCTTAGTTTCGGAGTCCATACTGGAACACTCTGAAGATGATTCGTCACCGGATTCTGGTAAGTAGGTTTCTGATGTTTCCGGCTCAGTACTAGTTGATTCAATAAAAGCCTCGGTGGAGTCAATCTCTGTCTCGCTTGAGTGGGGTGTGGTTGATTCAGGTTCTAAGTCGGTATTGAATGTCTCGGATTCAGCAGTACTCCCTTCTACAAATATCTCTGTGGACTCCCACTCTGGGCCGCTTGATTCAGATGTTATGTCAGCTTCTGCGGTTTTAAATTCCGCTCCGCTTGATTCTGCTGGATTCTCGGTTGATTCGGAGTCTGTATCTCTTGATTCCTCTGTACTCAGTTCGTCAGCTTCCGATGTTTCGAATTCTGTTGTGTCCGATTCAACAAATGTCTCGCTTGATTCCAACGTGCTAAAATATTCAGTCGTTTCAGGGTCGTTTTCGGTATTAGCTTCTTGCGTGCTAAAGGTTTCGGTCGTTTCAGTGTCTTCTTCTGTATCGGGTTCCATGGTGCTAAAGTATTCGGTAGTTTCGGTGTTATGGCCATTCTATGATAAGGTGTTGAGTCCTTGGCAATTAGAAGGCGGTCTCTGATAGTGGCCTTGGCTTGTTGTTTATTCAGCGTGTCCATTAGGTCAGTAGCTGGACGTCTTGGCATTGGCAATCGTTCCTTCAGCTTACGCATTGGTCCATGACGCGTCGTTGTCCTTGTTTAGTAGACTCTTTGTGTCTTGGCAGAATTTAGACCAACTCCTTCCTAAGCATTATAAATATCAGTCCAATTCCCCCAAGTTTCAGTGTAGTTTAGTATTCGAGAAAAGATATATATATTAGATATAAAAATAATTAAGTCTAGATTAGTTCAGTTTATAGTTTGCACAAGCTTTCCCCTCACATATTTAATATATAACATTCAGTGTCTTCTTCGGTATTAGGTTCAACTTGCGCGGTGGTTTCTTCTGTCTCTGGATATCCTTGGGTAGTTGAACCTTCATCATCACTGGGTGTCTTGAAGTCTTCCTCTTGTGGAGCTCTTTCTGGTAAGATGTCAAAATCACATTCACAGGGGCACTCATGTCCCAAGCCATTTCCCGCAGGATCAGGATACGAGATGACTAGTACATTGGCTTCAGATTGGTCATTTTCGAATGAGAATTTATCAAAGTCATACCCAGGTCCAATTTCAAATTGGTAATCACCTATTCTTAAAAGGGTTGAATCGTATGATATTCCGTCAGTATCAGCATTGCCTACTTTGATTACATTATTTCCGCCAAATCCAGCAACCATGGGAGTCCCTTTGGGGTTGGCAGCTAAGATCACGGATTCGTCCAAGCATATCGTGCCTTCTGGCACAAATGTCATTTCAAAGAAACTTTGATGAAGGATCATGCACGATGGATCTGCCCAAAAAACGGTATCTACATTCATTTCGGATCCATCAACACACCACCGACCAAAATTATAACCCGAGCCGGCCCCGAAAACGACATTGACAAGATACATATCCAGAAAGTTACTAAGGCTGCCAGCTGTTACATCCAAATCGCCCTTCTTGGCAGCTGCTATGGTAATTGTTTTCTCGTTGTGGATAAAACTAAAACTAAAAGACACAGGCAGAACCGATGATATAATATGGAAGTCTCCATAATTAAACAAACCATTCATAATAAATTGCCCAGTTGGTTGGAAGTTGCTTTCGATATATATGAGATTATTGTTTTCTATGCTACTACAAATAATAGAATCTAAGTCAATTAGGGACAAGAGTCCTGTCTCGGTAATCATAATGTAATTGTCGTATTCTCCTCCAACTTGAAAATAGTAGTCTGATACATCATATGCGATGACGTGATGGATAAGCAAACACATTGCTAGAATGTAGGAATACATCATGATTTCGGCTTTTGTTTGAAATTTGAAAAAGAGTAAATTATATTGTCTGCCCAAATAGCCAAAGGAAAGTCAAATAAAGGGGTATTTATACTTTGTGTCCTCTGTGTGGCATCTTACCAATTATCTTAAGAGTATGATTTCAAGTCCTTGCGAGAAGGGATATCTCAGCATATGTGGGAAGATTACGGGGTCGAACGTCAGCTGGTCACTCCTAAATGAAGATCCCTCAAAGTGAAATCTTGAAATTATAAAGTTTATTTGAGTGTTATCGTATAGTCACGCCATTCGTTTTATATAGGTATTACACCGCTAAAGGCAAATAGAACAACCTAACTTTCAAGAATGTTCAGAGGTCTGTAAAATTTAGGGATTAAGTTTAAGAGTTAAAATGACTAATCGCTTATCCCTAATATTGGTTATTTGCTATAAACTCGGTTTAATTTTTGTGAAATCTTAAATAGTTTGTGTAGTATAGAGGATTAGAGAAATAAAATGAATGATAACTGAAGAATACTTTGTGTATCACTGGGGATACAATGTAGAGTCTGTCAATAGTGCTAAGTGAAGAATTTAACTAAGCTAACTAAGCTGGGGCCCTTAAGCCCAATAAGTCATCTTTCTATTAAGTGAAGAGGAGGTTGTCAATATGTCGCCAAGAAAAAGATTTTAGAAATATTTACACTTGAGACATGTGAGGGAACTATAGGACAGAGTTTTAATTGGCTTCCCACGAGGAGACTATACGATTCTGTTGCATGATCTTTATATAATCAATGAATAATTTAAAGTTTGATAGAATAACGATATATTCGAATATGCCGAAAAATTAAGATTTCATGAAATTAATTCGATAGAGTAAGTTTTAAGTTTTCAGAGAAAAAATGTGGTACTTTGACACAAAGATTCCTAGGAAAAATTAATAAACAATATTTATCCAAAATATACAAGCGGCAACCAGATATTAACTGAAATGGTGAAGTGAGCTCAACCACAGACCTGTGCACAAAGGTATGTGGGTTTAGAGTAATATTAGAATGCTCAATCCAGTTCAAAACCAATTAAACTAGGAAAAATTACCACAATTTCCAAAAAATTAGATTCCATTAGGGAGAAGATTAGGTTTGAAATCATTCCACAAATGACTGATAAATCAAACTCCAGTGAAAATCCTTAATTGGCAATCAACCTACTATAAGAAATGGTTTAAAAGCTTAAAAATAAATAATTAAATAGAGTTATTGGAAAACCATGTTAAATTCTATAATTTTTTATCTATCTTTCTATTAGAAGTGATTCCACATATATTTTAATTGATGAATCATATTCTTTTTGATAAGCTTATTATCAGAGACTTAATCAAAAGAGAAGATAAAGGCAACCAAGAAGTTAAAAGGCTTTCTATTAAGTAACAGAATTCAAAGAGTAATAGATAATAGAGTGTGATATCGCCAAGGTCTATAGTTTGGAGAAGTAATAATATATTTTATTAAAAAGCCCTAAGACTCAGTAGATTAACATAGAGGATCATAATTCTTGATGATTCGGCTAAATACTACAAAAGATTTAAGTAACCTATATTAAGATTTTGACATTTGTCAATGGAAATCTTTTTCCCAATCCAAGATATTGCTGCCCAAACAGAGTACATCATATTGATGTAATGATTATCCAACAGATCAAATTGCTGAGATTTATCATTTTTTAGAAGAGTAAACCTACTGAAATTGGAATAAGATTCTAAAATGTAATTGTAAAACCTTTCTTTAAACTAGCTATATAAATTTATTTAAAAAAACAACCACAAATCACATCTCATTAGCAAAAGTATTCTTAACCTCTTCAGCAGCTTTTTTCTTCTTTCTTTCCTTAGCTTGTTCTCTAGCCACCATGATTGGAACTGCATTTGATGTGAATATCTTTATAGCTGGGAATGATGAAAATAATCCATTCATGGCGGCAAATGCCGGACGATTTGATAATCTGGCAAGCATTGATTGTGCAGGTAATTCGACATATGCATTATCATGGAATTCGATTTTCGATGGATTGGCCTTTATTGAAATGGATTTATTGGTTGACATATTGAAAGTATTGTTGTTATATATTGATTATTGGTAGAAGAAAGAGAATGTAGAATGTAATATTTTTTTTTTGAGTTTGCAACCTTCAACATTTTTTGCAATCTTTTTTTGCAACAATTTAACCATTCCAAAAAAACAACCAAACATAATTAATTATTATTTCCTAAATAATCTACAATATCAAACCAGAAATGATTTTTCAATCCTTTCAAGTAAATTCTGAAATGCCAGTTCTTTTAAAGTCTTAGACAATAAAATCAACTTCCAAAAAACCTTCCCATTCCAATCCTTCACCTCACTATTCTTCAACCTACTCTTCACCAATCTACTCCCATCAATCACCAAATTAATCTGCTTCAACGCCCTATCTACCGCTTGTCTAACCAATACTCTAGAATCATAATTATAATTATAATCCTCACTCATGGAAATATATTTATCCCAATTATTCAATTCTTTATTCGATTCAAAAAATCCAATCTTATATCGTTTACTGTCTATTCCTGGAGTGGTTAGGATTGGGACATGATAAATTAGGTCTAGTTTATAAGTCATCTCAATCCAATTCCTAATAACATTCGATGCCAACAATGGAATTGATTTCAAACTAGAAGTAATATTTTCTCGACTATGAATATCAAATCCATTTATGTCATCAGTATAATATACGGATCCAACTAATGTATTTGGTAAATAGATTGGAAATGTTCTTAGTGCGAATGTTTTCCTTCTGGCTAGGATTAATGTATTGGCTCGATCGGTTTTGCTGAAATTTAATGGTTCTGTCCAGGGGATTGATTCATTTAGGTTTAGATCGTAGAGAAGTTTGTTGTCATTACAATATAATAAATGATATTCACCGGTGAAATCTCGGATGTTTAGTTGATATTCGACTTTGTAGCCTGTGAAGGGTATGTTTTGGTTGGTGACGCATGATTGGGACAGATCTGGGAGACTGGATACTTTTGATATATACAAGATGGTAATCAATAATAACAACCACAGAAGTAACATATTTTATCGAAGAGAAAGTGAAAGTGAAAGAGAAACTAAGATCCCGCCAGATGTGAAAAAAATGATTGCAAAAAAGCAACTAAACAAAAAATGGTCGCAAAAAATAGGTGTTCTATTCAAGTGGTAACAAACTATCTAATCCAACAGCAACAGTCATCCCTACAACAAATTCAAACATTCCTCTATTCTTTGTCCCCTCAAATAATTCCGGATCATCATATATGTTCATCCACCCTAATTTATTCTCATCCGGATTATCATCTTTTGTATTCTTTGAGAAATATAATCCATCACTTCCATGATAATACTTCTTCTGGTTTGTTCCTGTACCATAATCGGTGTCTATTTCGTTTATGCTTAGATATGAGGATTGCATGCTTTGTTTATAATGATGTTTATTGGATTTAGGGATGGATTTTTTGAATTGTTTGGAGATTCGACTGTCATTAGGTCTGAATACTGCTAATACTGGTGGGAAATCAATTTCAGGATCACATAGATAGACTTCCTCGGGATTGGAGAGTTTATATCTTGAAGGTTGTTTGTCATCTTGGATGAAATTTTGATGGAAATAAATATTCCTCTTGCCACTTAATTTCATAATATCTTCCTCGTTAGATTCATTGGCGGGAGTAGTTAGTTTTTGTTTAACTTTATTCAAATTACTCGATCTAACTCGAGGAATCGATCCAATATTCCATTTCATCTTATTTAAATCCCTCACTTCAAAATTCCTAAAACAATTCTCCGGATATATTTGTCTCAATTTCTCAAATGGGAATTGTCCATTCTCAATCTCTCTCGGGAATCCAATCCCATTAAACAAACTATAATCATCACAATCTTTCCATATGGCCCCACCTTTCTTAATCACTCGATTCTTGGGGATTGATAATTCGAAATGACCACCTTCACTTTCAGCCTTCTTAACAATTATCATCAATGGAATATCCTTTGTTTTATTTGAAGTATCTTTGAAAATTAATGTGAATCCTTTTTTCAGATATGGTTGTCGACTTCGTTGTTCATGATCAAGAATTATGATATAATACCCAGGGGCGTTTCGACAATACATATGTTTCATGCCTGGATTTGTGGTTAGGTATAAATCTCGACCAAATCGAAGAATATGATATTTCCAAAATGGTGAAGTACTATTTGGTTGGTTGTTGTGATTGGGCTCTGTATCCAAACGCATATTTGTTTTTGGTGTAGCTGGAACTGAATCATATTTCTTTGGATTTGGATTTCGCTTACGGTGATTCTTGTTTGGTGATGTGATTGGGGGTAGGGATTCTGGGGTTTTTGATTTATATGAATTTTCTAGTTGTTCTTGCTTCTCTCCGGATCTTGACTCTGGGATTTTGGATGAAAATCGCTTTATTGCTGATGATAGACTTTTCTTGTTTAATACAGTTAGCGATTTTCTAAATTTCTGTTTGAGTTGTTTTGATGATAGTGCTTCTTCTTCCCTTTCTTTATGATCGACTATATTATCCGATATCACGGGATCAAATGTATGCATTGTAGCTGGAACTGTTTTATTTGTAGAATGTGACATTGTAAGATTAGGTGGTCTATTCTCACTTATGCTGTCTCTCTTTATCGTATCCAGTTGGGTTAAGGCATCGATTTGGTTGATATCGATCTCAGTATTATCGAGTTGAGATTTTGGAGTAGTGAAAATATCTGAGAGTGAAGATAAGGAAAATTCTGGAGTATTTAATCTTTGTAAATTTGGATTAGTCATTCTAATCAGTTCAGTGATAGTTTCTATTATTATGTTTTCATTACATGTGAAAAGATCATCAGTTGAATCGAAATCTGAATTGGATATATTGTCGTGTGTTAATCGTATTCTTGAGGCTATTTCTTTATAGGCAAGCTCTGGTAACGGAGGTAGTCTCTTGGTTGATTTATTGTGATCTCGAGGTCTTTGTTGAAGCATTTTGTAATTCGAGAAACGAAGGTAGTAGTGAAAGGAATGTGAGATCGTTTTCGTTGCAATATGATGAAATGTGAATAAAAATTTGTAGGGTTGTGGCTAAATCACTTCGTAGTTAAGAAAAATGTAAAGAACTCTCCGGTATTAAAGAAAAATGTTTCAGATTTCTTTTCCCCTGAAAATTGATTTGATTTTTTTCAGTTTTAGTTTAATTAGAGTTTATCCATTAGAACTATAGGAATGTTTTATAAAATAGCTTAATAGAAGACTTTACATTGTAAATCTATAGTAAACACGCATAAGTACAATAGAATTATTTAATTAACAGTATAAATAGAAATTCTAACTTAATACAAATTCTTTTCTCATTGATAGAACATATTTAGACTAGACTAGACTAGGCTGTGTGTGTGCATAGTTTCTAAAATTATTAGACGATTAAACATATTCACACTTTGCATTACATTGTATTACACATTGATGTATTCAATTGTTTACTTCTTATATTGTTATGTATTACATTGTATCATTAATTCACACAATAAAGGGAAGAAAGAGAGAAAGTGTACCGCTCGTTTAAAATTGTCATTGCTCAATTATAATTAATAGTACAAAACTTAATCTACAGCCATGAGATGATTCATTTGGATTTACTGTTTCGTATTTGCTACTGATGAAGAAGATGAAACTTTATTGGCTTAGAGGAGAAATGAAACAAGAGGACGTGCCACTCTACCCTACCCCCCTTTCAAAATGACCTTTCTTTTTTTCTTTGCTTTGCTTTAACTTACTCTCTTTCTTCTATAAGATGTGTTTCAGTTTATACTTGTAAAATTGTGGAGCAGTAAATTTTTGTAACCAATTTTAATTTAAAACAAGAAAAATTTCATAATCCTTTTTAAATCAAGAAATTTTTCAATTAGAAATAGAAAGAACCCTTTCTTTTTCTTAAATCCAATTCAATTCAACTTTTCTTGAAATCAATTAATCAAAAGACTCATCATGGAACCTGATCTTGAAGAAAACACAAGATTATTATCTCCAGATCCACAAAATCCAGAAGATGAAGGTTATTTCAATGCTCGTTTTTGTCCTAATTCCCGTCAAACATTCCGGATTTGCCTTAACTTAAAAACCCTAATTGATAAAATCGTCCCCATAATCTTCCCAGAATCAGAAATCACATGTCAAAACTCACCAATCCTAAACCGAAACGTAATTGATCTCGTTTATAAAGCAGCAGGTGGTAAAGGGAATGGTGAACGAGGTACAAGTTCTCATAAATATCGTGCGGCTTTAGTATTTTGTTTATTAAGAGTTTGTGGCTGGTATTGGCAACAAAGTATTGATGAATTAACTGATAATGAACTTTATAAACTTCGTGCAACCACGGCTCAAAGATTGGCTGTTATTATTATTGAACGTGAAACTGAAGATGATCAATATTTGTTTTTAGGTATGTTATGTCATCGTTATTCTATTTGTTTATTAGGAATTGATGCTGATCCTGTAAGTGCTTTAGAATTGGCGGTTGATATGCATTCAACAATGGTGATTGGTGCAAGTGGTTATCAAAGATGTATTAAATGGTTATGGAGAGGTTGGATTGTTCAATCAGATACTGATCCTCATGCTTATATTATGTATAAAGATGTTGCATCCAATTCAATTGGAGCTCATTTTGATCCAGCAAGAATTAAAACTCCTTATTATCAAAATATTTTGGAGATTTTCTTTAATTTATTATATTTGGGATTATTTAGTATTATCTTAAATGAAAGTAGAGAAGAAGTAGTTGCTCCTGATTTCATTGAAATTTTATTTTATTTATTTACCCTTGGATCAGTATCGGATGAAATTATGAAATTTTATCATGTTGGTTGGTATTATTTTAGTTTTTGGAGTGCATTAAATGATACCATGTATTCAATTATTTCAATTGCGGTATTCTTTAGGTTTTATAGTTTGAATTTTGATAGTCCTGAAAAAAGACAGAATTATCATGAAATTTCATTCCGATTACTTTCATGTGCCGCTCCGTTAATGTGGTCTCGATTATTATTATATCTTGATGCTCAACAATTTGTCGGGGCGATGATTGTGGTTTTAAAAACCATGATGAAAGAATCAATATTGTTCTTTGTATTATTATTCGTGGTCATAATTGGATTCTTACAAGGATTCTTAGGATTAGATATTGCTGATGGTTCAAATGATGCCACTAGAAGAATCTTAATTAGTTTAATCAAAGCCGTAGTTGGTGATTCTTCATTGGATGATATGGGTAATTTAATGCCACCATATGCATCAATCTTATATTACATCTATTCCTTCCTTTTATCAGTCATATTGATGAATATCTTAATTGCATTATATTCAACCGCATACGCGGCAATTGTTGAAAATGCCACCGATGAATATTTCGCCTTGGTAGCTCAAAAAACATTACGTTACATCCGAGCCCCGGATCAAGATCTTTATGTCCCTCCATTAAACCTAATCGAAATCGTAATTGGAACATTTGGGTGGATGTTACCTAGACGTCTCTACAAAAAACTCAACTATTACGTCATGTTAATCATCTATTCCCCCTTATTGATCTATATCACCACCGATGAATTATCCAACGCCAGAAGAATCCAATATAATAGATATAAAGGTGTTCCTGACGATGCTAATGAAAACGATACCGAATGGGACTTGACAGACGGATATGATACCACCGACATAACTGGAAGTACTTGGGAAGGTATTTGTGAGCGAAACGCGGAAATCCGAGATGAATTAAGAAATCAAAGAGAGGGAGAACAACAAGATCCCGAGTTTTTGATTGATATAAAAGAATTTCGTGGATTGATTGATGAGGTGGTTAAACCAGTTGAAGATGCCCATAAGGCGGGGATTAAGTGGGAATATTATGAGCTTTATCAAAAGATTGATAAATTGACTGAATTGGTTCAGATTCTTGTTAAGGAGAATCAAGAATTGAAACAGAGTAAGAAATTGGGGGGTACACCCCTACTATTATTATTTTTTCAGCTTCTGAACTGACCAAGTAGAAGACTTAGAGCTTGAGTGGTATAGGTCGTTTGTATATAAATTTTATATAGTAGTAGTTTATAAGAGGGAGCCTATGGTCTGTGGTTTTCTCTATTTTGTTAATTCAAACACGTCTATTGTTTATTTGAGTACGCGATCACCAAAATGACATCGCGACGCCAAATTAGACTGTTAAAAAAAATTAAAATTTCCAAATCAAAACAAACCATTATCTTGACTATTTACCTATACTAAATATCAACAGTCAATAGAAGAATCAAATACAGGAGGTTATTTCGTTAAGCAGTTCTTTTCTCTTATGCTCCGGAGCTTCTTGAAAACCAGATTCAGCTCGCCATACTGGCCCATCTATCAGGAGATCCTAGACTGAAGAAAGTCCTAGCAAAAGACTTCAAAATAAGCTACCGCAAACTCCTAAGTAGACTCTCTGGAATACCTTCTGTCTATGAAAGTCGGGAAGACCAACGTAGATTAACACTTGAAGAAGAATATATGCTATCTAATTGGATCATGAATGAATACCTAAACGATAGACCAGTTGATACGAAACGTATTGAAGAAGTTGCTGTGAAGTTTTTACATTCGAGAAATGACGATACACCATTAGGAAAGAAATGGTTTGAGCGATATACTGATAGACATCCCGATATTGAATTGGTGAAACTTGGAGAGATCCCGAAGGGAATAAATGAGGGTTCGAAGTATGAAACACTTGAGAAATGGTTTATGATATATGAACAAACTGTTAAATTTTTTAATATCAAAAAAGAGAATATATACAATATGAATGAGACCGTTGTTCATGTGTTTGACAATGGTTCAGCTATATCTGTTGCAGTTGACCCTGTTTTACAACGTGGTCACCTATTAAGACTCAATACATGTACATAACTTTGGTAAAGACGCTGACCCTTTTTGCTCACACCATTCTTCATTCTAAAGGGAGAATTAATAATCGATCCATTGCCCAAGCTCCTTCCGAGAGATATCCCTGAGAGCCTCAATAGTGTTAGTATAAACTCCTCTGAGAAAGGTATATCCTGGCTCAAGAAGATCTTCGAAAAGGAGACAACAAACAACCCTTCGAACGATTCTGATGAATGGAGATTACTTATCCTCGATGGTCAGTCGTTGGATATTGTATCCGATGAATTCATGATTCAATGTTATCAACATAAGATCTGGCTATTATATCTCCCACCTCATTCGTGTCATCTTACTCAACCTTTGGATATTTGTCTACAATTGACGAGACAATTATCAGATGCGGAGATAGAGGATATACTAAGACTGTCAACTAGGCTGTTCACGGACTCTGAAAAGAGACAGATCGTAGCTGCTTACAGCAACCGGAGATCGGAAGTGTTTGGTAAGGATAATCTATTACAATCTTGGAAAAAAACCGGACTCGTCCCATATAATCCTCAGGAAGTTCTAAGTAGGTCAGAAGTTACGAAACCCGAATCACCTGGCACTGCTACTTCTCGGGATGTCATGTATATGCCACCTCAACGAAAGCAGAATGACGTCAAGTTAGCAATGGACGCCATCGCTAGAAGTGATGATCCTCTAAAGACCATTGAAGAGATTTTGAAGAGTCAGCATGAGAAGGCTAGGGAACTAGATGAACGAAAAACTATGTTGGAAAAGGAATTGAAAGAGGTGAAATGTCGGTTGAAGTATCTACAAGGTGACTATGATGATGAAGAGATGGAGTTGTTGGAAGAACCCAAACCAAAGAAAACGAGGTTGAGGGATTCTAATATCGTATTTCTGAAGAAAGTGGGTAAATTTGGAGGAAATATGCTGAGATGAGAAACAAAATAGAAATGGACTGGAATCGACTTATTAAGGGTCTTTTGGCTTAACGATTACCAAGGCAGCATAGCAACATATCTAGTATTATATATTTCTTGAATTATAGAGTAGTAAATGTAGAGGATTGATAGAAGAAACTATAATTGCTGACAGTATTGGTATATAACATTTGATGGAATAGTAAATGCGCTACCATTTCTCCGTGTTTAACCACTATAATAATAAATTATTAATTAATAAGGGTTTAAATACAAAGTTAAACACCCATAGAAAAACAAAAGAAGGGAACAACGAAAAAAAAAAAAAGATTTTTTTTTACAACCAAAAAAAGAAAAAAGGAAGAGAATTTTTTAATTAGACAATTTTTAATTTATAGGTACTATTCATTACACTTTGTTAAAACTAAGTAAAGGATATGACAGGAGTAAATAATAAGAATAAGGAAGATAATCCATCTTGGTTTAAACTAGGAGATGATATTCAGTTTGTATATGATAAACAACAACAACAGCAACTGCAACAACAGCAAACCCCGTCACCGTCAAATCCACCAACCACAACCAATCAACAGCAACAACAAGCACCATCAATAGTACACACTTCAACTAACGGTTCAAAGAAGAAGAAAAAGAAGAACAAGAGAAAGAACAAATTATCTCCAGTAGAAGCTCATTTGAATAATCCTGAAGATGATTATCCAACCTCTCGTGTAATAAAACAAGCACCAAATGGTGATGTAATAGTGGAGAGTCTAGATACAGATGAAACAAGTGGACTGCATAATCATCACCATCAGCATCAACACAACCACAACCACCTCCATCCGCATCCTCCTACACATTCTAAATATCATTCACCGACTATTCAGAGACCTACTCACCACCCAGAAAGTAATTTATGGGATAGTGCATCTATTGAAGAACAAGAAAGATTAAAAGAATTTTGGGAATCTTTAGATGTTGACGACTTTGAACTAAATCAATTTTAACTATTCTTTAGTTATTACCTTTACAATAAGAATGAAACTAAGAGGCAGCAACAGCAGCAACAACTGCAACAACCGCAACTGCATCCAAATGGATCTCATTCGACAAATCCCAATAATGGACCAAATAGTTCTAATACCAGTACCAGTAATAATAATACACGAACATTTATGACACCTTCTTCCTTATTATAGTAACTCCTACTTAATCTTTATATATATGATAATCATTTTGATGATATCATTGATTTTATTCATGAAGTTCGAGATATAAATGATTTAAATGCATTACCAGGTCTTTTATTTGGTGGATTCCATATGTTGGAAGAAGAACATAAACTTCAGAAACGACAACAACGATTTAATCAAAAAATGGATCTTGTTCTACAAGCAGATCAAGATTTAAAAAATCAAACAACTCAAATGAATAAATCAATTTCAATAAAAGAAAATAGTAATAATGAACAACTGAAATTAAAAGAAGGTTTCGATGAAACTTCGATAAATCCTGAATCTAATGTCACAACGGAACAACAACTTTTTAATAAGTTACTTGATCCGAGATTATTTGAGGCATTGGAAAGTATGGATATAGAAAAGATGAAACAAATCTCTGCAGCTGAATCAGCCTCAACTAATGACCCAACCAATGCCACTCAAGCTAATCTATTAGAAAAAGCAGGATCATTACGAGAAATAGTTCGTGATTTACATAAAGCAGATAAAGCTCAACTTGAAAAAGGAATGTCATTCTTACAAAATATGGGTAAATTATTCTCAAATGCAGCATCAATGAACAATGATCCAAATGATCCAGAAGCACAGAAATTAATGACAACTCGTTTCAATGATCAATTAACTCAAGGATTATCTAGTTTTGCTGAAGATTTATTAAAAAATGATGGGAATTCATTCATAAATATGATGGAATCACTTTCGGAATCAAGAACAGCAAGAGAGGAATTATTACGAGAAAATATCCCAAAACAGCTACAACAACAACCACATCCACATTCTATATCCCCAGTATCCTCACATCCATGGGAAGATGAAGACGATGATGAGCATGTTTGTCATCATCACCATCACCATCACGACGATGATGACGAGTATGATGATGATGAAGAAGAATATGACGATGAGGATGATGAAGATGATGAGGATGAGGATGATGATGATGATGATGAATTAGATGACGACGACGAAGAAGGTGCAAGTGATACCGAATCGGAAATCTCGGAAGAAGAAAAAATGCAAGAAGTTCGTCGATTATTCCTTATTCAAGTCATCAAGTTATTCCAAGAAAGGTTGAAGAATGCATATAAAGAGAAATTATCTCAAGATCGGACACAAAAATTGATTGAAGAATTAGAAGCTGAAGAACAAGCCAAAAAGGAACGAGAATTGAAGAAATTGAAACAGAAAGAAAAAGCCAAGGAAAAGAAACGATTACAACAATTAGCCAAAGAAGAAGAAAGAAAGAAGAAGGAAGACGAAGAACGGGCAAAAGAAGAGGAATTACGTTTGAAACAAGAAGCATTAAGGGCTGAACAAAGAAGAAGAAAGGAAGAAGCCAGATTGAAGCGTGAAGAAGAAAAGAAGAAACGGATCGAGGAATTAAAACGAAAGGAAGAAGAACATAAAAAGAAAGTTGAAGCCCAAAGAAAACGTGAAGAGGAATCTAAGAGATTAAAAGAAGAACGTAGAAAGAAGGCCGAGGAGGAACGCAAACAAAAAGAAGAAGAAAAGAAACAAAAGGAGTTATTAAGAAAACAAAAAGAAGAAGAGAGGGAACGGATGAAACTCGAACGGGAAAAGCAACTTGCTGAAGAAAAAGCCAAACAAGAACAAGAAGAACAAGAACGTGCTGCCGCTATGGAATTGGCCAAGCAAAAGCAATTGGAAGAAGAAGAAGCATCCAAGAATCATTTATTGAATCAGTTATATCAAGCCAAACCTGGCGGTGGTTCTACCATTTCTAGTGGCCAATCTTCAAATATTTCCACAGCCACTGTTCCGGCTATTAGTCCATTAGATTCAACCACTATTTCAGGTAGTGGTCCACCTATTCCACAAGTTGTTCCTCAATATGTACCTTCTGGGCCAGTTGATCCGTTCAATAATGCCTTTAGTTCGAATAATCTATTATCTCAAGGATTAACTTCTCCACCAGTCACAACTAATAATTTAGTCACGGGTCTTTCTGGAAATCTTTCTGCCAATCTCGGTGGTGTTGTCAATCCAACATCAACTCCTTCTCCTTGGGCAAGCAAATCAAGACTTAGTTCATTGTCCAACCCGGCAGCTTCTCAGCCATTATTCCAACAGCCTCCTCCAATGGGTCCACTTCCGCCTACTTCTGCAACTGCTGGAACAGCAACGACAACTAATTTCAGTCCATTTTTTAATGATCCATTGTCTCAGGATGCATATTTACCTACTACATTAAATGCTACTACCAATTTATGGAATTCTTCTACTTCAACAGTTGTAACTCCGACTACTGGACCTACTAGTGCTACAACGAGGACTAATTCTATTTGGGGAAATGGTCCTGGTAATGGTCTTGGTTCAGTTGCTGAAACTCCTGTTGTTCCTATGAATCCAGGTGGTAGTTCTGCGGCTACTGGTGGACTTTGGAATTCTAATCCAAACACCCCAACTACAAGTGGTCCAGGATTGAGTACTAATGATATTGATTTAATTCAAGCTACAACATTTAGTAGTTTTCAAATGTTACAAAATTCAAATCAATTGGAATATGGATATGCACCAGTTGCGAAATTATTCAATAATGTGAAATCAATCTTGAATTACCCGGGGCTTACACTTGCACAAGTGTTTAGTTGTTGGTGTCCTAATGCAATTTATAAATTTGAATTTGTTTGGGATGAGCTGGGAAATGTTAGTCATGTTCAGGTTGGATTGACTGGGTTTACAAGAACTTCACCTCCTCCCCCACCACTTCCACAACAACAGCCTCCTCAGCAACAGCAGCAACAACAGCTGGTTGTTCCTCCTCCCGGTTTATCGAAGACGTCTCCTTTGTTTAATGAGGGTTCATTGTTGAGTAATATTGGTAATTTGAGTTCTGGATCTCTTCAAACCACTGGAATTGGAAATGTTGGTGGTAGTAATGGCGGGTTCGGCCGTGGAATTTGGAATTAGTTGTTAGTAGTTTTAGTAATGAGATATCAATATATATTAATAAGGTTTATAGTAAGTAAGAATTGAAAGTTGAATTTGATTTATTTTAAGATTTTGCAATTGTGATGTAAACTTGTAAAAAAACAGTTGAAAATTTAAGCTTAAATTATTTTTAGATTTAAGTTTTTGTTACCGAAGTCGCAAAGCGCAATTACAAATCGAAAAAATATAAATTAATAAAATAAAAGAAATATGAAAATGAAACCTTCTTACTTTTTCATTTGGATTTACATTCAACAGCGTATTCAAATTCTGATCTTTTTCTTTTTTGGGAGATCCAACTGTCTTTTCCTTTAATATCATATTGGTTCCATCTATATTAGATATCCCTCGAGGAAGTTGCTGTTGATCATAACTGCTGTGTTTAAAATTGTCTCAAATATTTTATTCATCCGGAAAAATCAAAAGATCCTGAACCAAAAAAACAAATAAATCCCACATTCCTCTAAAGAAAAAAAAAACTACTCCTAAAGCCGTTAGATAGCATTCCAAAAATTATTCATACCCATTCAAGCAAACCGTCCTCTACGTTATTTTTCTTTTGAGCAGTAACAGCCGCTACCACGGACACCTAAAACCTCCCTTCTATACGTCTTCACCCTAGGAGAATTCCCCACCGAGTATCATCCAACCGTGTTTGAAAACTACGTAACAAACTGCCGGATCGACGGTAAGGCAGTGCAATTGGCCTTATGGGATACCGCAGGACAAGAAGAATATGAAAGATTACGACCCTTGAGTTATTTCAATTCTCATGTGATCTTAATTGCCTTTTCAATTGATGAGCCTGATTCTTTGGATAATGCAAGAACTAAATGGATTCATGAAGTGAAGAAATATTGTCCCGACACGCCATATTTGTTATGTGGACTAAAGAAGGATCTAAGAACTGATTTGAATGATCGAAAGCGGTTTGTTCAATATGATATGGGAGAAGCTATGGCTTATGAAGTTGGGGCAAAGAAATATCTTGAAAGCTCCGCATTGACTGGTGAAGGAGTTGATGACATTTTTGAATTCGCAACTAGAACAAGTTTACTTTATAATGAAAAGGAGCGGACTGGATGCTGTAGGATACTATAGACAGAGACACGGGGAATCATTTATCTTCTTATAATATATAAGTGTATATTGGATTATATCTGTGTAGCATACAATAAAAACAATTCTTACACAAAACGGCCTTGATTATAAATGAAATGCAATTGTAGAATAGGCATCCTTCTGTGCTTTAGGTATATTTTGTACCTTAATAGAAGCCACAATTATATTAAAAAAGTGCAAAAAATAAGCGACCTCGGTGAGGGTCGAACTCACGATCTTGAGATTAACACAGAGTGCGGAATTGGTCGAACCGGTGCTTCAGGATGAGCAACCTAAAACCTGGACAAATGTTTCCTTTAATTTGATTTTGTAGATCACGTGATGAATTTTATTTTTGAATCCTGTAACTTGTACAGAAATGGAAAACATCCAAAATATCCTTCAATCACTAGAGATAGTCCTTCTCTTCGTTATGTATATTTTAGTCTGTTCTTCGAATCCTTCCAGAGGAGTTTATTAATTTTTGTAAGTATTGGTAAAAAAACAGGATAAATTTATCTGCCCAATTTTCAATGGAGGGAAGGATTGTCAAAAGGATAATTTCTAATCAAGAATGAACTCAAAATGAAACTTGGATTTACTGAAAAGATATAGAAATTTGTATAATAATGACAATCAATTAAAATACCATCAAGAGAAATGCCTTTAAAAGTAATAAAAATTCGTTTCAATTCGTTCTCTGACAACACAACTTTCGATACAACAAAATGATTATGCTACCGTCAAAAGAACAAAACCTTTGTTTCTACGTTTGTATTGAGACTACTGGAGTCCCCAAAAGTTAGAAGAAATATCTGTTTTTTAATTCCTCTGTGTGTCTTGCACGAAAATTGCACATCAGCTACTCCACCAGACTGCTTTATTCTGTGCAAACCATATTGCACTGAAAATACAAAATAGTTAACCAGAAATGTCTTACAATATCATAACGTTCAACTTGTCTATTTTAAGTTTACAGAGGTACTTCTTTAAGTGAACCTTTTTAACGGTCAACCACAGATTAAATAAAAGTTGGGAAATATTTTTTTTGCAACCATTTTTGCAGCCTTCTCCACTAGGTTGAAGTATGAAGCAAACTATATTTTCTTGTAAAGGATACTGCAGATATAATTATGTAAATTACATATTTGACCTTGTAAGATAGATAAGTCAGTTCTATAATGTCCTGAGATACCTCCATAAAAGTAACTGACTTTGCCAGTATCTTCTTCGCAACTCTTCCGTTGTGTGTTAATTGAAGGAGAATTTCCCCTTTTCCAAAGAATACCTAGGTCCGTTTAGATTCTATGTATTCATAGTTGCAATGAAACCATTAATTAGTAATCCCACCAGAAATATTCTCTAGTTTTACGGATGTGGAATCAGCTGCCGTGCTCACCCGGAGTTAAATAACTTGTGAATAATCTCCGGCTTACATAAAATTATTTTTTTTATTTTGATTTATAATTTGGAACCACCCGAAATTACCATTTTTGGATTTACGGGAATAAGATCTGATTAGAAATATGGCTGCAAAAAAGAAATAGAACATAGGTATAAATATCGATCGATTTTCAATTAAATGTTCTAATATCGTTTTTCTATCCCAATTAATAAACGCAATTCAATCCACTTAAATCTATTCAATCAAATATAAGATATGTCTTCCACTACTGTTTTTGTTTCTGGTGCCAATGGTTTCATTGCTCAACATGTAGTCAAACAATTGCTCGACAAAGGTTATTCGGTTGTCGGTAGTGTCAGATCAACAACCAAAGGTGAACTGTTAAAGCTGTTAACCAATTCCAATAAATTTTCTTACGAAGTTGTTTCCGATATCAGCGAAGAAGGAGCATTCGACGAAGCCTTAAAGAGACATCCAGAAGTTACTGTTTTCATACATATGGCATCTCCTGTATCTTTTTCAGTCAAGAACATCGAAAATGATTTATTACAACCGGCCATCAAGGGAACCAAGAATGCTCTTAAGGCAATCAAAGAACATGCTCCACAAATTAGGAGAGTGGTCGTTACTTCTTCCACCGTTGCTGTTTTCCCAAGAGGAGTTAGTACTGATTTTGAGAAATTTTATAATGAAGAAGATTGGAATCCAATTAGTTATGAAGATAGTTTGACGAATCCATTTGTGGGATATGTTGGGTCCAAGAAATTTGCAGAATTATCAGCTTGGGAATTTGTGAAGGAGTATAAACCAAATTTTGAAATCTCATTTGTTAATCCTTCACTTGTATTTGGTCCTCAAGCTTTTGAAATCAAAGATAAATCTCAATTGAACCTTTCTGCTGAAGTTGTAAATGGTGTAGTTAAATTAGGTCCACAAGATGAGATTCCAGAAATGGTTGGGACATTCATTGATGTTAGGGATGTTGCAAGAGCACATATTTTTGCATTTGAAAGTGATAAGGCAATCAATAAGAGATTCGTGTTGGCTAATGAGAAGTTCTCAAAGGAACTAATTGCCCATTTGATAAATGAGAAGTTTCCACAGTCAAGGGTCCCAAAGGGAGATTTGACCAAGCACGATGAACAAATTAAGAAGGAATTTAATATTGATACATCACAGACTAGAGAAATCCTTGGGTTTGATTTCTTGGGACTCGAGGAGTCTGTTGTTGATACCGTTGAACAGATTTATGCAACCATTTAGAAGTATTTAAGTTTGTAGTTTTTCTCAATTGTTCAGAATATATTTAACTTGAGTTTTTTTGATTCCATGTTGTTTAGCTTATAGCTTAAACATTTTGTTAATAGATAATCTACAATTCTCTTCGACAATTCAAATTTCGTTCTGCCAAACCGGATACTGAAAAACAGTTGGTAAGGGTTTCCCCTGATTCAGGGTTTTTAGTAGTTAAGAAATCCGAGAACTTCAAATAAACTTGAGCTGTTATTGCATTTTGGTGGCAAATTGCTTCTGTTGCAATTGGAAATAAAGGAGTTCACTTTCAAGTTAGTTCCTTATAACACTCATAACCTTTCGTATCATTTATGTCCTATTATGACCCTTATTTGTAAAATAGAAGACCTAAGAACAGAAAATTAATTTTCTGAATCATACAACACTTTAACTTTACAAACCTTCCCTATTTCCTTGTCATTCTCATGGGAATTGATTCATGAGGACTTTGGTTGGGATTGTTGTACGTAGAGTTAAAATGTTCAGATAAGTTATTCGGAAAACTAATTTTCTGTCTTAAGACTTGTACTTTAAAAACCAATATTAATAAGACTAGATTCTTTATACCAAAGGGTACGAGGTATACCTGAAGCTATATCATAACAATCAATTATAAGAGGGAAACTTACTCTCAAACATTACCAAAAAAAAATAAGTAGAACTTTTGCAGAATGTAAAGAAAAAGAGTGGGAATTGACTTCCTTTTATACCCCCCCAAAAAAACAATGAAAAATCGTAATAAATTAATTATGGATACAATGGATGAATGTGATTGGTCGTCAGTAGAATAGAAATTACACACGATACGGTTCAAACAATAACAATATTTTATGGTCTAACTCCAACATAAAATTAACAGAACTATTAACTAAAATTCGAATGAATCTAACAAAGAATTTAGTAATAATGGTTGCAAAAGTGTAAAGTTCTAATTTTTGGTTCAACATAAGCCTATTCTACATCATATCCAAAAACAAAGTGAATATTGTTTATCTAGATGTTAGACGGATACCAAATTTAACTAGTTTCTTAACACTCAAAGAATTAGCCACCTCAAACGGCAACCCTGTTGACACCCCAAACAGTCTCGGAATTATAATTCACTTTTGCCAACGTTCTCACACGATTCGACCCATCGATACTGTGCATGTATCTACCAAAGAAGAAATAAATCCTTAATCTAATATTAGAAAACCCTTTCTTAGCTTTGATCATTCCCAATGTTATGCCATTGCACGTTCTTGGATTGTTTTCCTTATGTATCTCTTTTCATTGTTTGCATGTTGACCACCTTCATTCACAATTTGTCCAACCATTGCAATTCTCTTTTAACTTGTGTCAATTGAATTAGATTGCCATTTATTTGTAAGTCAACATCATCAATATAATCTTTAGTACTTTCAGATAATTCAATTACATTAGATATCAATTTTCTTGAATTGTTTAAATTAACATCAATATATTCTAATTTTAAAAAATCATTTGAATTGGGATTTGATGGAAGTGTACGAAGTTGACTTATCCATTTACATGATGAATTTCCATTACTAGAATTTTGTATTTGTTTCTTGGATGTCTGCTTCTTCTTAGCAGCAGTGGAGTTGTTACTATTATTACTATTAGTATTATGCATTTTGAATATATTTACAGTATAAATAAAGAGGTTGATTAAGGTCTAGTTTTTGAAAGTGTTGATCCTTTTTTTTCTCTTTGTAAGAATTTCTACTGATACTGCATTACTCACCCAACTTAAAAGAAGAAGATGTTCGATTCCATTAACTAAACGATCATGTCTCCAACTCTTATTGATATCAACAGGTAAATCATCTTTAGTTACACTCAGATGATCAACATCCCACTTATTCATTTCTGTTATCAATTTACAAATAGGTGTAGTATACCATCTATCTCCAGTTAATGTAAACCAACCTAAATGACCACCAACTGTAGTTGTAACTAAAGTAGTGTAAGGATTCAATTCTACTTCTGAGATTGGTAATGTTCTTGATCCTGTAATTGGATCATCTTTTGAACTGATTATAACTGTAGGAACTCTAACTTTCATTAATCTTTGTACTGGGGATGCTAATCTATAATATTCATCTGCTGAATTTAATCCAAACAATTTAGATGTAAAATAATGATCAAATTGTTTAAGGAATTTGATATTATATTTATCAGCATTATCTCTACATTGCTTAATATATTCATTATTCAATAAAATTCCATGAGAATCTAATAATCTCATTAAATTGTTACACATTGTTGGTGAATAGACATTATGACCAATTATACTTTCACGTAAATGAACTGCACTGTCAGGGAAATCCCAAGGTGTTCCAAATATAAATGCACCTTTAATCTGTTTAGAAATAGCATCACCTTCTTGACCTAAATAATTTGCTAATATGGCACCACCAAGTGAAAATCCCATTAAATAAACTCTCTTATTTGCGGTTTCAAAACCTTATACAAGTAAGTATTATATAGAATTTAGTAAACAGGTATTTCCATTATATAATTGAGGACTAGTGATTGTATGGTTTGCACAACCACGTGAATTTAGCACGACTGCATCCACATGATATGGATCAAGAATGATTTTATTAAGCACAGCACGGATATATGCTTCATAAGACCCACCTGATAATCCATGTAAGACAATCAACAATGGCTTAGAATCATCATTTGAAATCATAGTTGGTTCCTCTTGAGGATTCATATATTCAGTACGGGGAGGTAATTCTTTGGTTTGACTAGCAGGTTTGAACTTTTCATGATCCGGATTTGGGTCATGATGTGGAACTGCATAATCTAATGCGATGGTAGTTTCACCTTCCCATTGATCATATTTGAGTCTTTCACCAGTTGGCAATGTATATGTCTTATCTTCAATAGTAAGTATTCTTCGTTTATAATGAACATGGAACAGATTTGCAAATTTGTTTAAAGCAGTGTAGGCAGTTTGAGCATGTCCAGAGGACAACATCGGATTCACAAAGAATGAGTAACCTTTATAAAATTCTGGAGCTGCATTTTTGATGAGTTCAGGTAATGTGGTTACCTTGGTACCAGGATCATTTGATTTATCACCACTTTTAGTGAACTTTATTGGAGTAGCTGGGATGTAGTTTTCAACCAGGGACTTAAACAAACCTGAACCAAGCATTCTTGTTTGAAGGTTTGCTTTCGTAAGGATGATATTTGACCAGAAATAAAACCGTTGTATCCCGAAGTGATTTTTCATTAAGATTCTAAGATGGATCATCGATTATATCCGAAATTTACACAAAAATTACTTTAACTCCGACAAAAAAGGATCAAGAGGAAACTGTCACAGATTTGAATTTTCCTCATAGTTGTGACAGAAACTTTCAACACAGTGTTGGAGTTAGTGCTGACATAGAGGACAATCTCCGGTTTGTTGATAGCGTAGTTGATGGCTGAGAGAACCTAGTGTGAATAGATGAAAGTGTTGCAGGTAATCGGAAACAGATTGCCTGTTTTTATGCATCTGATTCCAAAATTTTGTGAGAATTTTAAGAAAGAAAAGAACCTTTGATTTTTAAGGTACTCTTCATACTCTGTTTTTAAAGCTTTGGGGATTAACTTTTTAGCATTCTTTGAGGTCGATTTATTAAGGAATTTATTGAGGTCTTCAGAGAGCCCTGATTTCAAGGATTCTCTGATGATTTCGAATTCTGTGTGGATTGCATCTTGGACAGCTTGGAGGATGCTGGCCATTGAGAGTTTTTCAAGATACTGGGAGACATTTGCGGATAAAAGGTCATTGGGAAGAACAAGCGTGTTGTTGTCGGATACGAGCTTGGAGAGATGCTCGGGTACCGCCGGGATTTCTCCCTGGTCTTGCTTGCAATCGTGACATGTTTGGAATAATCCTTTAGTAACTTTGAATAATCAACTGGAGGAGGGATGTTGCTTAAAGTTTCTTCTTCTTCTTCTTCGGATAACATGAGAATGTCCTCGATGGAAACAACGATTATATCCGAAAATTACACAAAATTACTTTAACTCCAGAAAAAAAAAGATTAAGAAGAGACTTTAAGCAATATTCCTCCACCAGTCGATTATTCAAAGTTGTTAAACGACTATTCAAAACATATTCCATTCGCCACCAAGACCAGGGAAAGATCCCGTCTTGGTCCCAGAGCATATCCCCAAGCTTGTAACCGACAATAACACTTTGGTGCTTCCCAACGACATTCTATCAGCAAATGTCTCCCAATATTTAGAAAAACATTCCATGGTCAGTATCCTCCAAGCTGTCCCTTCCAAATTGAATTCGAAAACAATCGCGATACCTTTAAAAACTGGGCTCTCTGAAGAGCTCAAAAGTTTTCTTACCAAAATATCTTCCAAATCCGGAAAACAAATAATTCCAAAAAGTATCAAAGGTGAATATGAAGAATACCTTAAACTCCAAAGGTTCTCTTCCTTCTTGAAATTTTCTGTAAGACCTACCGGCTCACCAGATGGACATGCAGTCCTTCCCCCTTTCCTCCCTCAGGTAATCCAGGACGTCCATTTTGAAAGCTATAAAAGAGAATTCCAAGAATATTTAGAAGGCTTAAACTTCGCATTCAATGACAATTCAACATTCTCTCTTAAATTTCAGTCTGAATTAAAAAAGTTCCATATCATATCACTCAGATTACCAACCGGTAAAGTTAGTCACGCTAACTACGTGATTGATGCTTTTCTCAATGAAGGGGATGAAATTATCTATCAAGACGTTCCGTCAGATGAATCGATAGACTCTAGAGTTAGCATTCCTGGGTCTTTATATGCCTACGCATACTCTGTCATCACCTTACGGGGTCCAGGAAAAGGATTCCTAAACCATCTTACGCAACCGTTAACGGCTAGGCGGACTTCTCTGTGAGGGTTCTTTCTAATCTACCCCATTGTGTTTATTGCCGCAGTACGAAACACACCAGAGATCAATGCAGGAATATAAAGCCTGTGTGATCTATGGTGATAAAAGTCACAACCTGCATAACTGCATGTCGAAGCCGAAACATTTTCCTAAAGTCACCCCGCTCAAAGCGCGGGCCCTGGAAATTTCTTCAGCTGTTGAATCTTCTAAGGAAACAGCAGCCCATGAATCGGTCGAAGAACCACCATGACAAGATGTGTTTGATTTCAACATAAGACACAGAGCTCGTTCATCAGAACAGATTGGGTCGAAGGATGTCCTGTTTGCAAAAGAGGACAGCCCACCCAAATAACCTATGTCATTTTTTAAGGTCTCCTAGTATTTTCAAATTCAATTTGGAATGCATTTTGGATAGCTTGGGAGGATACATGGAATGATTTAGTAATTGTTTCACGAAATTGGTTGAAAGAATGTCGTTGGGATGCACCATTGAATTGTTGTCAGCAATGAGCCTGGAATTATGCTCTGGAACCACAGCCTTAGTAAGACGGGATCCTTAGTCTTAGGGAATGTGCGTTGAATATTCTTTTAACGATTGGGAGTAATCCACTGGAGATAGAAAATTGTTGAAAATTTCTTCTTCATTTTGAGAACTTTTTTGGGTCAGAAGCAACATCAACTGTACGGGCGTGACACCCACTGGCTGGATTCTGTCCATTGGACAGTGATTCTTACAGAAGTTCTCGGCATTTTAATTGATGGAAGACATCATATATCCCAAAATTACATAAAATGCACACATCGCCAACGTTCATCAGACTTTTACATGTTATCTTGTAAACTGTGTAAGTCATTGGAATTTACAGGTTTACTCGAGAAAAATAACCAAATTACCGAAATTGCAATTTCAGTTGGGGGAAAGCCGAGTTTTCGGGAATTTTGAACAATTTTACACGACAAGCTGATAAGACAAAACAAAATTGCCTATGGCTTACTTATCCTCTCTTTTCTCACACACACACCCCTTTTTTTGGGATTTTTCCCCCAGCAATTTTTCCTTTAGCAATTGACTTCTTCTTTTTCCCACATTACGCCACTTTATATAACTTAGTCTAACCTTTCAATTGTACCCCCTACTAAGTACTATCTCTACTACAATTAACACTACCACTCCCTAACTAGGTTACTCAATCATGCAATTATCTTTATCAGTGTTGTCTACAATTGCAACCACCTTATTAGCATTAACTTCATGTGTTGATGCCAAAAAGCATAGTGCTAAATTGACAAGACTTTCCAATGAAGAAACATTAGATGCTAATACTTTCAAGGAATATACTAGTGGATTAGCTAATAAGTATTTGAATCTTTATAATGCTGCTTCTGGCAATCCATCCCAACAATTGTTTAGTAATAAAGGTGCTCAAGTACCATTTGTTGAAGGTGGCAAATATGAAGCTCCATTAACCAATTATTTAAATGCTCAATATTATACTGAGATTAGTTTAGGTACTCCAGGACAAACATTTAAAGTCATTTTAGATACTGGTTCTTCCAATTTGTGGGTTCCTTCTAAAGATTGCAGTTCTTTAGCTTGTTTCTTGCATACCAAATATGATCATGACTCATCCTCATCATACAAGGCCAATGGAACTAAATTCTCAATTCAATATGGTTCTGGTTCTATGGAAGGTTATATTTCTCAAGATGTCTTGGATATTGGAGGTTTAACTATCCCACATCAAGACTTTGCTGAAGCAACTTCTGAACCAGGATTAGCATTTGCCTTTGGTAAATTTGATGGTATTTTAGGTTTAGCATATGATACTATTTCTGTTAATAGAATTGTTCCACCTATCTATAATGCTATTCATCAAGGTTTATTAGATGCTCCTCAATTTGGTTTCTACTTGGGTGATACCAATAAGGATGAAAATGATGGAGGTGTAGCTACCTTTGGTGGTTATGATGAAGATTTAATTGATGGAAAGATTACTTGGTTACCAGTTAGAAGAAAGGCTTATTGGGAAGTTTCATTTGAAGGTATTGGATTAGGTGACGAATATGCAGAATTATTCAAAACTGGTGCTGCTATTGATACTGGTACTTCATTAATCACTTTACCATCATCATTAGCTGAAATTATCAATGCTAAGATTGGTGCTCAAAAGTCTTGGTCTGGTCAATATACAATTGATTGTAATAAGAGAGATTCATTACCAGATTTAACTATGACTTTTTCAGGTTATAATTTCACTTTATCTGCATATGATTATGTTTTGGAAGTTGGTGGATCATGTATTTCTGTCTTTACTCCAATGGATTTCCCAAAACCAATTGGTGATTTAGCAATTGTTGGTGATGCCTTCTTGAGAAAGTATTATTCTATCTACGATTTAAAGAAGGATGCTGTTGGTTTAGCCAAAGCTAAGTAGATGCCATAGTATCAACCCAATTACTACAACTACTGCTCAAAAATCAGAAACTAAAAGATTGAATTTTTTGTTTTAAATTTAAGTTTTCAAGTTACCTTTACTGATTCGGTTTAATCTTTTTTATTTTGTGTTTGATAGACCGTATATAATTTAGTAGAGAAATAAAAGAAAGTACACTTCTCTGTTTAAAACGATATGAATTTTTCTCATATGAAAGTAGCTGAAGAACTTTTTCAATGTTTCAGATGACGGAAGAGGCTGCTACAGATGTTGTCTGTTGCGACATTCGCATTTCTAGATAATTACTCAATCTCATTGGCTGCAATTTCCAGAACACACTAATTCTTATAATTTCCAATGCTTCTTATGTAGTGAAAGTGGATGGTTAATTGAAATCACCCAATTTTTTAATATTCAAGAAAAAGTATTCGTATTAGAATTTTATGTTATGTTGTTAGCTTATAAGAATTGTAAATTGACAAGATTAAATTTTTTGCAACCAAGAAATTCTTTTTTTAGATTTTGAGTTTTATTTTTTTTTTTCCACTCATAATTTTTCAAATTGACAACTAAATTTGTTAATTACATTTCCATTTTAGGAATACTAATAAACAAAATGAAATTACAAATTTATATCGTGAACCTAGTAGTATTAAATGACAACGCTATTGTTCAACATGAATATTGAAGAACTGAGAGCAATGACTAAAAACCTCTCTTTATTAAAGCTAGGAAAGGAAATGTAAGGAAAAAATAAAAAAATGGCTGGCTATTTATAATTTGCTGGGGGGGTTCTACTAGCCAGCCATCTTCATATTTTTTTCTTAGTTACAAATGATTTAGTCTTTTTGCCGAGATCAATTGAAATTTCCACAGGGGGGGTCAATCAGATCATTGGATCATCTACTCCCTTCCCTATTTCTTAAAAGAGGTTTGCTCTGTCTCTCGTTCCTTCTTCTCTTTCACGATTTCTTTAAATCAGCATAGACCATTCAAGTTAAACAAGACATACAATCAAAATGACAGACTCAGTACGGCTTGAACCATATCTTTCGCAAACACGTTTAGCGTCATCAACCGTAAACGAAAGCACCGATTCAGTTAGCATTCATAGTCTCCAATCAATGAAAGAAGCTTTCCTAACACCACTGACATCAGTAGCCAGATCAATCATTGATCCATCCCCCATAACACAACTGACATCAGTAGCCAGATCAATCATTGATCCATCCCCCATAACACCACTGACATCAGTAGCCAGATCAATCATTGATCCATCCCCCATAACACAACTACAACCACCTCCACCAACTGCAGAACCATGCGAGGTGAGTCTACCTTCCCCCGACTCTTCCTTACGATCTGCATTGATTCGCTTGGAGGTACATACAGCTTCGTCAGAATCTTCATCTTTACCGGAAATTTCAGCTGATTCAAATACAAATGGAACACCTTCTTTAGAGACTTTAAGTTTATTTGAACACAGTGAGGACGGTCAACCAAGATATCCTAATACATCGAGAATGAGACTACCCAAGAAGAGAACCTCACAACAACAACAACAACAGCAGCCGCAACCACAAAGGCAACCCACCGCTCTGTACTATACTCAACCCTTCCAGAGACTGGGCCCAGTACGTTCATCGCAAGATACATATAATCAAGTTCCAAAACGTTTTTCTCAATTTGTAATCGATCAAAAGAATCCATTCTTAGCAACCAGATTAGACAATCTATCATTCATTTCACCTAGTGTAAGTAACGAATATCGAGTAATCAAGAAACATACTGCTGATACAACTACTCGAGGTTTAGGTGACAATCACAAGACAAGCTTAGGTCCAATTGATGACGCAAGCACTCGATTACGTGATATTTCCGACTCAATGGGATCGCAAGCTACTATATTCTCAACAAGACAAACACCCGATTCTGAAGTTATATCATTAATGAAATCGAAATCTAAACGGACAAGAAAACCATTTTTATTTAGAAGAACAAAGACTCAACGTACAAGTAATGTGAAATTATATCGGGTTGCATCTGCTAATTCAAGTTTAATTCGAAGAAATGCTATCAAATTCAAACAAGGTAGTTGGCTTTATCGTTTGAAATTAAGACTTAAGAAGATGTTTCAAAAGATGAAGTTTTATAATTTCAAAGTTTCATCTAAAAGACACAATATCCTTAGAAGAAAGAGTAAGAAAGAAGAATCCAAGGTGCCACATATCTCCAATCCAATTACCAATCCATTATTAGGCAAGCAGCCAGTGTTTAAAGTGGTCAGCCTTGATGACGCAAAGCCATTCCAACCAGGTTCCAAACCTTCCGATTTACATAATGAGAAAATAGGCAAACATCAACATCTTTCCGAATACATTAACGAACAAGAGCATTCATATTTCCATACCTTGGTAAGTAAACGAGACCTGATTAGAGTTCCACAAAGTGTAAACAAATATCCAGCTGTCAATACATCCAAGATCAATGAAATGAGTGATGATGATGATGATGATGATGATGATGATGCACTTGAAAGTGAAGCACCCTTACCACCTCCACATTTCGATACTTCTTATTTCGAAGATCCGAAATCGAATTATAACAAATATTCAGCTCAAGAATTATGGAAGAGTTATTTGCTTCAAGTATTATGCAAACGAATTCAATTACGTCAAGAAATATCGACATTCCAACAATTCCTTGCATCCAAAAGTGATGATTTAGCAATAATGTCTCCGGAATCGACAGATACCAATAGACCACCCACTATTTCTAGCAGTCTTTGTGATACACCTATGAGATTACTCCGAGCACGGGAATCAATGATTGGAGACAGCGGATTGGGAAGTAGTTGCATAAGAACAACAACCGAACGATCCAAAGACGATAATGTTAGTTTATCGTCAATGTGCACCATGTCTACAGATTCTAGTATTCCTTCTGATCCAAATGATAAGGAATTTGCAGCCAAGGTATTACAAAGAAGATCGATGTTGGGAGATATGTTAGAATATCTATCGGATGACAATATGGAAGAAGATGAAGAAGAGGAGATAGGAGAGGACGGTAGTGTTTTTGTTGGAGGAGGAGGGGGAGTTGGTTCGTATGCCTCGCGTACGAATTCGATTTTGTCTAGTAGTATGCAATCGGATATTCTATCTAAGACATATGGAACAATTAGTAGAAGTGGAACTACAAGACGGGTTCCAACCATACGAAGGTCCTATGGGATTGCGCATAGTTTGAGTCAATTATCTATCAACGAAATATCATCAAACGACATTCAGTTATGAGTAACAAACATATATAGAGAAAGTAAATAGTTTACAATAAATCAATAACTTTTTTAAATCTTAAACGTTTCATTCATCTTTTTAAATATATACAGAACTTAATTAAAAAATGAACTTAATCAACGTAATAAGTTAATTAAATTATAACTTTAAATGATAGCTCCAACTTCATAATTTCATATATACAGTAGAAAAAAAGTTAAATTATAAAAACAAGAATAATAATCATGAAACAAAAGCAGCAACAATGAAAGAAGGAGTTATAACTTTATATGCCAAAAGTAAAAATCACATTTAGTTCTTTGGTGGTTCTTCAGAACCAGAAGATCCAGAAGAAGAACCAGTGTCCTTATATAAGTCCTTGAACAAGTTCATAGCTTCATTTTGTAATTCTTCAGTCTTGGTCTTCAATTCTTCTGGAGCAACTTCTTCACCAGCTTGAGCCTTAAGAACAATTTCTCTTAATTGAGTGATTTGTTCCTTAACCTTTTCAGTAGCTTCTGGAGATAATTTATCCTTGTATTCATTTAAGGAGTTTTCAGTATCGTTACATAATTGATCAGCTCTGTTGGCAGATTCAATAGCATCTCTTCTAGCCTTATCAGATTCAGCGTATTTTTCGGCATCATTAACCATCTTTTCAATTTCAGCATCAGATAAACCAGAAGAACCAGCAACGGTAATAGAAGCATCCTTGTTGGTAGCCTTATCACGAGCAGAAACCTTGATGATACCATCGGTATCAATGTCAAAGGTGACTTCAATTTGTGGAACACCCTTTGGAGCTGGTGGAATACCAGATAACGTAAAGTTACCAATTAATTTGTTGTCTCTGGTTAATTCTCTTTCACCTTGGAAGACTCTGATTTCAACAGAGGTTTGACCAGCAGAAGCAGTGGAGAAGATTTGGGACTTCTTGGCTGGGATAGTAGTGTTTCTAGAAATTAATCTAGCGAAAACACCACCCATGGTTTCAATACCTAAAGATAATGGAGTAACATCTAACAAGACAACATCCTTAACTTCACCAGCTAAGATACCACCTTGGATAGCAGCACCCATAGCAACAGCTTCATCAGGGTTAACAGCCTTGGATGGTTCTCTACCGAAAATAGACTTGACGGTTTCAATAACCTTTGGCATTCTAGACATACCACCGACTAAGATAACTTCAGAAATATCGGAAGTAGATAAACCAGCATCGTTAAGAGCCTTCTTACATGGGTCAACGGTCTTCTTGATTAATGGATCAACTAAAGATTCAAATTGAGATCTAGAAATCTTTTGGTTGATATGTTTTGGACCAGAAGCATCAGCAGTGATGAAAGGTAAGTTAATTTCAGTAGAAACAGTAGAAGATAATTCAATCTTGGCCTTTTCAGCAGCTTCTCTAATACGTTGAATGGCCATTCTGTCCTTTTCTAAATCAAGACCAGATTCCTTCTTGAAGTTTTCAACAATATATCTGACAAGAGCAATATCGAAATCTTCACCACCCAAGTGAGTATCACCATTAGTAGACTTGACTTCGAAAACACCAGCACCGATATCTAAAATAGAGATATCGAAAGTACCACCACCTAAATCGAAGACGGCAACAACTTGACCATCATTCTTTTCTAAACCATAAGCTAAAGCAGCAGCAGTTGGTTCATTAACAACTCTTAAAACATTTAAACCAACAATCTTACCAGCATCCTTGGTAGCTTGTCTTTGAGCATCATTGAAATAAGCTGGACAGGTAACAACAGCATTGTTGATCTTCTTACCTAAAGCAGCTTCAGCAGTTTCCTTCATCTTATTTAAAATGAAACCACCAATTTGTTGTGGAGAGTATTGTTCACCTCTAGCTTCTAACCAAGCATCACCATTACCGTGCTTGACAATCTTGTATGGAACTTGGTTGATATCCTTTTGAACTTCGGCATCTTCGAAACGACGACCAATTAAACGTTTGGTGGCGAATAAAGTATTTTCTGGGTTAACAACAGCTTGACGTTTAGCTGGGATACCAACTAATCTTTCACCTTCCTTAGTGAAGGCAACAATAGAAGGAGTAGTTCTACCACCTTCAGAGTTTTCCAAAATCTTTGGAATTTTACCTTCCATAACAGCAACTGCTGAATTGGTGGTACCTAAATCGATACCGATGACAGTTCCGGTTGGAGCAGTAGATTGAGCACGAGTTAAGGCTGGAACACGACGAGCAATGTTCTTTAATGAGGTTCTAGCAGATAACATTGTTGGATGAAATTCTGGTTGATTGACAAATAAGAAGAAGTTGAAAATGTTTGTTGGAGAAAATTTTTTTTTGTGGGATTGAAAATGATGAGATTTTAATAATTGTAAAGAATCTACGGGTTACCCGGATTGAATTACGTTCCCGGAATATTCCAGAAGAAAACAAAAAAATAATAAGAAAAAGAAATGCGATCAGGGCCGAACTCAAATGCCGGGAATATTCCCTACACGTGATGTACGCACATTAATATCCGAAGTATCAAGACCATCCACGGATAACATTAGCGATAACATAAAATTACTTAGATATCAATAACAAATTTACTATTATACTAATACAAACTATAAAATCATAATTTACAAACAAATATTAAACAAAAGTTCAAAAAAGAAAGAAACAAAGAAAATAGAACACATTTCACCCCAAACTGCCCCAAAGAAACTCGGGTCAACGCCTCTAAGATTCCAAATCAGCTGGAAGATTCCCATTCATTACCCAAGTTAAAGATTTATCACCTCTAAAACTTTCAATAAACTGAATAATCTCATCTGCAGTCTTACCATATTTCAACATCCCTCTTTCAATAGCATCACATAATTTTTTTCTTCTTTGATATCTTTTAGATTCTTTAGATCTAGAATCACCTCTCCATTCATGTTTCCCATATTTTTCATCCATTTCACATAATGGTATTTGTCCCTTAAACCCTTTAGTGAATTCATCATAAATTTCTTTAACTGACATTGGATTATGTAAAAAGTCAACTGTTATTTTAGGTCTTTTGACTACACGTGGACCTGCACCTCCTGGTGAATTAGGATCATCATCTTGTCCAGAAACTGAATTACCATCAAATACATTGCTATCTTTAGAATCGATCTTTCTTTTACTATAAGATCTTTTCCTTTGTTTCAACATGTTTTGCATCTGCGGTTGTGGACTTTGAAGCTGTTGTTGATTCTGAAGTTGATGTTGTTGCTGCTGTTGTTGTTGTTGCAGAAGCTGTTGATGTTGTTGGAGCTGTGTGTGTTGTGCTTGTTGAAGCTGTGGATGTTGTTGCTGTTGAAGAGAACCTTGAGAGTGTGAGCCTTGGGATTGAGCTTGGACGGCAACAGCAGCAACTGCAACTTGATGTAAGGCAGGATCCATATTACTATCTAAATGAACACCACCTGGTCCACCTAAATCACGAGGATGAGGTAATTGATCAGCTTGATTTTGAACTTCATTGACATGAACACTATCAACATCATCTTGAATTGCTTGTAATGAACTTATAACATCATGATTATTTTTATCTAAAACATCAGAAACCAAAGAAGCTAGCTTCTCGATCTTGGTACTTTGGAAATCAACAACTTGTCTTAATATATTAACCTCTTGAACTAAGGCTGCAATCTTTTCATTTTCTAATTTATGAATTGTGCCTTTTAATCTTTCAATATTTCTTTCAAGATAAACGATTGAATCATTTCGATTATCATTGCCAGTTGAATTCATTGTACAGGATTAATAATCAATCTATAGATTAGGAAAGCTCTTGTTGGTAATATATAATTGTTTATATATAACAAGCTACAATTAATGTGGATTAATTGTCTGCAAAATGTCGTTGACAGAAAGAATGTCAAATGTAAACAACAATTTTAATATCTCAAATTTTAGTATGTGGGAAATGAGAAATGGGAAACTTAGAGGAAAAAAAAAGGGAGACTTTTTTTTTCTAGTGACGATTTACAATTTGACTTTCTCTAATATTTGTTCTTCTCTGTATCAATCGGAATATCCTGCATATTACACAACTATCAAATTACTCTAATCACTACTTTTGGTATTCCTCTTCTTCGTCTTCTTCTTCAGGTTGTTCTAGCTGCTCCTCTTCTTGATTATCTAATTCATCTATATATGCAGTAAGAGCATCACCAAACAACGCTAACAATGCAACTGGTCGACCTTTATGATTTATATAGATAACTCTACATTTAGCATCTTTACCAAATACTTCAAAAGTAGCATGACTTAATTGATCAAGATTCAGACTTCTTGGTAAATATAATCCAATGTTTTCAGTATATTGTTTGCATTGAGTTAAGAATTGAACAATTGGGAAATGTTCCATTGTATATAAATCAAATTCTTCTCGATTATAAAATGTTCCACCCCATGGTGGTGAAGAAAATATGAAATCAAATGTTTTATTGGCGTGTGACTTTTGAAGTTCTTGAGGAATCCAATTGACATTCACTGACAGATCACTATCAGTGCTACTAATCTCATTCCAATCTGCTTGTAATGTCCATACATTATCTTGTACCCCATATACTGCAACATTATGTTCAGTACAATATAGACTGGTTTTGTTATTATCTATTGCCCCTACATTTGCAAAATATTGGGCAAATTGAATTGTATTTCCACCCCCTCCACAACATATATCTAAACAACTAGTTGCATCAGGAATCAAATGGTAGAAAAGATCTGCAATATATTTCGCTATTGGCTCGGGTGTTACTGAAAACCATAATTCTTCGGACATATAAACTCCTTCATCAAATTTAGAAAATAATTCATATCGTCTCCACCAAAACTTTTTAATTGCAGGCGGGAGAGTATCTTTTGTATGCATTAACAATTCATACCCGGCCAATTCTTCTTCAGGATATTGCTCTCCATCTTCATTGTCATAAAAACATTCACCCTCTTGTTCCCTCAAGTATTCATTATGCGATGGCTTGTTTTTCTTCTTCTTCTTCTTAGTCTTTTTCTGTTTCTTCTTCTGCTCCTTAGACAATCGGTCACTTTGTACTAGTTGTTCTTCGGAATTTGGTTTTATCCTCTTCGCTAAGCTTACGCCACCTTCTATATCTGAATTCTTTCTCTTTGATGCCATTTGTACTGAATCAATCAGAAAGAGAAAGTTTACAACAAAAATTTAGAGAAAATAATAATTTTTCTACTCATCATCAGATATTCACAAAGCCATTTTGGGTGCAAAATTCTTCTCAAATAATAACAAACCAATTTTTTCATTAAAATTACAAAATATAAAACAAATAAACATCTAGAAAAAGTACAAGAAAGCCAAACTTCATAGAAACATAATATACAACAGCCAAACCCCAGAAAGTACGACAAAACTCACCTAAATCCTCCAGATCTTTCCATTTTCCATAAAGATCTTATTGTCATCTTGCATTTGATGAAGACCAGCTCTAATTTCAGACTCACTGAATATTTCTTCTTGTGGTAATCCTTCATTAATTGCCCCAACAACAGCTTCATAAGAAGCTCCAGAATTAGGATCGCTACATAAGTCTGAACGCATGATTCTAGCCATGATTCTTTGGAATGCATGCATTCTTTCGGTACTTATCATAGGTACATTAATTGGAGCGTTATCTGCACGAGAAGTCAATGGATGTTGTTGTTGTTGTTGTTGTTGTTGTTGTTGTTGTTGTTGAGAAACATGGAAATGTTCCAATTCGTCCGCGATTTCTTCGTCTTCTACATTCTCTCGTTGTCCAATAATTTCTGCTTCTTCTTCTTCTCTTATTTGAGTTCTCATTCTCGCCCGTGAATCACTTGGTCTAGGCACAGGATGAACTTGATGTTGTTCAGATTCCGATTCCGATTCCGATTCAGAATCATCAGATTCAACTGCTCTTGTCTTTTGTTTCTTCTTTGACTTCTTGGCAACTTCTTTAAATAATGCAAATCTCAATAATTCTTCTGCAACTTTTGCATCTTGAACTTCAACAGATTTGGATAATCTAACTTTAGCATGAGCTGAAGCGAGACGAATAAGTGTTTCCAAAGTTCTGGCGGTGATTGGTGCTGTATTTCTTTGATTATTTCCAATTAAATCATTTCTTAATGAGGAATAAGTTTCAACAATATAATCAGAAGCACCTTTTGTTAAAACTGGTTTTATTCTTTGTTTAGCATATTGAATATATTTCTTCATAAATGGAACAGAAAGAATACTAGGAGACTTCTTAGATCTAGTACTGGATCTAGTAACACCAGCATGTAAAAGAGCGTTAAACTTTTCATAGATTGGTTGATCCAATAATTCTTGCTCATTAGCTTCTTCATCTCCAACAGCTAAAGTAACGGCCGATTTTTCTCTAATTGGTTCACCTTCCATCAATCCAGGTGGGATAAATCTATGCATTCTTAACACATGTTCAGAAATAATTCTATCTCTAGTAGGATTAACATCATCAGTCACAACAAATAATAAATCAAAACGAGACAATAAGGAATCAGGTAATGCGATATTCTTATGAGGGTCTTTATGAACATCATATTGTCCATAAACAGGATTAGCAGCCGCAATCACCGAACAACGAGCATTCAACGAGGTATGAATCCCAGCTTTTGCAATAGTCACAGTTTGTTGTTCCATAACTTCATGAATTGCAACTCTATCAGTATCAGACATCTTATCAAATTCATCAATACAAACAATACCACGATCAGCTAAAACCATAGCCCCGGCTTCTAATCTTCTTTCACCAGTTTCTTTATCAGTAGTAACGGCGGCAGTTAAACCAACACCAGAAGAACCTCTACCTGTAGTGGCAATTGCTAATGAGGCAGTATTTAAAACAAATCTTAAGATTTGGGATTTGGCAGTAGATGGATCACCAACCATTAAGATATTGATATCCCCTCTTAAATGAGTACCATTATCTAAATTCTTTTCCACCCCTCCTAACAACATCAATAAAACTGCTTTTTTAATATATTCAAATCCATAGATTGAAGGAGCTAAAGAGCTTGATAAAACATCAAAGATTTTTTTGTTTTTGGAAAGTTTATTAATATTTCTAATATCTTGATCAGTTAATTTCTCTTGTGCAGAAACACCAGTAGATCTAGCATGTAATGGATATACGGAATTAGCCAAAATCACAGTCTTGAAAGAAGATCCATTATTAGCACCTCCACCAAGAGCTCTATAGACCCCGACGATCTGAATACGATCTCCTGGTTTGGTCAAATCAACCAAATCATCATCTAAAATAACATCAACCGATCTTGGCAATTGACCAGCTGGGGCAGTCTCAGGCATTTCTTGAACTGAAATCTTTTGATGATCTCTATATGTAGAATAACCATATTCAGTAGTTAATTTATTACCATCCATATCTTCAGTTGGATAAATAGCAGCAGTCGAAATCGGATCGAAAGAAGTAGTTTGATCTCTATATTCTCTAGCATAAAATCTACCAGTTTGATCAGCATAATGAACCGATCTGATCACTTTAGGACGAACTAAAGAAGCTCTAGTGACAATACCTTCAATAGAAACCATTTTGGAAAGATATCCAGAATCAATAGTTCTTGGATTTACCAGATGATGTCCAAATGCACCTTTGAAAGATAAATAATATTGTTGATTTTGATCAAAATCATCAGGAAAAGCAGGATCTTGAGGATCGTATATAGTTAATACTGTGTCTCTCAACGCACGTTCACAAGCAGGTAAATAATCAGCAGGGGCGTTCAAAAGACCTTTCCAAAATTCTTTATCAAAGTCTCTTATTTCATCAATTGACACGCTTAATCTATATGAATTTTTAATTAACATGTCTCTAATTTGAGCACGAATTTCTGAACGTGTGCCTTCATCTAAGAATTCCTGAAATCTTCTAACTCTGTCTCCAAAGATGGCATCGACGGGTTGATCTATCTGTGTTGTGTCGTCCATGTTTAAAGTATTGATATAATAAACGAATGAATAGAGAGAAGAGAAAGAAGAGAATGTAATGAGTTAATTAATTTGGTTGTAAAAAAAACGGGAAGATTTCTGGGACAAAAAAAGTCCCAGGATGAAAAAAAAAAAATTCAATTTTATGAGACGCGTTCAATTATATTTCCTAATTGGGAAAAATGATTAATTAGTTGAAGATGTCACAATAAAGACGTTAATTATCTATTTCTATATACTGTGTATCAACTAGCGCAGTACTAACTATATAGTCCAACCTTCAATTAATGCTCTATCAGTTTCTTTCTTATCGTTAGAATCAAATAATCTATCAAACTCTTCAAATTCTAAAGCAGCCATAGTTTTGTATCTTCTAGTCTTTTCACTTTCCAATAATGAAATATAACTCCAATCCAAGAAATCTTCCATATTATAACTATGCTTTCTAAAAGGCTCTCCAAAGATCTTAGCTAAGGTAGCGATATTTGGATGATAATGACTCATTAAAGTTTCTAATTCCCATAATGAAGATCCAATTGCATTTGTATTCATCGGATTTTTTTCATTATTATCATATGGATCAGTATAATCTTTCTTCTTAGATCCTTCTATGTTATGTAACATAATCATACAGGTTGGATGTCTCTTTAATAAATTATAAATAAATGGAATAACAATAACAACACCCGATGCACTAGATCCAATAGATAAACGAGCCAATTTTTTGATGAATGATGCAACTAAACTAGCAGATAAATGAGTAGATGAAAGGAAAAGATCACATAAACGGAAAAATCTTGATCTATAACGAGTATATAACAATTCTGGAGTTAATAAAGAATATAATTTCGTATAGAAATCAGGATATTCGAGATTATAATTCTTCATTAATTCATATAACGAATTTAATGCAAGAATTGGTACCACAGAATCATCAGCAACATCATATGAATCAGTTAAGAAATCCATAAGACCTTGTGGTTGTGTCATATATGGGATAATTCTCTTATGTAATACAAGTAAGATAGCCTTGTATTGATTGGATAATAATGGATATGTTAAGATAGTTATGATACATTTTTGATATTGAGCCTTGAATGTGGATTGTTTATATGCAATAGATGGTAACTTACCTTGAATCCAAGTTGGTTGTTCTTCGAGCTTTTCTGAATCAAATAGCAATCCAGTTCGTATGATGGTATAAACATTTGAAAAGATTAATCTTAATTCGTCTTCTGATTTGGTTTGTTTCCATTCTTCAAGTGGGTCGGATAAACAATTAAAGAAGTAAAATTGTAAATCCCAATTCTTCTTGAATACTTCTATAAATTCTAATACAATGAAATTGGTTGAGGTCCCATCAGATGATATTTCTCCAGCTTTACTGGTAATTATGGCTTCAATTAATTCCTTATATGTAACATTAGGGAAGTATAAATCTTTCGAACTTGATTTTAAATACTGACTTTCAAGTTTGATAAGATTTAAATTGATTTCTAACAAATCTAATTGCAAGGAGGATTCAAAAGATAACTTTCCTTGAATATATTCTGCGATTATCTTCTTGAATGAAGAATATTTATCTAAAAGCCATTTTGCAACAACTTTCTTCTTTTCATCATTGGATTTCTTGTTTATCATTTGACCATCTTTAAGGAGTTTTTGGAAACATTTGAATAAAATAACTGCGATATTACGACCAAGAGATTCAGTCTCAACATGTTCATTTGATTCTAGTATAGTTTTCACTTTCTTAAGTTGATCTAATAACTCAACGAAATTGTTAACTTTAAATGAGTCAATAATTTGATCTCCAAGATCTTGTATTTGATCTAATGATAAAAGCTCCGAATCATTCTTAGACTTAGAGGTAGTCTTCTTTGTCTTCTTAGAAGATGTAGATCCTTCTGCCTTTCTCTTTGGTGCCATTTCTAATTACTTTTGCTCTATTAAACGCTTCAATGATAAGGCATCTCACTATGGTTAAAAAATTCAATGAGATGAGGGAGGAAAAATAATATTTGTGATGAGGGGATTACCCGGTCTTCCATCATTTTCTTATAAAAGAACCCAAAAATCCTAATTTTTTTCAACATGTTTTTCTTTTAGTTCTTTGTATGACCTTCCAAGTTTTATACTTACATGATGAAATCTCGCGTATTATCACGACAATTCCCTTTTGAAGTTGAGTCGGAAACGATTCCTTTAGAAAATGCTTTTCAATTTTGGAAAGTTGGGTTTTATTGGTGATGGTGTCTGGCGCAAGCATTCTTGTTACTTATAATACAGACGCTCAAGAGAACTTCTGATCCTTTAATAAAATCTTTGATGTGTTCATACCACTTGTAAAAAATACCTCTTTGTTAGATAGTCCACAGTGTTAACTACGTACCTTATGTAGATCACTCGGTGCACGATTTAACTGATTTTAGAATGATTTTCGCAACTTCCTTTCAAGTTCCTTGATCGAGTAGAGGGGGGCTAATGCTGTCTTTCTTGAGATAAATGCACTGTAATTATTGTCGATCCCTAGTTAACACTTTCAGCTCGATAAATAGGTAGTGTCATTGTGCGTTAAACTGACCTTCATTACGTACCTCAAATAGTGTTGGTAGATATGGATCAATTTTACACCAGTCCATCCAGCAGACTTGCATTAACATACGTACTAAAGACTAGTTGATCTGGGATATTACAGAAGGAGAACACCTAAATACTTGTCAATGTTGTCGCATTGTCTTTATCTGTCGTTTTCCATGGAAGCTTGTCTCTTTACCAGGCACAATCCCCATTATTCTCGATAATAAATACAAAATTTATTTGCCAAACGATACACTAAATATACAAATTATATAAATGAAAACTAAACGTAAAAAGAACATAACCAACCCAAGATTTATGAAAACACCTAGTAAGTGCAATCCATAATAAATTAGTAGCGTGAAATCGAGCTTAAATGAAAGTTTCGTAAGCAACTGGAGCTAAAGTTTGTGGAACGTTACCTTCAGTAGTAACAATTCTGGAACCTCTTGGCTTAGCTGGTTGTCTCTTTAAGGAAACTTGTACACCCTTTTCTTTGGCTTCCTTCTTAGCAGCAGCATTAGATTTAACTCTATTTAAGAATTCTTGACGACAAGCGGAGTGCTTAACATGTTCAACTCTCAAGTTAACTCTCTTTTCAATATATCTGTTTCCAACAACCTTGTTGATGATAACACCAACAGCAGACTTGGTGACGTTGTAAACGATACCGGTCTTACCGTGGTAGAATTTATGTGGCATACCCTTTTGGATGGAACCATTGGCCTTGATATCAACAATATCACCAACCTTGTAGGTCTTTAAGTAAGTAGATAAGGCAATAGCACCATGTTTCTTAAAGTCACGTTGGAAAGCGTAACGAGTACCAGATCTGTAACCACGACTATATTGTTATTCAGTTAGTACGAAATTCTGGCTGACCTTTCCTATTTCAATTCAGTCTGATGCTTGTCGTCTGCTGGATGCTGTTATCCCCGGATTGGAGATTGACCCACAATTGTCATAGTCCTCAGTTGTAGTTCAACGGTTCACACTATCATCTTGACTGCAAATATACATCTTGTACATACGATTTACCCATTTTGTTATATGTTTTCTATAGCCTTATTACCACGCTTTAACTAGTCTTACTATATGATTTACTGAAAATTTTCAGTGGACTGGAGATTGGTTGCACACAAGAAAAAATCAATATCACGTGCTCAAACAAAATTACTAGGGTTAGAGCCCTCATGAGTATGTGCTATGTCCCTTGACAAAGTTTTTTTTTGCAGCAATTTACCTTCAACCTTTCTCTTTTGAAACATCGTATTGTGCTGCCTTTAGCTGATGCGATGATTGTGCTTATAGAAGGTGTTGAATGATTGTACCCATTTCGTCAAATATTCCCCCGTTAATTCAATTTCGGGATGAAGATGTCGTAGCGATCTAAAGAAGTTGATAGCAACGTGTTAATTTTTAATATTTGATTTGTGGTAAGTAGTGGGTTTCCAATGAAGTTTTCATTTTCAAAGGTATTCCTTTTGGTTTGAGTTTCTCCCAAGGGATTTTGTTTTTTTGACAGTTTGTATATAAATGCAGGGTATAATGAACGTTTTCGTTCTCTAGGATGCTCCTTTTGGTTTGAGTTTTTGCCACGGGATTGTTGCAATAATCATTTGTTGCTTTTCCATTTATATCTTACTGCCAATGATATGCTCAAATCCAAGTGATAGTCAACCTGAACTTAACAATTATTTGTTATGGTTAAGAAAAGTTTACCACCTGTTGTTAATGATCCATTAGAGAGAGTTAGAGGAAGGTTAAAGAAATGTGAAAATTTAAATATCACAATGATGCTTATCAGTAATGATACCGTTGATCATATTGAATATGGATGAATTACCTGGTAGTGCTATTGCTGATTTACTTTATGAGGAATTTATATGTCGGTTTGGTTATTTTATAGAACTCAAGACTGATCGTGGTGCTGAATTCAAGAATGAAATGGTTGACAGGTTGTTGTATCATTATGGTACAAAGCACAGTTTCAGTATCCAACATCATCCTCAAGGCAATGGTATGATTGAAAGGAATCATCAAGGATTGATTAATTTCATGAAGAAGCTACCTGATGGTTTGAATTGGAGGGAATATTTGGCTACAGCTCTTTGGGTTGATAGAATGGCTTAAAGTTCCCAACTTGATAAAGCAACGGCTTAAAAATTTCCTCTATATATGCATGAACGGATTCTGTCTCAAACAAGCTAGATCTGATCAAGCATATTTATGAGGAGTTCTTTAAACTAGTATTATCCGAGAGTATATGCTATTATAACTACAGGGAATTCAAATGGTTCATTGATGCTACTTTAATATTGGCATTTTTTTCCCTTCAGGAGATTAGTATAAGGCATCACCCTGTTGGTATATCTGATATGTTGATGTCATTATATTCCTCATTAGAAAGAAAATAATATTGGCAATCCACTACTAAGCACACATCAAATATTAAAGGTTAAGTACCTCGTTGCTATCAATTTTCTTAGATCGCTACGGCGACTTCATCCAGAAATGGGGAAATCGGTACAATCTTTTGACGCATTCTATAAGATCCCGCATCGCATCAGCTAAATACAGCATAATACAATATGTCAACCAAATTTGTTTTTTCACGAGAAATATTTGCTGCTATTTTTATTTTTCTGTCGAATGACAGAGATATTTTTTTTACGTTATGGACCATTTATTACTCCTAATTATATGTAAGAATTTTTACATATAATTAGGGAGAAATAAATGGTCTATAACGTAAAAAAAATACCTCTGTCATTCGTCTAAGTTCCTAAGAGCAAGCGTTTCCTCTAGTTACTCTACGGCAAGTCATGATATCTCCTATTTGCTCTCAATGCTATTGTATACGAAGGCGTGGGGGTTTTTTTAATTCAGCATATTTGCAGCCATTTTTTCGTTTTGATTATTTTCCGGTGCTAGCTTCTTAAAATTCAATTGTCAGAGGAACATTTTCACATGGTTACACATATTAGTGTAATAAGACTTGTGAAAATTCCTTGTCGAGATTGGGTTTCAATTATTGTTGGCTAACCATCTACCGCAAACTACTTCGCAGAGATTCGGCATCAATTGTACAATCAACCGCAGCCATTGAATTTGATGCATCTGAAAATTTATTTAACAATAATAATATCCAACAAAAAAATGTTGAATTGTTGTTGAGAGCATGTGTATTTATAATTTCACTTTCCATCAACTCAATAGATCCATCGTTTTCTTTCCCAAGAATTTATTTTTTGATCAGCAGGAACTGACATGTATCTGCATTGATTGTTCACAATTAGATTTTTACCGAGAGAGAGACAAATCAATCGGCGGAATTCTATTTCAATCGCTTGCTAACTGAGTAAACACTACCACAACTGATAGCAATTTATCAAGCCCTGTCAACTTCATTGTCATGACAAACTCCGATCCTTGCAGAACAAGAACGGAGATAGCGTGTGCTGTCTTGTTTTCTTGTTGGCGCGTGCAAAACACAAAAAGAAAATTAATCTGGCCAAGCCCAAGACGAGCCACCGTTGTGAAAGTTTAATACGAACAATGGAGAAGAAAAAGAGAAAACGGTTCGGGATTGTTTTTTTTAAACCTTCCCATTATTCCCGTATTGTTATTTCTTATAAACTCCAAATTCATTCATTCATTCATTCACATGTGAAAGACATTTTTAGTATCTCCTCATCATCTTGTTCGATTAGTTATTTACTATAAAGACTAAGACTAGTCAAAGATCTATATATATATTCAAGTGACTTCGTAATTTTCCACATCATCCGAACCATCTCATCGGGCTTATAACACACATCCAAAAAAAATGAATAATCAATTCAAACCAAAGGAGAAAATAGCCAAACATGGCAAGTTCAAAAAACAATTAATAATCTTCATAAGTGCCCTAGGTTCCTTCTGGTTCGTTACTGTCCTAACCATAGGAGCAGTATTCTATCATTGGTATCATAGACTCACCGGAAAAGAAAGATTTAATGAACCAGTAGATATTTCAGCCAGTCATGGATATAAACCCCGAAAAGCCTATGATTCAGATACCAAGAAGATGGAAGCTACTACTGATTTACGATATTATGCCCAGGCTATGGGATTGGATTTATTGGAATATAAAGTAACCACAGCAGATGGATATATCTTGACATTACATCGAGTAATTGACCCAAATGAAACGGACGAAAAGCGAGATTTGAGAAAACCGATATTATTACAACATGGATTATTATGTTCTTCAGGAGGGTTTATTGCAAGTGGAAGGAATTCATTGGCTTATTATTTGGTTGAATCGGGGTATGATGTTTGGATGGGGAATAATCGATCATGGTTTGAAGCGGTCCATTCTTATTATGAAGGGAATTTATATAATAATGAACAATATTGGGATTGGAGTGTTGAAGAATTGGCATATTATGATTTACCTTGTTTAATTGAGAATGTATTAAGTCATAAGACCGGACATGAAAAATTATCATTATTGGGACATTCACAAGGTGGATTACAAAGTTTTATAATGTTAAGAAATGAGGAGTTTCTGAATATTCATGAAAAGATTGAATGTTTCTTCCCATTAGCCCCAGCGATATATCCTGGTGAATTATTTCATACGAGGAATTTCATTCGATTTATGTATAATAGAAGTTCAATTGGATGGTTATTAATCTTTGGATGTTGTGGATTTTTAAGGAATTTATGTCTAATGAGATATAAAATGGCATCTACTTGGTTATTTGGTAGATTATCATATTATATGTTTAAATATTTATTTGGTTGGACTGCAAGAAATTGGGGTAAAGATAAAAAAGTATGGCATTTTTGTTTTATTTATAATGCAACTTATGTTTCAGTTAATTTAATGAAGTATTATTTAGCAAAATATGTTGATGTTGGATTTGCTAATTTATTACTTCCAAAGAAAGCTTATAAAACTGGTGAAAATTTTGTTGTTAATTCAAAATATCAAATTGATGATTCTAATTCATTTTTCCCATTCAAAGAATCATGGTTTAATAATAACAAAGTAACAGTGCCAATGGTTGTGTTCATTGGAGAAAAAGATGATATGGTTGATGGTAGAAGATTAGTTACTCATATGAAACATTTTGAACCTAAGTATAAAGAAGGTGAGAATATTGAATATATTGAAATTCCAACATATAATCATGTTGATGTTATTTGGGCTGAAGATTTAATTGGCCATATTGGATTTGCCATTACTAAGAAATTGAAGAGTATGGAAGAAGTAGCAACGGGAGAGCCAAAAGATATTCCATTGGATGAGAAAGTTGTCCCGGAGTCCCCGGAGAGATCTAGTGTATCACCATTTGAAGATGCGAATGCAACAAAAGTTGAGGTTGATCTTTCCTCTTCTCCACAAACTGAAGTCATTCATCCATCTCAACCGGAAATTATGGTACAAGCATAGACCTGGCCATTGTATTTATAAATTATATATCATTAAATGTATTAATAATAACCCCTCAAACATATGTAATCTCGGTTATTACCGGTAATTCATTAAATGTAAATATAGATTCTTTTTTTTGCCACTTGGGCTAAGACTAAGACTACGACTAAGTAGATGATGACTGGTTGAATGATCATTAATAATTATTATGTCAATAATAAAATGTCACGTTACATAGTGACTGCTAATGTAAGGAAGCCACAAGAAAATAAATTATGTTAAGGGTGTTTCCTAATTGGGAAGAGCAGAGAACACTTTAATTATTTTTTATGACTTTACCCTCTACTAAAAATAAAATAAAACTAGACTAATAAAAAAATAAATGACTGTTTAGGTCGGGCATTAAGATTCCTTTAGCCAATTTCTTTCTTTCCCACACATTAAAATAATTTTAGCATCACGTTGCTTACTAAAAAATAAACTCATAGTTCATAAAAATAATTTATATAGTCTCTCGAAGATTCTTTGATGTCTTTTCCTTTTTTATAAATATTCACTAATCCCCAAGACACTATCTCAAATCAACTTAACTACAGACATATAGACAAAACTATCAAGTCTTAAATCAACTTACTGATAAAGAATATCTCCCCCCACATTAATGACCAAAACCGAAAAAATACCAATTTGGTTAGATTGCGACCCCGGCAATGACGATGCATTTGCCATTTTATTAACCATATTCAACCCCAGATTCAATTTACTCGGGATATCTACCGTCCATGGTAATGCCCCACTCAGCATGACAACTAGAAATACATTAGGGATCTTAGATATCTTAAAAGTATCAAATATAAAAGTATATGAAGGTTCGACGGTTCCATTACATAAACCTCCCCATTATGCTCTTCATGTACATGGAACTAATGGGATTGGTGGTGTGATCATACCTGAAGAAACGAAGAATAGTATTAGTCAAGATATGGATTATCTTGAAGCTATGAGATTGAATATTTTGAAATATGAAGGCAAGATATGTTTAATCTGTACTGGGACATTAACTAATATAGCTAAATTAATCGAGAAATATCCCGAATTGAAATCTAAATTGAGATACATTTCAATAATGGGTGGTGCGTTTGAATTTGGGAATATAACACCATATGCTGAATTCAATTTCCATACTGATCCCGATGCAGCTTCATATGTCTTGGATCAATTAGGATCAAAAGTTATATTAACTCCATTGAACCTAACTCATAAAGCGGTTGCCACTGAAGAAATTAGAAATCGAATCTATAATGAATCAACGCATGATATGAAGAATTCTGAAATTAGAAAAAGTTTCTTTGCAATTTTAATGTTTTATGCGAATATTTATTATACCCTTTTTGGAATGAAAAGTGGTCCACCTGTACATGACCCATTGGCCGTTTTCAGTTTGTTACCTTTTATAGATGAAGATTTTGGTTCTTATGGATATAAATATATCAGACGAAAGATTAAGATTGTTACCGAAGGCATAAGACAAGGTGAAAGTGTTATAATTAATAAAGAATTGGATGAGGATGTGGAAGAAGAAAATGGAATTTATATTGGACAAGAAGTGGATACACAATTATTTTGGAATACAGTTATTCTGGCCCTTAATTCCGCTGAATATCATATTAAAAAAATAACCTCCACGGGAAAGGAAGGAGGGTCGGCATCTTTAATAGAAAATACTAATGTAATTATGATATAAAATTAATACACGAAATGACTATAACAACTTCTAAAAATCAGCACCTTCTTCTTCAACAGGTACAGTAAATGCCCCAGCTAAATAAATCGCAGGTTCGTCACAATTATGATGTTGATAACTCAAAACACCCACCCCACCAGCATCCAACATCAACATCGGATTACAATCAAGTTCTCTTTCAACCCATCTCGCAACCAAACATCTCAAAATATGTCCATGTGCAACCACAATAATATCCGAAGTAATATTATTGGCAATAGCATCCCGATGAATCGTTTTAATCCCTTCAATAAACCTATCCAACCTTGTTTTAACATCAGTATGAACTTCTCCATTCTCACACCCATCTCTCCAAATACTCCAACTTGTTTCCTGATCTAATCCTCTCTTTTGTCTCAACTCCTTAATTTCATGAGTTTTCAACCCTTCATAATCGCCATATTCCCATTCTCGAATATCTTCAGTCACAACAACCGGAATCTTTTCTTTAATAGTTTCATTCACCCCATCTAATAATAATTCAACCGTATGTCTGGCTCTCAATCTTGGTGAAACGAAAATATGAGTAATATTTTGGGGCTCTATCATATGGAGACCTTTGGTACCAATGAGGCTTTTGCCGGTGTTTCTCATTTGTTGGACTCCGAAGGGGGTTAATTCAAGATCGGTGACTGAGGTGTGTTGACCGGATTTGGACCATTCTGTTTGGCCATGACGGACAAAGATGACTCTTGGGGTTGGAACTTTTGTCATTTTATTGATGTGGATATATGGATTGGTAAGTGGGTATACGTGGGCCGGAGTTGGACGAAGTCAGAAAAAAAAGGTTTGATGACAGAAACCGTTGGAAGGTTTTTCCGGTGAAACAACGGACAGGGCGTGATACAGAGAAAAAAAAGGCTTGTACCACGATTTGGCGCATCAGGAGATTGCAGCCATGAAATTGCAAATTTAAATTTTGCAATAATTGGTTATATAAATGTATTGCAAATCTATTAATGGAATTCTATTGGTAGTTTGGATTGAACAGAAGTAGCTTAAGAGTAATAAAGATAAGTCACCAATTGGAATTGGATAGGGGACCCCTACCACGTTCTAGAAAATAATCGCATCGTTAAAATTATTGGCAGTTTCAACTAATTAGCTCTCCACAAAGAGACTAAGAAATTTTCACTAGTAACATCTTCATCTTCATTGTCCCTTATCTAATTCGAAAAGTGATAAGATTTTGGAATCAATGTTTCCAGTTGTAGATAAGCAAAACCTTTGAAACATTCGCTGCCAATTAGATTTGCATTCCGGAAACGGAAGAAGAAACACAGATGTTCAGACCCTGTTACATCCTTGGTCAGTGATGATAGCTATATAGATTGTTGTTGCTTAGAAAGAAATCTTCTATCCATTTTAGCAGCCATTTCGAAAAGGGCCGCTTGTAACCTGCAGAAATGACTACATAACCTGTAAACCCACCGATTGAATTTTTTTTTCCCTTAACTATGAAAAAATTCCTGAACCAATGATACAAGCAGTATACATCATCATCATCATCATCAACCATCTAAACCAAACAATCCAAACATGAGTGCCAAATCAGCTATACAGAAGAAGATTCTCACCACATTAGAATCCATACCAAAAGATAGACTCAAACATTATGCTTCTTTCAAAGATTCACAAATCAAAAGATTCAATGATAAAGAATTCATCACATCTTTGAGTGAACAAGAATTAAATGAACAATATCTTGCCATAAGTCGGATTGCAAAGAATAAATATCGTGATTATTATAAAATAAGTGATAAATTATTGACACCTAAGGGTAATCCTGAATATTATAAGAAGATTATGGCAGAAATTAATGGAGAAAGTAAGGAGAATATATTTACTGCTTTTAAACATGTTGTGTTTGGGAAGTAAGTAATAGAGTGGACTAGTGTATATATATAAAGGATAAGGACTTGTCTACTTCATTTTTGTACATATGTTATTTTTTTAATTTTAATGAGTTTATTAATACAATATCTGGACGTCATTACTTTTGAATGGAGTGGCCCGCCTCTTGGACCGAAGACAAGAATTGGGATATGGCAACACACCTGGGATTGGTTTTGAAAAATTCCCAAAGATATGGAGAACCATTCATCCCATATTCTTATGGGCTTTAAATAACCTTTCCGTTGTCAACCTCTAAATTTTCATGTAGAAATAGTCTTGCTTATCAGAAGCTTTGCGATGCCACATCTCTCTTGATGTCAGTGGAAGGTTGCTAGAGTAGTAAAAATGTAATAAAATCAGAATAAAGAAAATCTAGTTTTATCGCATTAGAGCTCAAAATCGCTATCGTATCCAACCCGCTTTAAGCCAGTATTCCGCTAAACTTGCCGAACATGACCAAGCAGGCTTATGAGTCGTTCTATATTCAGGAAGAGTATCATTTATGTTGGAGAGAGATCAACTGATTGACCCGTTGCGCAAAAATGTGCTCTCCATAAGCCACAACATGTCTGAAGATCTGCAACCAGACAAAATAAATGACCTTTTACCCCATAAATACAACTCTGAAGATGTTCCTTGAAGGGTTATGATAAATTGCTGGTGCATTTTGCAACAGAACCTTGGGAGTTGCAAAATCAATCAACCAATGGGGCGGTGGTAAGAAAGAGAAAGTTTAGGCGGTGGTGCGCCGAAGTAGTCTGTGGAACAAATTATAGTTATTTTTAGTACGGGGCTCGTAGGAGAAATAGAACCGAAAAAAGAAAATTCTTGTGCCCTTGGCCGCCCCCATCCCCCGCTCAGTCCCCCAAGAAAAATTAAAAACCATTAACCACCATCTTGCCACGTTTCAATTAAAGGAAGACGGAGATTTAATGAATTACATGCATGATGTACACCTTGACTCCTTTGATGATGGTGTAGTGTGCTGTTCTCTTGTAGTTGTAGGAACTTAACACAATAAGTTAATTAATTTTAATTAATTAACCCTCGTGTGATTTTAATTAATAAATTGCACGTGTGGTAATATGACGGATCATCGACATCATCGTCATCATCGTAATCTCATTAAGCAAAAAAAAGAAATTGGGCGTAAATTGAGATTTGTGTATAAAATTGGCAACAAAGGGCTCAATAATTTTTAGTGAGAGTTAGTAGTGGTGGTTATGAGGTCACAGAAAAATAATTTAATTTCNAATTGAGATTTGTGTATAAAATTGGCAACAAAGGGCTCAATAATTTTTAGTGAGAGTTAGTAGTGGTGGTTATGAGGTCACAGAAAAATAATTTAATTTCTTAATTTCTTACTATTATTATTATTAAAGTGAATAACGTCACTTGATTGAATGAGATCATAGATAGAAAGATCGTATTGATTGAATTTTAAGGTTTTTTTTTAGAAATTTATTTNTGAATGAGATCATAGATAGAAAGATCGTATTGATTGAATTTTAAGGTTTTTTTTTAGAAATTTATTTCACTTACATTTCATTTGTGTTGTGTTTGGATCCAAACCTTATAAGTACCACGATCCCTCTTACAACATTTCAATTAGAAACAGAACATCAATTTTCATATTAATTAGTTGTCTTCTTTTTCTTGTTTTTCCTTGTCATTTTCATAAGTGTCTATCCACCTATTGCTGCTGCTAACTACACAAACTAACTGCTAAAAGAACCTACCACCAGCTGTCATGTCATTTGTTTTTCGAGTTAAAAGATCTCGACCTTTACAATTTTTGTTTGCATTATTAACAATAGGACTTATCTATGTGATCTATACATCCAATTTCTTTGATTTTTCATCATCATCAACATATTCACCAGAAGAAATCAATTCATTATTACAAAATAAAGAATCTCATATTGTTACAGTTAAAAAGAAAGAATTAACCAATCAAAGATTATCTAGACCATATCTTGATGATTCCCATTTCCATGTCAAAAATTGGGATTTAAAGGGGAGTACAGTAGTTAAAAATAATGAATATATTAGATTAACTTCACTTCAACCTCATTTAGCTAGTAACATGTTTTCCCAAAAACCAATTGAAGCAGAATCATTTGAAATGGAATTAACTTTTCATATTGAAAATAGGAAAACTAGTTTAATTGGTGATGGAATGGCTGTTTGGTTTTTAGATAAACCAAGTGACATTGGTGATGTATTTGGTGTTCAGAATGGTTTCAAAGGATTGGGGATTATGTTGGATACTTATAAGAATGGGAAAAGAGGTAGTTTCCCCTTTGTTAATTTAATGTTGGGTGATGGTAAGAAACAATATAATAAAGGAACAGATGGATATGAAACTAGATTAGCTGGTTGTGTTGCTAAAAATATCTTAAATCCTCCTGCTGGAGAAACCAAGATGAGAATTGTTTATATTAAGAATGGTTATTTATCAATTGATTTTAATTATTTTGGTAGACATGAAGAATGGATGAATTGTGTTACATTAACTGATGTTAAATTACCAAAAGTGAAATATTTAGGATTATCAGCTGAAACTGGTCAATTATATGAAAATGTTGATATTTTAGAAAATAGAATATTTGGATTATATAAACCAAATGGTGATGAATATGTTGAATCAATTGAAGAATTAACTCAATTAATTCATGATCAAAATGAATATGATAGTGAAGTATCAGAAGCTGCAAATGCCATTAAACAAGAAAAACAAAATCATAATCGAAAACTTAATAAGAAATTAAATAGTCAAAAGAGAAAATCACTTAAAAGATTAAAGAATGCTGAAAAGAGAATTAAAGAAAGAGATAGACAATATAGGTTAGAGAAATATGGTGATCCAGATGCTACATTTGTTAGAAGATGGTTTAATAGATTTATTAAAACTATCAAATATACTACGTATTTTACAATCTTCATAACTTTGAGTTGGTTTGCTTGGATTATAATTAGAATTCAAAAACAAAAGAAAAAGGCAAAAACTATTGGATTATTAGATTAGTCAATGTTTATAATAATATGTAATATGTACTAATAAATTACAAAAGTAAATAATAACAACAAATCAAGTAACGTGTAATAATTGACTATGTCCTCTTTCTAATACCTTCAGGTAAATTTTCATGTTCAACAATCAATTCTTCTTCTTTATTTAAGAATTGATCTTTAATGTTATCCATAACTTTCTTATCTTCTTTATTAGTGGTTAATAATAATCCAAAAGTATCTCTTGATATACTTAAGAATTGATGAAGTTTTTCCTTTCCACTACTTAAAACTGGTGTAAATGGATTTAATTCATAAGTCTTGTCCATTACACCGAAATTATTCTTTGATAATGTTTTTAGTAATTGTTTATCAAATGAATAAGCTTCAATCAAGATTAAAATTGTACCATTTTCAACCTTCTTTTTATTCTTAGCATATTCATCATATAATTCATGAGATCTTAATACTGCCCATTCAAGTAATAAAGAATCAAAATCAACCATTTCATATTTTTTCAATACTGTCAACCCAGTAATCTTAACAATAAAATTTTCTGGAGTTGATTGTTTTTCATCAGCAACTAAAGTACAAATAGCAATTGGTACATCATAATATTCAATAATTTGAGTATTTAAACCATTTTTTAAAAATTCTTTATCTTCTTTATCTTTAGTATGAATATCTAAATTCATAAATTTTCTATAATCAAATCCAAATAAACTATCATTATAATCACCAAGAATCATTTTATTTTGAATTGATCCCATATCATCACCCATCATAAATGTAAAAAATCCAAAAATACCAAAAATACCAGCAATCATAGGGAAACCAGATACAACATTAAATATAAAATCTCTCGGGTTTTTCATTAATAAAAACACAAATTCTAATAATGAATCAGAAACTTCAACAAATTCCCATAATTTATAAACAAGAATTGATGGAATAACAGTAGTATAAATTATGATTGCAATCGGATGCCAAATTACAAATCTATTTAATGTTGCTTGTAATTGTTTATATTTATTGGCATGTAATCGACGAGCAGCTTTCGATAAATCTGGGGTTAATGGAGATTTACATAATTCTTTTTGATCAGCAGTATATTCTTGTTTCATCTTGAAGTTAGTTGTTAGTTATTAGTTATTAGAAAGAAGAAGAAAGGGAAATAAATTAAATGAAAAATATTGAAGAAAGAAGAGATGAAATATTAAATATAAATAAATTTAATCGATCCAGCGAAGATATAATCTTGGCTTACTGAAAAAAATCTGTTTTTGATTTATTTTATTGGCACGTGGGGCATTACCTAATTTAATCAAAATTGCGAAAAATTAGTTTAAAGTGATTTGATACGAAGAACATCTCAAACACACCTCAAATAAAATACATATAATATTCAAAACTTCTAGAATATTCTACGCTTTCTCTGGAGGATCGAGATAACTGGTCTTTTTGACGACTAGTTGAAAAGCTTTTCAACTGGCTGCCCCATGATACACCCCATTGCATACAAAAATTTTCATCGAAAATGTAATGTTGAGTTGCAAGACGTTAGGTTACTAATTGGATAAAAGCAATCACCAATATCAGCAATATATGGTGGATCACACTTATTCCAATAGACGACAAGGGGGGAGATGTGATTGGTATGATCAGGGAACGTGTCGATTCCATGTAAGAGTCGTACGGATATCTTCCGAATTAATTGTCACACAGAAAAAATATCCGCGCTACCGATTTGACTTAATTGGACAATGGTTGCAAAACTGACGAAGACCAGTAAATTCATGTCAGGATGTGCGATGTCATCTTATTTTGTCCATATAAACAGACACAGTTTGTCTCACTTCTTCTTGGAAAATAGTTGCAATATGACAAGTAAATTCGAGTACCCCACAGTGACACTTTAAAAAGACGTCTCATTTTGGAATAAAAAATACTGGAGAACTGATATTCCTAATTCTCTATGCCACCAAGCTGGAAGAAAACCATTGATAAAACATTTAAATAGTAATATGTGAATTTACTTCAAATCATTAACCACTTCTTGCTTTATTGTTGTTCCCAGCTCGTATTATAATATATGAGACAGGTTTTAGACTCACACTACGGGAACATTTTTGGTTCGCACCCAAAAAAAAATCGCGAATGAAATTTTTCGCTCCCATCAAAAAATGTTTTGATAGACCTCTGTTCCCACTCATTACAAACTCCAAAAATTTAAAATTAACATCCAGATAAATAATTTAATATGATCAGGTAATCGATAACAAAAAGAATAGCGCCGCTCGGTTTCGATCCGAGGACATCAGGGTTATGAGCCCTGCGCGCTTCCACTGCGCCACGGCGCTTTAACAGCTGGAGTTTGATGTGGGTTTATATGACTCATCGTGGCAATTTTGAGTTTTTTTGGGAAAATTTTGATACACAAAAATGAATTATCATCTGATGGATTTAAAAGTTGTCAATGTTACACAGAGATCTGGTTGGGTAGTGGAATTCTACCGTATTGTTTGTTCTGTCTTCTTGACTGTTTTTTTAAGGGTTGTTGTTACTTGTTTGAATTCTTTTAAATTTGTAAAATTGCTGCAAAAATTATTCTTGTTGCGTAGTTCTAGAGTTTTAGTTTGAATACACTTCCATTTTCTTATATTATTTGTAAATAAAAGGCAATACTCTCCCGAATACAAGAGTAAGCTTCTCTGACGTAGGATATTCTTTTGTATTTGATAAGTGTCTTACGATCTACCATGCGTTAAAACAAACTTGATGTGTACGATTTTGCATATTCCTTGAAGAAAACAATTTTGGAAAGTAAATAAGTCTTTTGATAAGAAAGTCAAACAATACCATTCTCTACGACTTGTTTTCTTCTATGCCTGAAGAAAAACACGCTCATCATATTTGAAAATCCTCTAGAGGCAATGACTAATCAATCTATATTTATAAACAAACCGCGCTACCATTTGATATACTTGACATTTAAGGAACAAAAATTTCCGATGAGTTTGGAGATCATTCATTCACTTTCTTCTTGCTGTTGTCAAAAACTTAAGACTACCCAATGGAGACTACAGAAGAAGGGAGTATATACATTCCAATCCCACATTACCCACCCTTCAAATTACGTTCCTCTTTAATTGATAAAGATCCAGTAATATGGGTTCATTTACTTGAAGCATATATCAAACTTATTGAATATTTATTAGATCCCAATTCTGCCAAACTCTCAGTTAAATCGCAACAACAACTTCAATTATTTCTTAAAGTATTCCTTAGTGAGACATGTGAGGAAGAAACGAAGATATTTTCATTAGGTGCAATAAATCCTGATATTAAACAAAATACAACCATTCTTCGGGTTTATGTTTTTCAATTAATTAAGAATTATAGTTTTGTTAAATTGAATTTAACCGGAGAGGCAATATGGCATTTTGTTAGAATATATGGTAAGACTAACATTAATACTGTTAGAGGATTAGTGGATGGGACATATAAATCGAAATTTAATGATAATAAAAAATCAGGAAATATTTCCACCATTGGATCGGTTCAAAAGCATCTTGAGACTTTGATTATTAATGGGAAGTTAAGCCAAGATGATTTGGAATGTTTATCTACTTTGTTAGGACAACATACTGCATCGGTCAAAACAACTGTATCTATCGGGTCTGCCAATGCAGTCACCCGCAGGAAACAGGGAAATAAATCCGGCCAGTCGTCGTTGGCATTTGCTGAGAGTTTCGTAGATCTGAAATGGATAGAAATATTGGAAAAGCATTATGTTGGAGGTAAGGGTGTTTTTGCGGATGTTATAAAACAAGTCATGATCATATCTGTCATTTCATTGTCTACTGCTAAATTGGCAGCATTGACAATGGAATTGGGTATTTCCTCACTCCAAGCATTACAAGCATCGCCATTATTCAGTTCAATTATCATATCGGAGGCATACAAGGAATTAATCCCCAATTTAGAAGAGAGATTACCATTTTTAAGAAATGTAAACTTCAATGACGAAGACGACGAAGAAGAAGAATATGAGGATGATGATGATGATGGATTTGAACAAAACATAGAAGGAATCTCACTATTGATCGACCTCTTTCCCCAAATGACTGACTCTCAAGCTAAAACCATCCTCAAACAAAACAACGGAGACGTGGAACACGTCACTAACATGTTATTAGAAAACCCAGACATTATCTCCACCATCCCCGAACGTCTTCCCAAACCACCTAAATCCAAACCCAAACCAAAATCCAATCCTCAAATCACCATCAAATCGAAATCAAAACAACCAATCGCGCCAAAACGGTCAATTTATGACGATGACGAGATTTCAAAAGGTGATTTCTCCGGCACGACAGTCATATTTGGAAAGCAATCCCACTCTAAACAACTCGACCCCACTAGTGAAGAGCTTAAGAAGAAGACCCTTAATGCTGCATTGAGATTAATGTATGAGAGTGATGAGGATGAGCCTGATGATACCTATGATGATCAGGAGAAGATGAAAGGAGTGGCAAGCGGAGTCAATGATGATAGTGAAGCTAGGAAGGGGAAGGCTGGGGCTAAGATGCGTGTTCTCGAGGATGATGATAGCGGTAGTGGTAGTAGTAGTAGGAGTGGAATTGGGGAAGGGATTGATGAGAGAGAACGGTATTTGTTTGGGATTTTTAAGACTCAAGGTACTGGGTCATTTGAGAAATCTGCTAGGAAATCGAGTGGGAGACAGGCACTTAAGAAGAGTACTAGTTGGTCTGATGAGCAGATTGAAGGATGGTTGAGGATGTTGATTAAATCGCCGAGGAGGTTTAAGATATTGGAAGAGGATTTCTTTTATGGTGGTGGAAATCCGAATAGACGTGCTCGTAAGAATGTCCAGCAGCAGGAGCAAAACCAAGTACAGCAACAACAACCACAGAAGAAAACACAGCAAAAGGTTGATAATGATGAAGTTGATAAGAGTGAAAAGAAACAAAACTCTAAGAAAGAACCTAAAGATAGCAACAAGCAGTTTGGAAATGAAGGTGAGAAGAAACCACCCAAGTCAAAAGAGGCATCTAAACGTTCTAATGCCAGGAATGAGAAGAATAAGGCAAGTAAAGCCAATCATAATCGAAAGAGTCAACATGATAAAAAGAACATGAGTGGATTATAAGTAGTGCTTTTATAGAAGTTAATATATAAGTAGGCTCTCTGGATCTATATACAATGCAGGATATTGGCAAAAGCTACTAGGATCTCTTGGGATCGTTCGTCAGATCTGGTTGCAGAAGAGTCCAACTGGTAACGCGGTCTCAGTACGAAAGAAAAATTGCTTCGACAAATTTCGCACGGTAGAACGAAAATATCAACTTCGCCGACCCAACCACAGTTCAAGTCCATTTCATCTTATCAATAAACACTACAGACTATCGCTATCCAAAGAAATGATAAGTGCTCTTTTCTTATATGACGCTAAGGGAGATGTTCTCATTTCCAAATTATACAAAGACGATATCAAAAGGGCCATTGCCGATGTATTCCGAATCCAAGTCATAACTGCCCAACAATCACGAGATACAAGTATCAGTAGCAAATCACCTGTTCTTACCCTTGGATCAACATCTTTCATATATATCAAATCTGGGAATGTTTGGATATGTGCCGTGACTAGATCTAATCAAGATTGTGCTACAATTTTGGAATATTTATATAAATTAGAAGGATTCTTGAAGGTTGTATTATCCAATAATGAAAAGAAATTACAACTGGCAAAAGAATTGAATGATGAATTGATTACAAATAATTTCAATTTGGTTTATGAGATTATAAATGAACTGTGTGAATTTGGATATCCTACAAATTTGGATTTAAGTTATTTAAAAAATTTCATAACTTGTTTTAATGATACAAGTGCTAGTGATAATATATTTAAATTGATTCGAAAACAATCAACCAAGAAACGAGAAACCACTCCAGGTGTATCATCTCCAGTCAGAGACACTAGAGATTTAACTACTAGTAATATCACCTGGAGAGCACCAGGTATCAAATATCGACGCAATGAAATCTTCCTTAATGTTACTGAAAAGATTAATATTCTAATGAATTCCCAATCTGATATTCTTCGAAGTTATGTCGATGGATCAGTCCAAATGAAAACCCATCTTTCAGGCATGCCAGTATGTCGATTCGGTTTTAATGAAAACACCGTCCTAATTAACCCCCAAATCAACAATGGCAACAACACCACAACTAATCGAAACAATCGTGATGGGACAGTTGTTTTAGAAGATTCGAAGTTTCATCAGTGTGTTGAATTAAACATGTTTGAAACTGAACGTATTATTCAATTCATCCCGCCAGATGGTGAATTCCAATTAATGACCTATAATTGTCATCTGAATGTGAATATCCCCTTCCGAGTCTATCCACAAATCCAACCCATTGATAAGACAAGAATCATGTATAAGATCAGAATGAAATCGTTCTATCCGGTAAAAATCCCTGCTACCAATGTGTTATTGAGGATTCCAACCCCAAGAGGAGTTAGTTCGACATATGTCCTGAATATTACTGGTGGAAAGGCGAAATATCACCCTGAAGAGAATGAAATTCATTGGAATTTTAACAAATTCTTTGGAAATCAGGAACATGTGCTCACGGTGGAAGTTGAACTTAGAGAGAGTGATAAAGCAGCAACAGGTAGACCCGGGGATGTGAATTCTGATCTGTTGTTGTTGTATTGGAATAGGCCCCCAATGACATTAGATTTTAAGTTGGATATGGTGAGTTGTTCTGGTTTAACTGTAAGGTTTTTGAGAGTGTTGGAGAATGATAAATATAGAACTGTTAAATGGGTGAAATATTCATCTCAAGCTGGTTCATATGAGATTAGATATTAATAGTATTTGTATAACCAATAGATATAGACATAAGGAAGTGGATATCGTTTAAAATGCTTGACTCCTTCTATTCAGCTTAAGTATTGTAAAGAGAATCTTCGTAGTCTTCATATCTCTAATCTGGGGCTATCATCAACTCACACAAAGAAAACGTGGAGAGACGCTGGAGACGAAAGCCAAAAAGAAAAAAAAAAGTGAAACTCATCGAGAAAAAATCACAACACAATTTATTTTATATTCTTTGAGTCACAAACCACCCTAAACTCAAGGATAGAAGACACACAAGAATGCGTGACTTAGTAGTATTAGCAGGATCACTGCATCCAAATCTTACCCGTGCAATTTGCAGAAACCTAACAATCGCCCCAGTCGAAGTCATATCTCGTAAATTCTCCAATGGAGAAACCTCAATAGAAATCAAAGATTCAGTTCGAGAAAAAGATGTATTCATTATTCAATCTGGTTGTGGACATGTTAATGACAATTTCATTGAATTATTAATCATGATTGCTGCATGTAAGACCGCTAGTGCCAAAAGAGTAACAGCTGTCTTACCATTGTTTCCATATTCTAGACAACCTGATGTTCCTCATTTAGCTAATTTAACAGGAGCTCCAAAAGTAAGTACCAAAAAGGATACTTATACTTTTGAAAGTGCACCAGGCACACCGAGACCATTATCTGGAAGAGAAGAGAAGAAGTTTCAATTAGGGATGCCACAGGTGAATACTGGTTCCAACACCCCCAAGAGTTCCAATCCTGGTGTTAAGAGTCCAATACCTATTAAATCGACATATACTGCCAAATCTATAAGTACCAACCCAGCAGCCAGTTTAAGCAATATGTTTAGTCAAGTAGATGCACAAGGTCGTAACGAAAGTGGATATAAACAATGGATATCACCCAATGGTACTTTGATTGCCAATTTATTGACTACCGCGGGTGCTGATAGAATGATAACTATGGATTTACATGATCCTCAATTCCAAGGATTTTTTAATATCCCAGTTGATAATTTATACCTGCGTCCATTATTACAACATTATATTACTCAATATATTCCAAATTATTTGGAATGTGTTATCGTTAGTCCTGATAGTGGTGGTGCTAAGAGAGCAACTGCAGTTGCGGATGCTATTGGATGTCCGTTTGCGTTGATTCATAAAGAGCGTCGTGCGAAAGTTGCTAAGAATCCTCCTCTGACAAGTGCTGGATCAGCAGGAGCAGCAGCAGCTGGTTCAGTAGCTGGTGGTGCAGCCGCAGCCATGGGAATTTCTCAATCACTTGGTACGACTACAATGGTAGCGACTACTATGTTAGTTGGAGATGTTAAAGATAAAGCTTGTATTCTTATTGATGATTTAGTGGATACATCATATACGATAACTAGAGCTGCCAAATTATTAAAAGATCAAGGTGCAAAATATGTTTATGCTTTAGTTACTCATGGTATTTTCAGTGGTGATGCTGTTAATCGTATCAATAAGAGTGCAATTGATAAAGTCATCACTACCAATTCCGTACCTCAAAGTGATACAGCTGATGTGTTTGGTGAAGATAAATTTGAAGTGTTGGATGTGAGTAGAATCTTTGCTGAAGCTATTAGAAGAATTAATAATGGCGAGAGTGTAAGTATGTTGTTTGATCATGGATGGTAGAAGCGTATAAATTATACTTTTTTATAGAAATAAATTTGGTTGTATATATTCATCATTCTGTCGGTTGGTCCAATCGATACCTTAGTCTGAGTCATAGACACATTGAGAGGGAGGACTTCGTAAACCAAGATGGCCAGATCTGGTCCGAGTAGATCTGATATTCTAATTTGTTTCGGAGTTTTTGTTGCCAAACGGGAGTTTACTCCGAACTCCGGGGTTACAATAATTTATATGTGTGTTGCGTTTCAAGAAAATAAACACGAGTCCCCGTGTATTTAAACATACAGAGAGCAACTTAAAGAATCAGACAGAACAGACAGACAATTCAAAACAGACAGAAAAAGGGTTGGGAAAACGAAGTAAGCAATGGAAAACGATGAAAGTGAAAAACTTTTCAATACTGTCCGCATATCCGGATTTATTATTTACTCCACGAACTAAAGTTTAGTTGGTACGTTTCTCCCCCTCCTTTTTTACTCCCCACCACCGTTGTTGTGCCAATTTAAAAATTCTAGACTTGAATATAAAACCTTTCTTAAAAGGAACTCTTTAGCGGCATTTTCTAAAAATAACCATTTTTTTTGGCAGTAAACGAGGGCATTTCGAACTTAACCTGTAAAAAAATAAAACCTAACTTGTAAAATAATTAAGGCGCAACATTTCGTTACAAATTAAGAAACTGAATCAGCAAGGCGAAGTGGCTGGGATTTCATCAACTTCATACCTATTTTTAAAGGAGAAAATATTAGCTATGCGAGTTTTCGAGATTACTACTTCGTAATTGAATGACCTCGTTTGAATAAATGAAATAAGTCATGAAAAAAGCTGGATGTGATCTTGTGATGGCAAAGGGCCTTTCCTGAAATTTTACATGTTAGTTTTACACTTTGAAAGCTTGAACGGCTTTTGACGGAATCTACTTTTTTTAATACGGACAGTTTTTCGGGATCTAAAAAATATTCCATTGCTTTTTTTTTTCTCGCTTTGCGAATCTGTCGTGACAGATTCTCAAATTTTGCAAGTTTTCCCCGGATTTTCTAGACTGTTGAGTTTTTTTTTTTTCGCTTGTCGTTGCCTATAGCGATTTTTTCTGCCGCCCCACCCCCCCCTCCATGGGATGGCATCGCCAGAGGACATCCACAATTTAACCTTTTTCTTGCCTATCAGTGCCACCACCACACCTTGGAAAATTACGAAAATGTAACATCGTTATTGTTACAAGAGAGCATCTGCAGCAACTATGAAAGGTTAATACTCCACAAGAAATTGTAAATAACTATTATAATTGTCAGATAAAAATAAAATATAAAATTTTAGTGGGACGTCTCGGAGGTTAATTACCAAGTTGGGCCAATTAATGTCATTGTTTATTAAAATAAATTTGAGTTGGAAAATTTAAAAATAAATTTTTATTTTGGGTCATCTTTGAATTACTGATCAATATGTAAATGACCACCATATGCCTCGTTTGAGGGAATATTGTGGAGTAAAAGTATTCCGGACATTCCTATGGATCAACCAATTTAATGCCACATAAACTAAACTCATTAAAGAATTTTTCTATTGCCTTACGGATTAAATTCAACAATAAAGCTCTCAAAACCTTAAACCTGTAAAAAGAACATTAAAAACTGTAAAAACAATGAAGACCGAAGCATTTCGGTTTTCCCCATTTATTTTTTATTTTTTTTTTTATTGGGCTTTTGTGAAAAATAAAAAATAGTATAGTGTCTGGAATCGTTTTAGTTTTAATGTCATTTAATTACCCAAAAAAAGGGAGAACAACTCAGACAGACAGTTTCTTTCACTTTGGTATAAATATCAATTAAAATTCCCATAAAATTTCAATTTAACTTTTTTTTTAGATTTTCTTCTTTTTCTTTTTATTTCAATCAACCCTTCCCCCAAGTTTTCACTACTCCCCCCTTCGCATCCATCCACCCCCCCTTTTTTTTTAAATAATACAAAAAGATGACTGCTGCTTCTGCTCTTGAATCTGGTATTCAAAATTTGAACATATATAAGAATGTTGGTGATAATGAATCAGCCGCAAGTCTTAAACATGGTTATATTGATTCTCCATTTCAAGGTAAGAAAGATCAATTTGATCAAGTTTTAGATTATTTGGATTCAACTGGTTTCATTCCTGAATCATTAATTGAATCTGAAACTAAATGGTTTTATGAATGTTTAGGTATTGATGATGTATTTTTCGCTAGATCTTCTCCACAAGAAATTGCTTCCCATATTCATGCTTTATATTCTTGTAAAGTTCAAGCTTATTCAAGTATCAATTTAGATGGTGATCAACCTTTAATTAGCTACAAACGTGAATCTGATGATCATGCAGTATTTTTTGATACTGTGGATACTGATCGTTATCAAAGAAATCAATTTGAATCTACCATTGATGATAAATACATTGATCCAAGTTGTACTGCTGATAAGAGTCACCGTACTGAATATTTCAGTGCTCCATTGAATTATAAATCAGATGCTATTTTACTGGGTGTTTACCAAAAGAACAAGGAATTGAAAGAACAATATGTTAGATTATTCTTTGTTTACAAGAATCAATATAATATTCAAGAAGAAGTTTCTCCAAATGAAACTGATATCAATAAGATTGGTGATTCTACCTTTTTGAAGATTGCTTCCGAAAAGACTAAGAGTTTATACCTGGAAATCATTGGTGATGTTATTAAGACTACCGGTCCTGTTATTAGACATTTCCCACTTGAAGATACTGAAGAATACAGAGTTGTTATTGGTTACAGACAAAAGACTTCTGCTAGATATAATTCTGCTTTAAGTGATTTAGCTAACTATTACAAGCTACACACTACTAGAAAATATGTTGAACAATTTGCTAATGGTGTCACTATTATTTCCATGTATGTTACTTCCAAGTCGAAAAAATCTCAAGTTGATTTGTCAATTTATCAAGTTATTAAGGAAGCTTCTTTATTATATTGTATTCCTCACAATTATTTCCACGATAGATTCATTGAAGGTGAATTATCATTACAAGAAGCCATTTATGCTCAATCCGGTGTTATTTTTGTTACTCATTTCTTGAATCGTCTTGGTCCAGAATATTCAAAATTGATTTCCTTATTAGATCCATCAAAATCCGAAGAACATGCTGAAGTTTTAGGTAGTTTAAAGAGAAGATTAAGATCTGAAACTTATACTCAAGATTACATTAAGGAAGTTTTTGATACTAGAAGAGATATTGTCCGTAAATTATATCGTTCATTTGCTGATGTCCATTATATTAGATCTTCCATGGAAAAGACTTTAAGTTACCAAAGATTATCTCAAATCACTCCAGTTGGCTCCGAAGCTGAATTTGAACAATTATTGAACCGTGAATGTTCTCAAAATGAACATCATGCTATTGTTTTAAGAGCCTTGTATGCTTTCAACAAGTCTATTTTGAAAACTAACTTCTATACTTCCACCAAGGTTGCCCTTTCCTTCAGATTAGATCCATCCTTCTTGCCTGCATCTGAATACCCAGAACGTCCATATGGTATGTTCTTTGTTGTTGGTTCTGATTTCAGAGGTTTCCATATTAGATTTAGAGATATTGCTCGTGGTGGTATTAGAATTGTTAGATCTAGATCTCAAGATGCTTATAATGTCAATGCTCGTAACTTATTTGATGAAAACTATAACTTGGCAAACACTCAACAACGTAAGAATAAGGATATTCCAGAAGGTGGTTCCAAGGGTGTTATTTTATTAGATCCAACTTCTTCTGCTCAAGATCGTCCACAAGCTTGTTTTGAAAAGTATATTGATGCTTTAATTGATTTATTATTGAAACAACATATTCCTGGTGTCAAGGATACATACGTTGACTTGTACAAGAAGCCAGAAATTTTATTCCTTGGTCCAGATGAAGGTACTGCTGGTTATACCAATTGGGCTACTTTACATGCTCGTGATCGTGGTGCTCCATGGTGGAAGTCTTTCTTAACTGGTAAGAGTCCAGAATTGGGTGGTATTCCTCATGATGAATATGGTATGACTACTTTATCTGTTCGTGCTTATGTCAATAAGATTTATGAAAAGTTGAATATTGATGATAGCAAGATTAGAAAATTCCAAACTGGTGGTCCAGATGGTGATTTAGGATCTAATGAAATTTTACTTTCTAGAGGTGAAAACTATGTTGGTCTTGTTGATGGTTCTGGTGTTATCTGTGATCCTAAAGGTTTGGATAAGGAAGAATTAATCAGATTGGCCAAGGAACGTAAGATGATTGAACATTATGATAGATCAAAATTATCTCCTCAAGGTTATGTTGTTTTGGTTGATGATATGGATGTCACTTTACCTAATGGACAAGTTGTCACTACTGGTGTTGCATTCAGAAACACTTTCCACACTAAGTTAAAGGAACAATATGGTGCTCATGGTGTTGATTTATTTGTACCATGTGGTGGTAGACCAGCTGCTATTGATACTCACAATGTTCATGATTTCATTGATGAAAAGACTGGTAAATCAATTATTCCATACTTTGTTGAAGGTGCTAACTTATTCATTACTCAATCTGCTAAACTTATCTTGGAAAAGGCTGGTGGCATTGTTATTTTCAAGGATGCTTCAACCAACAAGGGTGGTGTTACTTCTTCTTCATTAGAAGTTCTTTCCGCATTGGCATTTGATGATAAATCTTTCCTTGAAAACATGTGTGTTAACTCAGAAACTGGTGCCAAGCCTCAATTCTATAAGGATTATGTTAAGGATGTTCAAAAGATTGTTGTCAAGAATGCTGAATCTGAATTTGAAGCTCTTTGGAAACTTCATCAAGATACTGGAAAACCATTCACTATTCTTTCTGATGAATTATCTGTTGCTATCAATAAGCTTGGTGATGAATTGGCTAATTCCAAAGAACTTTGGGATGATGATGTTGCTTTCAGAAATGCTGTTTTGTTAGATTCTTTGCCACCATTATTATTGGAACAAGTTGGTATTGAAAATGTTTTGGTTCGTGTTCCAGAAGCTTATTTAAGAGCTATTTTTGCTACTTATTTGGCATCCAAGTTTGTCTACTCTAGAGGAGTTGACTCTAATCCAGCTAAGTTTTTGGAATTTATTAGTTCTCTTAGAAAAGAATTTGTTAAATTGGGTTTACTTAAATATTAAGTTTAACTCTTTGCAATGTGTTTAGATGTTTTATATTTAATTTAATTATTTAGTATTTGTATTTCAAGTTTTTATAAATGTATTTATATTATTGTTAGAGCTTTAGATAGAAGACAGGTTCTCACTCTTACTTAGTTTCAAATTAAGAGATGGAGATTGCATAGTAGATAAATCGATCAATTGAACTTCAATATTTTCCTCATTAAATATTGCACTCTCTCTCTCCGTATTGGTAAACTGTCTTCCTTCATCAATTTCGCCTTAGTCGACTTTGCCAACGCTTTTCTGCCTAATAGTTGGGCGGAGGTTGAAGATACAACTTTCTCGATACTCGAGAAGTTTATAAAAAGTAAGTGAGCGGTACTGAGATGTATCCTTGATGTGTTATCATTACCAGGAAACAGTGGGCTTCTAGTCTGCTCAAGATAAATTCCTAGCATAGAATCGAACAAGATCTGGTAGTCTAGTAATAATGTATATTTCAAATATACTGACTCTATTTACATTTCTTCAAAATAAATAACCAACATTACCTCATTCTCTATGAGCAAAATCATTCACTCGATTCATCACCTTTCTATTGTTTTTGTTGCGAAGCTGGCTTGTTTTCAACAGGTGATTCAGACTTTTCAGGTAATGCAACTTCTTCATATTTCGACAACATATAATCAGCTGTACCGGCAAATATCATTGTGGAAAATCCAATATAGTAACGAGCCTTAAGTGGAAGCGACATCCATTGCTTATACAACAGCATATTTGATCTTGTTTGCGTGTTTCTTAGTCTCCAAGGAATTGCTGAATATTCAAGATGAAAAGATTCAAGAAATTTTTTACTTCGGTTTTTGTTGGACCAATTAGGTAATTCTATTCCGCTTTTTTCAGAGCGCAAGAGATGAGCTTTATTGCAACGAGCCTTTTCATTTGTTGGAAGTTATAGAGCTAGCAATACTCTTAAGATGTCAATACCCAATAGTAAAAGATTCGCTGTCACTAAGACAGATCTTCCTCCATGTTGCCTACGCATTCATCCCGAAAACTCGACACAAATTATTATTGGAACTTACAAACTAGAAGATAATGGGACAAGACATGGTTCATTAAACTACTACCATTACGAGAACAACGAATTCACATTAAGACAATCATTCCCAACACCAGGAGCAATTCTAGACGTGAAATTCAATCCTAGAGACAGTACGAAGATTCTCACAGTTGACTCAATTGGTCATGTCATATATTGGAACTTCGAAAATGACCAACTCTCAATTCTCAATGACAAACAAGTCACCGACTCCGACGATATCCTTATCACATCCTGTCTCTTCTCCCCAACAGATCCAGAATCAGTATTATTAACATTCACAGACGGGACAAGTGCACTCTTCAACCTTAACAGATTCGAAATCTCACTTTGGTTAGATACCCAACACGAACTCGAATGCTGGACCGGAGCATTTGGAGAAATAGGCGAGTTGAGCAATGTGGTGTATACAGGTGGAGACGATTCTAGACTAATAGCACATGATTTGAGATCGGGGGAGCATATTTGGACAACTTCAAGAAATCAGCATGATGCAGGTGTGGTGTCGATCCTCTCACCGGGTCCGGATTGGAACACAACCAATCCACATACTTTATGGACCGGGTCGTATGATGATCAATTGAGGGTGTTTGATTTAAGAGTAATGGATAAGGGGAATCCAAGTCTTTTGCCAGGATATATACCTAAACTACTCCATCTGGAGAATTTGGGTGGTGGGGTATGGAGATTGATCCCTAGTCCGGTTAGTGGTGATGATAGAGTATTGGTATGTTGCATGTATGACGGAGCAAGGATTGTTAATCTTGACGAACAATCACATTTCACTGTCGATAGATATTTTAAACGAGATCATGAGAGTATGTGTTATGGAGCCGATTGGTCCCCTGATGCCAAATTTGTAGCAACTTGTTCATTCTACGATAATGTCGTACAGACGTGGTCCCCGGATGAAATAGATACATAGATTCAAAATATACAAAAAATATACAATTATGTAAATAAACTTAAATCTAATGGCACAGACGATCCTCTTCCACTAGGATATAACTTCTTCGTATTCTCGTACCTACGTGGGTTCGGCAATGCGTTAGCATTGGAGAATTTAAACCTTCCTTTATCTTCAATTACAATCTTCGTTGAGGCAGTGGCGGTTTTTGTCCTGCCGAGACTTGGATTTATCGTATATGCCAGAGCAGAAATCTTTCGCAATGATGAACCAGCGTGTTGTTGCAGATCCAAGTCATTATATGTAGATGATCCTGGCGGTGGAGGTGGTGGTGCCACTTTCTTATATACGTTGTTGGAAAGTGTAGCTGGCGTAGATGTTGGTGGTGATGGGGCAGCTGGAGGCAAAGATGGAGGAGCAGCTGGAGGCAAAGATGGAGGAGCAGTGGGAGGTAATACTGGAGGAGCTGCTGGTGGAATAGGTGGAGCTACTGGCGGCGAATATGATTCTTTCTGCACTGGAGGAGGATTGAATTGTGGTGGCATTGCTGGAGGTGCACTTGGAATTGGTGGTGCCATACTTGGGATTGGTGGAGCAACTGGGGGTGCACTTGATATTGATGGAGCAGCTTCTGGTACTGATGGGGGCACTGGTGGCGCCTGGGGTGGAGAATCATGAGCATGCGACTTGTGTTTGAACGGATTAAATCCAAATCTCTTCTTTTCTTCATGTTTCTTTTCTGGAACTTCAACTGGAGGTGCCAGGGGGATAGTTGGGGGTGCTGGAGGTACTTGAGGTATGTGTGGAATAGCAACCTTGGTTGGCGTTTTCCGTTTAGGTGGCTCTTTTGAAGGAGCAGGCGTAGATGCTTCGGAATTCACAGTAGAATAACCACTTTCTCCATCTACGACAAACTTGTCATTTCTCTTGGCGGCGATTTGGGAGAGGAATGGTAATCCTCCAGCAGCAGGACTTGGGCTAGGACTTCTTCCTGGCTTGGATGTGGCTGGCACTCCTAATGACGTCGAAGGAGGAGGGGGGCCCGGAGGTGGTGGTGGAGGTGGTGGTGGAGGTGGTGTTGGAGCAGATGCTTTAGGAATCAGCACAGGAGGAGCCGGTGGAGGAGGTGGAACTGAAGCTGGCAATACTGGTGGCGGAGGTGGAATAGATGCTGGCAATGCTGGTGGTGGAGGTGGAATAGATGTTGGCAATGCTGGTGGCCCCCCTGCCGGAATTGGAGGTGGTAGACTTGACACAGGAGGTTGTGCATGTGGAACCTTGGTTGAATCAATCACATTCTTATCGTCTCGCTTTGCATTAATTTGGGCCAAGAACGGTAATCCGCCAGCTGGTAAACCTGGAATAGGAGTACTGCCCTTATTTGAATTACTGGCTGATAAAGCTGCTGCTGCTGGAGGTGGTGGTGGAGGTGGAGGTGGAGCATTTCCTGGGAGTGGTGGAGCCATGGATGGGAGTGGTGGAGGCATTGATGGAACTGGTGGTGCAGCAGGTGGTGTAGGAGATACATTCTCAATCGAGCTAATAGAACTCTTCTTCAAATGGCCTGATTTACCGGGTCTAGTTGGAGGAATCTTGGGTGCTGCCTGAGGAATAGATGGTGGCGGAGGTGCCTGAGTTGGAATTGGTGGCGCTCCCGGTGGAAGTCCGCTGGGAAGTGGAGGTGCAAATGATGGTACTGGAGGAGGGGCTGGTGCAGATGGCATTTCTATTGAATTCCTCTTTGGTGGTCTTGTGCCAGGAACTACAGGTGGCTCTGCGTGTTTTGCAGGTCTTGAAGTTGGAATATGTGGCGTTGGTGCTGGTGCATTATTGTTCATTCCTGGAATTGGAATCTTTGGAGCAGAAGGAGGAACTATTCCTGCTCTATTATCTACATGTTTCAATTTTGGCATTCCTCCTGCAAAAATATCACCTAATTGCGGAGCTCCTGAAGGTTTGACTGACCCATGGCTGCTGCCACCACCAGTCATTGGAGTTGGGGAGGTTGGTGGCATTGACGTTGATATTGACGTTTTCCCTTCTATCAAAGGTTTAGATTTATCTACTGTGACTGCTTTCTTCAATTTCATTCCCTTTCTAATGTCTCCCAATAATGCATCCCTTCCAGCAGGCATAGCCGGAGGTGGACCCAGTTGCAAAGCCCCAGGAGGTGGTGGTCCGGGAGGTGGTGGAGGACCTGGAGGCGGTGGTGGAGGTGGAGGACCGGCCATTGCTAATGTCTTATCAAGGTCTTACTAAATTAATTGAAAAGTGAATACTATTGTAGATAGGAATAACAAAAAAAAAAGAGGATTGCGATTTTGACTTACGATCAGTCGGTATGGGTTTTCCCACAAAGAAAAATCAAAGATTGAAATTTGAGTCAATGTACACGACTTCTATTAATCTATATAATATACACTTATACTTATACATCCATTACTTAACTCCCCATGATAAGTTATCATAACCGAATAGCCATGGTCCAATTGTATGTCTTACAGCAATCATAAAGATACCAATTATGAATTGGAAAGTTAATATTAATGTACATAATTGGTTCTCTTTCATTGGACCAAACCAAACCAAAAAGAGATTAATGATTGTCATATTGGAGAATCTAATAATCTTATTATTCTGTTTAGGATCTCTTTGTAATTTGATTAGTTTGAATAATTCTAATACTGTAAGCATTAGTATTTGCAATTTGTTTGGATTGGTTGATACTTCTCCAAAACTTGGAGACATTAACCCTGATTCAACATTAAATTTAGGTAATCTATGTCTTGGACAAGGAACGATATGAAATAATTGAGGAACTGAATAAACGAAATTGATGATTTGCGGTAATAAGAATATCAATAGAGTTTTGGAGAAATGTCCCAAGATACCTACTACTGCAAATACCATCCCACTGAAATAACAATATGTGTCACCAACAAACACTCTGGCAGGATACCAATTCATTTGTAACAATGCTAATGAAACGCCAACGAAAGGAATAATAAAAATCACGGAGAATAAATGAGAATCATAAGCAGCTTGTGCAATATTGGGAGTGAAAAGATAACAAAAATCGTTAATAAGGAATATGATAGCTAATACTATTGATTGTCCAACTTCTAATCCGTTGATACCAGCTAAAATGTTAATTGAATTAGGAGAAAAGATCGAGACTGCTGACATGTAGACATAATAAAATATACCTAAATCAAGTAATTTAGGAACAGCATCAGGTACAACATAGTCTGTTTGTAAAGTACGGAATGATAATCCAGTTACCATAGTTACAACGTGATTACCCAATCTAATGATATCATTTATGAGATTAATTAATTGACATCCTCCAGGAATTTCAAATACAAATTGAGGAATCACCACAGAAGTCACACTGAAATCAACATAGTAAACAATAAGTAATGGCAAAGAAGCAATTGCTGGCATGAAGAATTTATGACGCCATCTGATATCAAATAAATCATCAAGGAATCCCAAGATAATTGTACTTTGTAAACAAATAATTCCACTTAAATATTCAGCCAATTTATTATGAGGAAATAATCTATTATTGGCCAATGAAAGATATTGCTGAATATAATTACTAGTAATCACTTCATCATTTGATAATGCTGTGAAAGTAACCAAATATTTGAAGAATATGAATGGAATTAATCCAAACATTAAAAACATATATGTCAATGCTGCAACTAATCCCATAGTCTCGGGTATTTCGGAAACAGGCGGAGGTTTAGATAAATCCTTCCCCTTTAATCCAATCTTCATAAAACTGGATGAAAGTCGTGGTATGATCAGAACAGTGACAACATAACCAATACAACCAAATGCTACCAGAGTCCTTAATGGATTGTTGGTGGTAATTGCTGCTGCTGATGCAATTAACACAGCAACACGAAAGAATTTGGAATTGAGCATTGTTCTCATTGTGAGTCTTTCTATAAAGTCTATGTCACTCTTGGATGTCTTGTTGCAGACAAACTTTGAAGAAGACCCTTATTCTGTACTTGGTTCCAGGAAAACATAAGCTGAAAAAATAAAAATAACACGTTGTAAGAAAATAAAAAAAAATAATTACGACCCAATTTTGACAGTCCGTTCATTTTGTACGTACCAACGCTCGCCCCAGAGAATTCCAATTCCAGTTCAAAACCTCCGTAGTAGGGACTTAGTACCAGAAGAAAAAACATTCTCCACTAAATTGAGCTCATCTTCTTCCGTACCCACCCACAAATATCTTTTGTCTTTTTTTCTATCAATCACTTTATTTTCCCAGTACCAAATAATTACAACTAATCAATTACATCCAATTAAAGTAATGAAGCCATTCTTGACAGGTCATGAGGAATTAATCCACGACATCAAATATGATTATTACGGTAAACACATAGCAACAGTCTCATCCGATCAACATATTAAAGTATTTGACTTGGATTCAGCTACATCGTCTTGGATATTGAATGATCTGTGGAAAGCCCATGATTCATCAATTATCAGAGTATCTTGGGCCCATCCTGAATTTTCCAGTTCTAAAATAATCGCATCTTGTTCATTCGATAGAACTGTAAAAATATGGCAAGAACAACCTGATGAATTACATGGTTCTGGTAGGAGATGGACCAAATTGGCAACTTTGGCAATCGAATCTTATGGACCAATATATGATGTTGTGTTTGCTCCTAATCATCTTGGTTTTAAATTGGGATGTGTTGGTTCTGATGGGATCTTTAGGATTTATGAATCGATGGAACCTAATGATTTAAGTAATTGGGCTTTAACTACTGAAATACCAATATTAAATCTGCAATTGCCAGCAAAGAGTTTACAAAGTAGTTTTGCTATTGAATGGTGTCCATCAAAGTTTACTAAAACAGAAAAATTCATAGTTGCGGCTTTGGATCAAGGGTTTATATATGGTACTACAGTCTCATCTCAAGATCGTAAAATCAATGAAGAAGGGATCTACTCAGGAGCTAGTTCTCATGTTGATACACATATTGATAATGAACATGAACATGAACTTGAACGAAGTAAGGATTCGGACTCCAAATATGTTAAACTAGGGAATCTACCTGAACATAATGGATTGATTAGATCTGTTTGTTGGGCTCCCTCAATGGGTAGAAATTACCATTTAATTGCAACTGGTTGTAAAGATGGTTTTGTAAGAATATTTAAAGCTACAGAAACTTCACTGGGAGATTTGAAAATTGAGACATTGGCCAAATTAAGTGATCATAAACTGGAAGTATGGCGAGTTAATTGGAACATGACGGGGACTATACTTTCATCAGCAGGAGATGATGGTAAACTAAGACTTTGGAAGTGTAATTATTTGAGTGAATGGAAGTGTATGAGTGTTATAAATACAAGTAATCGGTCAGATAACCGTACTATAGAGGCAGATCCAATAAAAACAAAGTAGAAATGTACATCATGTGTATGCATGCTTACTGTGTATTCTATAAAGACTAAATTATTTACTGTTTAGATTTCTTAGCTTCATTACTATCTAATTGGTTCCATAATTCTTCATCGTCACTCTCTTCATGTTCTACTCTCTTTCTCTTCTTGTGCACCTTTGAATCTTTAACTCCTTCCGCAGCTTGTTCCTCTTCAGCCTCTTCATCTTCGTCATCTAAGATCACAATAGAGGACACTTCGACCCCAACGTATACCTTTGCTAACATTTCTCTACTTTCAAGATCAAACACCCTCAAGTATCTATCTAACCCAGCAGTAGCGACTATATCTTCCATAATTTCTACGGCAAAAGTAGCACCAGTATTCCCACCTTGAGAATATTTACCCAACAACTTCCCCACAGGTTTAATAATGTCCCCAGCCGAAGCGGAATGGGTCTTGAATGCACGTTCATCAATTTTCACTAACGAATGTCTCGCCATTAAATGATGGGTATCAGTAATTATTATCTCTGTTTGGTCATCATTTGCAAACGTTAATGTAACAATTGGTTTCTCACAAATTTGAAAATCTTGAATTGGTCTTCTTCCATGCTTGGTATCATATATTCTCACCTGTCCATACCTGGTTGATGTAACTAGTTTATATCCTTCTTGCTCATGGTGAAAGAATAAGATATTGCTTATCCAAACAGGAACACGTAAATCTAAATGATCATTTTTGACATTTTTGGCTTTGTAAATGACACTAGGATTGGTAAATACTTTGAGATAGTCTTTTTGCTTCTTCTTGAAGATAGTTCTATTTACTTTTGATTCGAATAATCTGACGATTTGAAGGTCATTTTCATTACCACCGAATGCACATACGTTTTCTTCATCTGGATTGATGGTGAATGCACTTATTGGTTTATTTGATGGTAATGGAATCTCCAAAGGTTCAAAATCAAATTTTTCATTAATATGGATGAGAAATACTTTACTTGATTCATATGCCACAATCACACTATCTAAGATTTCTATCTTGATTAACGCAATAGGCTTGTCTTTTTCGTCTTCAATTGGCACTTGATATTCATGCAATAACTTATACTTATTGTCTTCATTTCCCTTTTCCTCTTCACCGTTCTTTTCTGCTTCTTCTTCTTCTGCCTCCTCGGTTACTTCATAAACCGCTATAGTTCCACCCAATCTAGAAGCAATTATATATTCAGAATTGAAATTAATCATCTGCATTATTCGTGACTTGGAATTAACAACATCATTATGAGTGAAATAATTTTTGATTGATCTGGGTTGAGTAGCAGTTTGCTTAGAAGTATCGGTACCTCTTACACAGACAACTTCTTTAGCAGCACCTGTATCATCTGATGAAATTAGAAACTTCATTGTTGTAAGCCAGTAAACGTTTTAATATCAGAATACTGCGAGAGAAGTTGTACATCATCTTTCCATCAATTGGAAAGCGATGAGCAGCTCTTCCCATCTGAAAAATGAAAAATCATAATCTGGTAATTACACGTAAAAAAAGGTTTTTTGGAATATAACTGCAAAATTACGTTAAAAGTCCTCATCACATGATCAAATTTCCTATTTGAGTAATTTTGTCACGCGAAAATCACCTGAAAGTCATGTGAATATCATGCGAAAGTCACGTGAAATTTCGGCGGGGCTCAAATTTCCAAAATCCCAAAACTAAGAAATAGGTCCCTTGGCCCAGTTGGTTAAGGCGCGGTGCTAATAACGCCGAGATCAGCAGTTCGATCCTGCTAGGGACCATTCTTTCATTGGGCGTGTGGCGTAGTTGGTAGCGCGTTCGCTTAGCATGCGAAAGGTCTCCGGTTCGACTCCGGACTCGTCCATTTTTTGACATTTGAATGATACAGATGGTAAGCAACTACCTGAAGAATATTTCTTAGAGGTTTCAGGTATTTATTTTTTGATTTGGTGGACAAATGGTGTCAATTACTTGGGTAGCTAGTAAATGTTGTGTCCTGTTTCTCGAAAGGTAGATAAGAAAAAAATAATAAAACTGTCCCCCAAAATCCCCCCCGCACACGCATAACCACGAGCTTAAGATAATTGCTGCTTTTTGACAACAACTTCATGAGATTATGCTGGCAATTGCATCACCTAAGGTTCAAGCTCCTGATAATCCAATGATTCCCTCGAGTTCTAATACGCAAGATGAAGGTGTAGAAGAAGAGGAAGACGTATGTATACCCAATCAATCAATATAACTACAGGGTAGACAATTTGAATTACTAACCTATTTGTTTACAGTTGAATTGGTCAGATGAGAAACAGCGAATCCTAGAGAAATACATTATCGACCATGAATTGAATTACCTTGGTGGACAGCGAGATATATCCCAATTCTATTCCGGTTTGAATTGGGACAGAATTATTCAATTGATTGGGATAAATGATTTGGAATTTTTGAAAATAAAGATTGATGACATATATGAGAATTATTTTATGATATTATATGGTGATAATAATGAAATAGACCTTGGTGGGTTCTTAACGGCATGGAAATATCAGGATTCTAAAATATTGCAAGATGTATTAGAAATGATTGATAATGCGAATTTACAAGAGTTTAAAATTGAAGCGTTGCCAACAACCCCCCCACCACCTCCAGAGGAACCACACTTATTGGACGGATTGTCACTACTGGAACAGCATCATCCTACCAACGTTGAGATTACAAATTTGCCATTACAACTGCATCAACAACTGGGTCCTGCACCAGTATCTACAGTGAATAGTTCGGCGATTGTTTCACCTGTGTCACATTCCTCGAGACACGATAGTGTTATCCCTGAATTATCAAAGACACAACGAAGGCTATCTCTTGATTTAATGCACGCAGGGCCGTCAGATAGGAGCAATGCAACTAAGAAACCCGCTGAGACTGCGGTTACCAACGTTAATGTGACAACCAAGGTGGAAATAACACTACAGGCTAGAGATATACCTGAACAGGAACTAGAGCAACAGAGAAAGAAACATAAATTTAAGGATATTCTGAAACGACTAGGTCTCAGTAAGAAGCAACAATCAAAACCGAAAATTGCACCCACTATTCCCGACACAACCCATCATCCAAGATATTCACTTGCTACTGAGTTTCAACCGTCTAGAAGACTTTCATTGGTAGGTGAAAACTTACCAATCTATATTAGAAAACAAATACACATTCCACCAGTGCCACTGAGATCAGACTCACCTTCCAAACGACAGATATTGGTCATAAATGAATCTACTACGCCCACATCAGGCAGCCTACCTAGACTAAGTAGGAGACCAAGTCGAATACAGAACATAGTCATTAACTCACAATCTTTATATGCATATAATCGAGATTTGATGATGTTTAGAGAAGCCCCAATGCAAGAGGCTACAGCTACAGATACTTCGGACCTGACTACGAATCAACAACAACGCTTGCATTATGATTTTGATGATGAGGATGAAAATGATAAGGAATATATTTCACCTGATCTGTTGACAAAGTATTACGGCATGCAATTGGAAGGTGAGGACGGGGTAGATGAGGATGATTTAAATGTAGATGATAATAATGAATTAGAAGAGGATAATGATTTTGTAGATGTACATGGAAGTTTTGATATTGTTAATAATGATGCTGATGAGGATGACGACGACTATTTATTCAAGATATAAATAATAAATAAACTAATAATACAATAAACTTTAGATCTAGATACTTTTTAAGTTGAATGCGATTGACTTGACTTACACGAGTGCAGTCATTTTATTGGAATTCCTCGCCTGTATATATTCCAAGGCGTATTCATAAAAATATATGGTAACTGCACTAGTTGGAGCAGTTTTAACAAGACTCACGCCAAATCCTTTATATAGTCCGAATATTCCTTCGTTTTTTAGTATCTTGACAAAAATATGTACCGCAGGTGCCGTCTTAGTATTATGCACTACGGAATAGACTTGTGATCTACGCCGTAGCGTATCCAACGGGAATGTGATTGCCTTTGAGCTTGAGCCAGCTATAAATCCACATATCCCTTCAATAAATGGAATATTATTATACTGAGTAGAATATTCTCTAGCTAATTCATAATTCCAAAACATGATTCCGGTATTTGATGTAACTGATAATAAAGCGGGCTTTATCCCTTGGAAAAATCCCAAGATTCCATCCTTTCTATAGATGCTTTTTATTGTCTTTGTCATTGATTGTAGAACTCTTTCACGATTCGCTACTAATCTCGTTCTTAATAAATCAAAAGGATAAGTAAGCAAAGTACTAGCACAACCAGCACCGCTTCCTACAACTAATGAATGTGCGCCGGGATTCAAATTAGTGTATTGGTCTAACAAATCATTTAATACAGCATAAGAGGTGAATTGAGCTCCTCCATATAATATGTATAATATTTCAGCTGGAACATTTCCTTTCCAAAGCGCAACTATACCTTCATTTCTTAATAGTCTCTTGACAAGAAAAGCTATTGATTTCCTTTCTTTGAATCCCCTTGGTTGTAGTTGCAATCGTATTTTTATAGTATCAAGCGGAGCAGTCACGGCTCTTGCTATAGCTCCTGAAATAGAGCCTGCAAGTAATGCGTCGTAAGGTGACACCTCTGACCCTTTACGCAAGTGATCAACTCTCTCTCTTTTGTTTTCATTCATATATCAAATTGACCTCCTATCTATCCTTTTCTTCCTCCTTGAGTATTAGCTATGTTCAAAATACTAAATACAAGAAGAAGATCAAGAACAAGATGGTTATAAGCGAGGAAGTCGTGTACAAACTCAAAACTTTAATAAAAAGCCGTTTGGGCGGCCTTTATTCTCCTATGTGTGGTACTGCATATAACATAATTGATGATTACATTTGCAAGTCTCCGCCAACCTTTGCAATGTGTTGCTAACTTTGTAAAAGGTTCTAGATTCGGTATTCTAGGCTTCCGGAGGGCTATACCACTTGAAGCGAAAAGTAGTAGTGATTTCCTTGCTTATAGTTTTGAGTTATTGTTCTGTGCTTGCCAGTGACTTATAATTGCTGCAAATTTCCAACTAAAAATTACAATAAACAAACAACTATTTCGAGTTAGGACTCAAACAAATTTACAATACAAAGTCAGAAATCCTATCAATAAGGATAGTAAGAGTTATCTAATGGCCCCAGTTGAAACATTCTACTATGTGAAACTGGTTCTCCGCTTTGCTTGCTGCTCATAATTGGTAACTGAGATAAAAAGTGGGCACTTTGAATACAATTTCGGCATTCTTAAATTTGATTAGTTAGTCTTGCTTGCAAAATCAGTCTTGCTTGCGAAATCAGTCTTGCTTGGTAGAAGCTTGATATGGGCCATATAACACACCTCGAGAAAGGAGTTAGTTGTATTTCAATTATTATTCACTTTAACTAAATAAGTTGCAATTTCCAGAATATTCGCGCTACCATACTCACGTGATTTTTTCAAACATGAATCATTACGCGTATTTTATGAGACGCGATAGTTTTCTGTAAAGATGATTTGATCTTATAAAAGATTTAGTTATTCATTTATTTTCTGAAGAGAAGATCAATAAGATATTACATAACATGTCACTTGACGACCATCCCATAATACCGAAATACTTATTTGCAGACTTATCACTGAGCTTAAATGCAATAGACAATGTTCTTACCTTACATTATTCCAATCGTATTTCTGATCCACTTCTCCGAGAGATTTTGAATTCAGCAACTAATTTTATAGAAAGAAAGAGAAGGATAGATGTAATTGACCTTGAACAGATTTTATATTTCTTACCTGAATCGTATCGATTATATAAGACTGGGACTGATTATGAAGATATGAGTAAGATTTATATCAAATTTCCAAAGATTGAATTGAACACAACTGCCAGGAAAGCCCAGCTTATGCAAGCAATGAATAACTGGATGAAGAACCACTCAACGTCAGACTCTATTCCAAAGACGAGTATTCAAGATATTGTCAAGAAATATGAGCTTGAACAACCGGTATCAAGAACATCACTGCCTGTCAAAATCACCAAACCAACATCAAGAAATGGATCTCCCACTAAAGCAAGAAGAAGACTATTATTTGAAGATCTTAAAAATGATTCTTCTCAGTTTAAGTTTAAACAAAGGGACGAGGTTGTTGAAACAGAAAAGAATAACGGCCTTTCATTGCTTGAACGAATCAGACTAAAAGAGAAGTTAAATAAACTCGAAGAACTTAAAGATGAAAATTCTGCAGAGCTGAAATATGAGACATATTTGTCACAAAAGTGCCAAATGGTTTATGATATAATTTTTCAATTGTATAATGTCAATTTAGAAACAGAAACATTCAAATCGTTTTCGATAACCAAATTAGTGGAAATCATTAAGGACAGTTCCTCATATCCTTTGGATGCTGATGAAGTTAAAGATGTCATAAAACTTATAGAACGGAAATTGAACAATAAAACAAGATTTACTATTATAGAGAAGAATAGAATAACAATTTTAAAAGTAGCTAGTTTAAATCGCAATCAAGATTTAAAAATACTTATATAATGACTAATGATTAATAAAACAACTTTTTATTTTATTTATTTATATTGTAATTATTAATATTAAACTATCTATAACAAAAAACTATAATGAAATGAACCTTCCTTATTCGACAACTGCCAACTTTTCATTATCCACTACTTCTTCCCCATCATCATCTCTCTTGGCAATATCAGCTGCTGCTGAATTCATAAAGAAGTGCTTTAATGTACTTTCAATCAACCAAGTGGCACCTAAATCAACCAAAATACTTCCAGTCAATTTCACCTTAAAATCACTAGTCATTTTGACAAATTGCATAGCTTCATTTAATTCAGGCATAAATTCAGTAGATCCAGCAAGAGCTAACCCAGCAACTCCCAATAAACCGTAATACATACCCTTGTTATCTTTAATACTTTCTCTGAATGGTAATCCAATATAGTTAACAGCAAAAGTAGACACTTGTTGGGCTAATTGTAATAAAAACATTCCTGTATTCAACAAGGATGGACTGAATTCTTTTTCTAAATCAACTTGAGGTTCTCTTGGTTCAAGAATATAAATTTCACGAGTAATATAAATCAAAGTAATGATATGAATTGCAAATTGACCCAAAATAGATCCCATGATATAAATATTGAAAATTCCATCTTGTGGTCTCTGCTTAGATAATTTTTCTAATGGTCTACCACGAGAAATAGAAAGGAAACAAACCGATAACAAAATCCCAGAAATGGTAGCTTGACCATCACCAAATTTAATACCAGCCAAATATAAAACCGATAATGAATATGCGGAAATCAAACAATTTAAAGCAAGAATTTTATACATTTGAATAGTGGAAACTAATGCACAACGACCTTCACGAATAATATGGGTAACAGCACTGACATTGGATAATTTGGAAGTAAAAGGAGCAGCAACTGAGGCATCACCCAATTTCAATACTGGAACTTCGTCTTCCAGTTCTGCTGCATCTAATGCACCCATAATAGTATCAGCAAAACCACCACCACCGCTCTTGTTTTCGGATAATACCTGCTCAGTCTTGGCTGGGACTTTATATCCAGCCTTGTTAGCAGCATCAACAGCTTTTTTCATTTCTTCAGTAATTTCAACACCCTTCTTTTCCATAGCTTCTAAATACTTTGGATTTGATGGACCTGGAGGATATAAATGAGCGATAATAGGTGGAACAGGTGGAGGCGGTTTACCCCATCTTGTAAGTAATTGTACTTGTTTTTCGTAGACTTTCAAAGTAGCTTCCATTTTTCTATTTTCAATTAATTTCTTCATACCTTCTTCAGTACCATTTAATAATGCAACACCAATATGAGCTTGCTTAAGAGCACCAACGTCATTAGTACCATCACCACACATCAAAGTGTTATAACCGGCATCTTTTAATGAAGTCAAGATAAATTCCTTTTGAGAAGGAGAAACACGTGCATAAACCCAAGTATGTTTTAAAACTTCTAAAATTTGTTCATGTTCACTCAAGTAGTTCAATGCATGACCAGTAATACAAATATCATAGTTGGCAAACAATTCAGTATTAATCTTATCATTTGAGTTGAATGGAATAACAATTGATTCATCGACATTTCTCCAAACTAAATTTTCATTTTCTTGGACTTCATGATGTTCTTCAGGGGCGTCCAAAATCAATACATCCTTGGTTACAATTGCAACTTCCTTAGCAACATGACAGGCAGTTAATGGATTATCACCAGTAATCATAACTGAACGATGAGAAGATTCATTTAACATTTTAATAGTTTTGATAGCATCATCTTTCAAAGGACAATGGAACACAATAAACCCTGCGAAATGTAAATTAGACTCAATATCTTCACGTTTGACTTTATTAACGTTAACGCTAGCATCAATATGTTTATAAGCAAGGGCTAAGACACGGGAACCAGATCTAGTGAATGATTTATAGATCTCTTCATAGTTATCAGGGGCATCGACAATCATAGTACGGATAGTTTCTGGGGCACCTTTAGCAGCAACAAAATTCTTACCGTAAAGACCATTAATTGAAGAAATAGAAGACATTCTCTTCAAAGCTGACGAGAATTGGAAACGACGTAAAATCTTAATCTTTTTGGTACCACCATTCTTTTTCTCAACGGTGTCATGAGCTCCGACTTGCCAATGAACAGCTTTCAAAGTTGCTTGTTCCATTGGATCACCTACAACTTCACCATCATCTAATCTAACTAATGCATGAGCGGCACCCAAAACATAAGTAGTATTTTCTGGAGCTTCTTCACCCTTGTATAAATGATGAATATCATCAACATTGAATCCAGCTAATCCTTCAAAAACTAAATCTTCAGCAGTTAAAGTACCAGTTTTGTCAAAACAACAAACATCAATTCTACCAGCCAATGGAATTCTGAAAGGTTCAGTACAATAAACATATTGCTTTTGCAATTTAGACAAGGACGAATTAACAGCCATAGTTAATTCCATTGGCAATTCAGGTGGGACAACAGAAGTGATAACGATAATACAGTCCAAGATCAATTTAGATTGAATTCTACCCATTTTAGTACCTTCAACCCAAACATACCATGAGGCAGCAATTGCAAAGATTAATAAGAACAAAATAAATAAGAAAGCTTCTTTATTACCAACTGAGACTCTTTCACTTGAGAAAATCATCATACGAACCAAAGAACCTTGAGAAGTTTCAAAACCTGTCTTAGTGACAACGGCGAGAGCTCCATGATCAGGAGCAGCTGGGACAATAGGGTTGCTTTCAGGTGGGGTAACTTGAAGAGCCATAGTACCTCCATGTAAGATTGAATTTTTATCAAATCCTTCTGGTTGTAAATTATCAGTTGCAGGTCTTAATTTGATAGATTCTTTTAATAATGGAGTAGATTCACCAGATAACATGGCTTCATTAACAATAGCAGAACCATCAATTAACAATAAATCACATGGCAAGGCACTGCCTTCACTAGTTCTAGTAACGGAGATTAAATCGCCTGGTAATAATTGAGTAGTTTCAATTTCAACCCATTTTTTATCACGATAAGCATAAACAGAATAAGGTTTAATACCCATACTTTGGAATTCAGCCATAGTTGTTCTTCTTTGGAAAACAGTAGTCATTTCAAAAGTCACTAACATGAATAAACTAAATAAGGAATAGTACCATTGTTCATCCATACACCAAAGGGCAACACAAAAGATTTGGAAAACGAAAAATGGTGCAACGGCATGCTCTTTAAATAATTCTAAGAAAGTTGGAACTGGGATATCGAATTTATTAGATCCATAATTTCTAATCATCTTTTCTAAATCACCTGATAAACCTTTAGTAGTTTGAAAGACTTGTAATTGAGGTAATTCATCAAATAAGAATTCAGGAGGGGAAAATTTATTTAATTCAGGATGAAATAAGTATCTTCTCTTTTGATACAAGAAACTAACTTGTTTTTCACCATCATGGAAGGTTTCACGATTAATTTCACAGATTTCTCCCATTCCTGAATTTGGAGCAGGAATGATCTTTATATATTTAGCATTAGCAATTTGATCAACCTTTTGGTAATTAAATTTAGCATTAATATCAAGATTCCAATGGGGCATTAACCAGAACAATAAATTGAATGAAATGATAGCAATACAATATACAAAAGTCCATTCTTGACCACCAATATATTTATCATAATGTTGAAAATAAATTTGAATAAAAATTGGATATATAATTGTAAAAGGCCATACATAAGGTCTAAACAATAGTGGTTTAGGAACCAACAAATCTGCAGCCTGTATACCAGGATTGGCCACTAGATCTGACATTGCTTTGATTTAATGTTTAACTTAATCAAAAAGAAAGGAAAGCTAAAGGAAAGATTTGGCAACACTCAATTTTCAACAATCCCAATCTTTTTTTTTTTTGCCTTTGTATGACGGTTTAGATTTTTTTTTTTCAACAACATTTTTTTTTTCCGGTTCAACTTAATTTCTTTTGTCTTCTTTATCCTTCTATGTTTCAACGGTTATTATAAAGAAACTATAATAACCGTTGAAAATAAACCAGTCCTTGATAAAAGCAATATGTAAGAACCAGATTAAAAAGCGGATGACAAGTTTGTTTGGGATTGTTACACTTTCTTTCATAATTGTCTTAGCAGATAGATACGGGGAACAGCGATACGTATCACCTTGAGCCGCACCCATTTCAAACATGGTAGTACTTCTTCATAGTTGTATACCAACTTGATAGCCCTACAATTCTTTATTCACCGTAACTTTAAGAGTAAAACTTTTAACTAACTTAAATTAATTTATTAAAACGAACACTAAGAAAATCTCTAAGTTAAATCATTTATATATAAAATCGTGCACATTGACGCTATCACCGATTATCCGGATGGTGTCGACTTCGAAGAAGATTTTGACCGCTTAATTTTTAGTTGCGTAGTCTCATTCCCTTGACCAAGACAGGCTCTTCTGATACCATAGAAATAATCCGATTCCTTTCTCAACCTTATTCTTAAATTTTCAGCAACCTGTTTTTCAGAAACTATAGGGATTTTTTCTAAATCTTGAATATTCTTCTCGATTTTCTTTAGCGCCTCTTTAAGAACTTCCTTCTGCCTTTCAAGCATAGTCCTGATATCATTTTTCAAAGTAACAATTTCGGCAATAATATTTGTATCTTCCTCTTGTTCGACTGGCTCTGTAATCAATTGCTCTTGAGTGTCAGAGTTTATTAAAGCGTCAATATCTTCGAATTGGGGAGTTATAAGCGGGCTCATAGATAAAACATCTTTTGACGTTTGACTATTTATATATGTACCACCAGTAAGCTGGCTAACCGAAACGCCAAACTGCAACTTCTTTAACTTAGCTTCCACTGACGACCAGGGGAGTTCAAGGTCCGAACATTTTAACAAGTTCTCCCTCACGTCACATCTAATCTTTGGGCTTTTGGTGTGATCGGCATCCAAGAAAGAATGTAAATGTTTCCATTTATATTCCACAATAAAGTTGCCTTCCTTGAAAGCTTCTTTCTTTTTCCGAAATGGCCTTGAACGTATTGTCACCATAGCAGGACAGTTAATTTTGCAGGTTCTATTGATAGGTGTATACCATTGTTTACCTCTATTACACCTTAGATGAAGGATATCAGACCTAACGTCTCTGTTCCACGAATAATGTAGATTGATCGACTTAACAAAACCAACTACGTCATTGCCTGTCATTTCCTTTACCCAGGTATCAGCAGATAGGTTGGCAACACCAAAATCATGGAAGAAAAATTTGTACAAACGATCAGCACCATTAATATTCTCGTCCAGCAATTGAACAGAAATTGGACGTACCTCCATCGGAGTTGCCGATTTCTTTATCCTTTTTGGTTGCTTTATCTTTTTATTTGCTAAGATCGGTTGTGAATCTTTTATTGCTTGTTGAGACAAATAATCATCATGAATTTTTTGGTCCCAATTCTCTATCAAATATTGGCTTCTCTTAACCACGATACCGTCGCTCTTGACTTCGATAACTCGATTATAGAATGCTAAATCTTCCTTTGGATACTTAAGGAGAGCCCAATAATAAGGGTGAGCGGTTGCAAGTGCTCTCTTGATTCCAGGAAGTTTAAACATATCTTTAATAAGATCTGGGAAATCAGGATGCAATTCAAAATTGAGTCCTGCAATATCTTTCGTGCCATCTATAATATCAGCAGCTATCTGAGAGGCAACGACATCAGCATAGTTACGAGCTAGATGATGCATGGGTTTCATTTGATTTTCGATCCCTTCTGTTGGATCTTCGGTTTCCTGAAGGGCGAATTGGATAGATTTTTTTAACTTAGCAAACGAATCCAAGGATTCTGAAGACAGGAAATGTCTAGGCCCAACTCCTGGGGATGAAGATAGTATAGTTTCAGACATTTTAAACGAATGAGGTCAGCAATTGAATACTTTAGAAGTTGTTGATGTAGAAATGAAGAAGTGTAAATAAAGTTCATCCGAAATATTAAGAGTTACGAGACGCGTCCGGGTGAGAACTGGTTTTCAGAAAACTGGTTTTAATTGATCTTTTCTGATCTTTTTTTACTCTTATATCTATTAGGAAAATTAATTAGTGATAACTATACAGAAAAACCTGCCCTTATCGAGTTGCCCCAAAAGAGTGCAAATTATTCATATATAGCCTATTTCAAATCCAAGATTATGTGAAACGCAAAATGCCGTCCACTAGATTTGGATTTATGAGTCGAGAAGTAATACCAAGAGAAATGGTCTGATTTCATCGACGAGAAGCCGCAGAAAGCCGCCGAAGGGCATAACAACTGCCGCCATTCAGAAGAGGCTGTTTCCTTAATGCCTTGCATTCCCTCCACAGTTTATGAACTCTTTGTGAACGAATAAACTGTGGCTCCTCGTCACAAAAACAATGTATCCGATACTATTAATAGTACGTTGCTCCTAGTTGCTTTGACCATAAAGCCATTTGAAACTGACAGATATCTGCATTGAATGGTGCAATGATTCTTGAGACTCTGAAGAAATGAACATTTTTTTCAATTTATGATTGCCGGATTTGTAGATTTTGTATGTTTCGGATTTAGTGCCGATTTAGTCTGATTTTATTTTTTTTGCGCTAAAAAAAACTGTGGCTCGTGTGATGTCGTGATCCATTATCCCCATGATTCCAGTTATACAAATTGCCATTCGATTGTATTCTCTTTCTTTGCTTATAAATACACCCCATCTTTCTTCTTGTACGGACTCACCATTTTCTAGAAAAGCATCACCTCAGTAAATCTTCTCGTGAAAGAATGTCATTCCAAAAGATACCAATTCTTGATTTGAAATTAGCTTTCGATCCAGAAACCAAACCCCAGTTTTTACATGATTTAAGAGATGCCATGATTAATGTGGGGTTTCTTTTGCTCAAAAACTATGAATCCCTCGGCCCATCCGAACAAGAATTAGAACAAATCAAACAACAAACAATCGAATTCTTTGCCTTACCCGATGAAATCAAATCAAAATGTGAAATGATCAATAGTCCTCATTTCTTAGGATATTCCCGATTAGCGAATGAAATAACGGCTTCTCATACGGATTGGAGAGAGCAAATAGATTTGGCCACCGAATTACCCGGTCCAAAAGCATACGAGCCAATTTATAAAAATATCGAAGGTCCAAACCTTTGGCCAGATGCTGAAGCTATACCTAAATTCAGACCTACAATTGAAAATTTTCTTGCCAAGATGACGAACTTAAGTGAACAATTTAGATATTTAGTATTAGAATCAATTGGTTTAGACCAGCATGCTTTGGATGCATATTTCAAACCAAATCAACAATGTAAGATGAAATTAATTGCTTATCCAGACAGGAGTGCCTTGAATGGTTCCACATCAGTAGCATTGAATGATACTCCGGACACTAATCAAGGTGTTGGCCCACATCGTGATTCCGATTTGATCACATATATCTACCAACCAACCCCACATAAGAATTCTTTACAAGTGCAAAATTTCCAAGGACAATGGGTTACTGTGCCAAATTTACCTGGCCATTTAGTTGTTAATAATGGACAAACGTTAGAAGCTATCACGCTTGGGGTTTGTAAAGCCACTATCCACCGTGTGCTCATCCCTGAACCTGGATCAGGTACTAGACTCTCAATTCCATTCTTCCAGACTATTGATTTAGATGCTTATAAAGCTGCTGTTGAGAATATCCCGGAGGAAGTTATTCAATTGAGAAAAGAAAGAGATAAGAAGATAAAAGATTGGGCTGTTGATGTTGGATTCCAATTTCAACCCGATGTTAATAAGCATCCTGTTGGGTATGCTGTTTTCAAGAATAGAATTAAATCGCATCAAGATGTTGCAAAAAGATGGTATCCTGAAATCTTACAGGAAGTGTTACAAGAATATTCATTCTAAGAGAAACTTTCTTTAGGTATCATTATTTATTCATATGTAAAATGTGTCTGTTTATTTAGAATAAATTCATCTAGAAATGGAATTAGTCTCTAAGGTAGGACTTGGAAAGCAACCATATGCTGTAGCGAGGTTCACACACAATTGTTTCCTTAATATCTATTTTCTCTGTCATTTCTGTTCAGGCCAGTTCTCTCTTCGCTTCCAACGTAAGAAGAGCTCTCATCTCTTTCCCTTTGGTTCCTGCTACCACTACTAGTGTCTTGGCGATTTCCGGTTGAAAGGTTTGCAACTCCAGTAGTGATACCATTAGTTGACGAGTAGTTTCCAGATGCCGACAGGGAACTAGTCTTCAGGTATCCTCCTTGAGAAGATTCATTAGTACGAGAGTAGCTCTCAGAAGTTCTTGAACTTTCATCCCTTCTGTCATTGGTACTTGAATAGCTGTCATCGCGACTCGTGTTACCATAGGAAGTATCTTTTCTTTCCTTAGAATTTTCTTGAGTTCTTCCGGAAGAATAACCACTAGTATTTTCATCCCTTTGAGCAGTACGGGATTGACTGTTACTATCATCGGAATAGGTATTGGATTGTCCATATCCGCCAGTGTTCAGATCTTTGCATTGAGAAGAATTGTTATTGTTTTTACGTTCACCACTAGAAGAGGTTCTCTCTTTAGAAGATGAGGATTCATTGGAACGGTCATTGCTTTGCTTCCTACTGTCATTTCTATCTTCTTCCTTGTCTTCCTTCTTATCTTGGTCTTTTTCCTTCTTTTCATCACCTTCCTTGTGATTATATTGATAATCAGCATATGTCTTGGTAGCAATAGTCTTAAGATCACCACCCTTTGAATAATTGTCATAAGCGTCCTTGAGATCGTCAGTGGTAACTTTACTTCCCAGAAGTAGCTCAGCTCCCTTCTGTAAGAGACTAGCGGCACCTGAAGAAGAGTCTTCTTGATTCTTGGTCTTGTTTTCACCTTCAAGCAAGTCTGCTCCCTTCTTTAAGAGACCACCCAATCCACTACTAGCATCATCCGTGGACTTATTCTTGTCATCTTCCTTGTCGTTCTTACCACTATTCTTGTGGTTTTCTTGATAATCTGCATAGGTCTTTATGGCTACAGTTTTGAGGTCACCACCCTTCGAGATGTTGTCGAACGCATCTTCAGCATCATCAACAGTAACATAGCCTTCACTAAGGATATTTTGTCCTTGCTTAACGATATTTCCAAAATCCATTGTTTCTTAGTGTGATTCTTAGTTTGTATAATAAACTTGTCTAAAAGAGAAATTGAAATATTCAAGCAATTGAGAGTCAAAGGGGAAGTTGGTCAGGTATTTATAGTTGTGGTCAGCTTTGTAACCTCATTTTTACACGAACTGGATAATGCAGTACGAAGCGAATTAAGAGTTGGCACGTCATTTGTTTCAAGAAAACATGGAACGATTTGTACGAAGTAGGACAAAACCAAATGCTTTTGAAAACTATCAAGTATTAACGGACTCAGATGGGAACATGATATAAGTCCTGCTCACATAAATAGGACAATTCAGATAGATTCAGAGTAGAAGCAGTGCCCCTTTTGTTCAATGGTTTCTAGAATGTTCAACAGCAGTTCGCCAACCTTATTTTTGGTTGCCAAGTCAAAAATATTTACTTTCTTCGTCGCTAATTACACCCCTGAAATCAGAAAACTTTCAAACGAATGTGGAACCAGTCCTTCCAATACGGATGTACAAACGTGAACAATACAATGGTAAGCCTGTATATGGCTCTAAGTAGAATATGCCCATTAAAGTTGGGTTCAACAGGCCATTAAGGCAGTCATAACGTTTGAATTAACTTTGATGTAATCAATACGAATTCGGGTAACATCTTGCGTCTATTCTTTGCCAAGATTGTTATCGCATTCATCCATGTGGGTGGTAATTACAAATGATGGCCCAAGGGTTGTTCTTTAACCACAGGCTCAACATCGACAAGATAAAATGTCGTTTTCAGAACAATACGACATACTTCACTGACAAGCAGGACGACATGATTCCCCCCACCTTTCAAAGTGTCATAAGTCTTGGATGAACATTTTACTTATCAATTGCAGAGAGTAACGAGTTTAAGAGAGGTAACAAATACAAGTAGAGAAGAACAAATGTAGTGAAATGAAAGGACTAAAATCAACTGATGTGAATTCAGAATATATAATTAATTAATTAACTCCTATAACATACAACAATCATGGTAACTTCTTTTCTGCCTGCTTACCGTCATTCTTATGGTTCTCCTCATAGTCAGCATAAGCCTTCATACCAACAGTCTTAAGATCACCACCTTGTTTGTAATCAGCATAAGCATCCTTAGCATCTTCAGAATTAATCTTACCTTCCTTAATGAATTCTTCTCCTTTCTTTAAAATATCGTCAAAACCCATTGCGCCTTTAATAATTTGTTTAATTTACTTAATAAAAATTGTAACCTAAGGAAAAGAAGAGAAAGATATTTTTTACAGAAAGAAAAACTAGAAAGATAAAAAGGGGTATTTATACTCTCATCTATATGAGCCCCGTACCTGTGTCTCGAAGTTTTATACAATTGACACTTATTGTTACAGTCAATTATTCTTTATTATAATAAAATTTCATAAAACAAACGTATCAAAAATTCTAGTGTTCCTGTATAATGGATCACCCTTAACATGAAATTTCATATTTTTCGGATTTGTGTTAAATTCTTTTTCGATGCGTCTTTTTCCGGACAATACATTCACTTGCATGAAATGGCTTACAATGACAGGAGTCCATGCAAGGAACTTCCTTGAAATATATTCAACATGTGAAATAAAGTTTTACGTAGAACTTAATTGTAACAGTTTGAATTTACAAATACGTTTAATAAAATAGTTTATACATGATACTTTAAAGAAAAAGGAGAAAAATTAACTCTATTTAGATTCTGGTTCAGCATTTAATTCTAATTGTTGAAGTCTTCTAGTGAAGGTTTCAATTTCAGTCATGGTTCTTTCATATTTCTCATTAGTTGAAGTTATAACAGCTTCATCAGTACTATCATTGAAACTAGCTTTAACCTTTTGAAGTTTCTTTTCAGCAACAGTAGCTTCATGAAGTTTCTTACTATACTTGGAAATTTCCGCTGGGATATCCGCATGTCCCTTAATGATGACATAAAGATTAACATTAAGTCCGACAGCAGTGACAACAGAACCGGCTGGATGCCAGTTTTCACCATTTTCACCTTGTTTGAAAAGTTTAAGCGAATCAAGCGGTTTAACCATAGACACAATAGAATCTTGTTGTTCTAAAGTAGTCTTGTATGATGCTTCATCCTTACATTCAAGATAAATTTCAGCACCCTTCAAAATATTAAAGTTGGCCAATTCTGATCTTGCAGTCTTAACAATGTCCAAAACCAAGTTGTATTGATTACTACCTTCTTCATCGGCGAAACCTTCTTCATATTCTGGATATTTGGCTTTCATGACGGTAATAGCAGTTTCACCTTCACGTTTTGGTAATCTTTGCCACATTTCTTCAGTAATAAATGGCATGAACGGATGTGTCAATCTCAATAAGGTTTCAATACAAGTGTATAAAGTATTTTGAGCGGAAAGCTTTTGTTCTGGGGTACCATCTTGCATCAAGTATTTGGAGTTTTCAATATAAACATCACATAAATCATACCAGAAAGTATAAACTGTATTAGCAGCATCAGAAAAGTCACGGGCTTCTAAATATTTGTTAACATCACCGGAAGCAATAGTCAATTTATTCAAAATCCATCTTTCAGGTAAAGATTCTTGACCAGTTTTGGCACTTGATTTTGGTGGAACGTAATCTTCACCTAATCTACCTAAAACGAATTTAGTAGCTTGATAAATCTTGTTACAGAACTTACGATAACCTTCAACTCTTAAAATATCCAAATTAATATCTCTACCACCAGTACTATAAGCACAAAGAGCGAATCTAAGAGCATCAGTACCACATTCTGGAATACCCTTGGGGAAACTTTGTTTTTGGATTTGAGTAGCTCTTTCAACTTCAGCTGGAGCTAAATTACCAGTTAATAACTTATCACGTAATCCATCTAATGAAATACCAGTCATAACATCAATTGGATCAATAACATTACCAAGAGATTTAGACATCTTACGACCTTGAGCATCTCTGACTAACGCATGACAGAAGACTTCATTGAATGGAACCTTACCAGTTAATTTCAAAGTCATCAAGATCATTCTTGCGACCCAGAAGAATAAAATATCCCAACCAGTTTCCAATAAGGATTGAGGAGCAAATAATTCCAAGTCTTTAGTGTTGTTTGGCCAACCTAAAGTGGAAATAGCCCATAAACCAGATGAGAACCAGGTATCCAAAACATCTTCATCTTGTTCCAAGGTGAATTTCTTATTTGGGAATTTAGCAGTAGCCTTTTCTAAAGCTTCTTCTTTAGTTCTACCAGAAATCCAATATTCATTATCAATTCTATCATGCTCTTCACCTTCAATCACAACAAAATAAACTGGACATCTATGACCCCACCATAATTGACGAGAAATACACCAATCTTGAATATTTTCTAACCATCTGAAATATTCAGCTCTGGATGCTTGTGGAGCAATATTGATTTCTCCACGTTCAACAGCAGCAATAGCGTCCTTGGCCATTTCTTGTTGGTTGACATACCATTGTGGTTTCAACAATGGTTCAATGACATCACCAGATCTAGAACAGATTGGAAGGTTCATTTCATTAGCTTCTTGTCCAACGTATAACCCTTTTTCTTTCAATGCTTCAATAACCTTAGATCTGGCATCAAATCTCTTCATACCCTTCCATTCGGGACCACAGTTTTCATTTAAGAAACCATCATCAGTATAAATGTTAATGAATTCTAGATTGTTTCTCTTACCGGTGTTGTAATCGTTTTGATCATGGGCTGGAGTAATTTTAACTGCACCAGTACCGAATTCCATATCAACAGCTTCGGAATCGCAAATAATTGGTAATTTACGATCTAAGAATGGATGTTGAACAAATTTACCGTGTAAATGTTTATATCTTTCATCATCAGGATGGACAGCAACACCAGTATCACCAAAAATAGTTTCAGGTCTAGTAGTGGCAACAGTAATCTTTTCATCAGAACCTTCAACAGGATATGAGAAAGAAGTCAAAACACCAAATTCAATCTTGTTGTCATACCCTGGAATACTAAGTAAACTTCTTGGAGCAATAAGTTTATTATCAACTTCCAAGTTAGAAATGGCAGTATTTAATTTCACGGACCAATTGACTAATCTATTGGCTCTGTAAATAGTACCATCTTCATGTAATCTAACAAAAGCTTCAGTGACGGCTTCGGACAAATCTGGGTTTAAAGTGAACTTTTCTCTACTCCAATCATAAGATGCACCTAATTTCTTAAATTGATTCTTAATTCTATGGTGATATTCTTCTTTCCATTCCCAAACCTTTTCAACGAATTTTTCACGTCCATAATCATGTCTAGTCTTCTTTTCCTTGTTCCAGACTTGTTTTTCAACAACGGATTGAGTTGCAATACCAGCATGATCAAAACCCGGAATAAATAAGGTGGTCTTACCTTGCATTCTATTCCATCTAATTAAAGTATCTTGAATAGACACAGTCAAAGCATGTCCAATATGCAAAGCACCGGTGACATTTGGTGGAGGACATGGAATGGTGAATACACCTTCCTTCTTAGCCTTACCATCTTCAGTTAATTCAGGTTCAAAGAATCCTTGTTTTTCCCACCAGGAATACCATGAACTTTCAACATTGCTTGGGTTGTATGCCTTTAATGATGGGTCATCTAAGGAGATCAAAATCTTCTTGTCACCTGCTTTAGTTTTGTCAACGAACTCTGGAATTGGTTCAACAACCTTCTTAACCTTCTTTGGCTTATCTTGAGACTTCTTAGCTGCGTCTGCTTTGGCAGCTTCTTGCTTAGCCTTCTTTGCTTCGAATTTGGCTAACTTTTCGGCCTTTTTACGTTCTTTTTCCAATTCTTTGGCAGTTTTAGGTCTTGGAGCTTCAGCATTGGCATCTGCTCCGGCTCGAGTGGCAGCAGATGGTGCGGCATCGGGGTTTGTTGCAGACGCAGCAGCGGGAGAAATTGGGTCACTCATATTTATCTTTTTAGTAGAATATGCCCTTGTATTAATTAGAATCCTTCTATTGATTAAATTAATTGGTAATATTCGAGGAAAGAATATTCTACGACTAAGCATATACAATTTTTTAGAAAATGGGAAAATTTGAAACTCTTTAAAAAATCTGAAAAATTTTCTTTTCGCGCTGTTTATGAGTGTTTTTATAGGGTCGTGCAATATTAACTAAAATTTATCTATTTCTATAAACATGGGGTGGGTGGGTTCAATGAGTCATAAAGAAATCGGTTTATTTCAATTTATTCCAAGACATATACTTTATTTGGTCAGAATTCTGACTGCAGATGCCCGAGAATTGTTGAAAAAGGAAAAGTAAAAACAATAGTCGTATGCTAGCAGTGTATTATGGTCTCTTTCATCTCATGCGTGTGCGAGGGCTTGGGGCTGAACGAGTCGGGCAAAATGATATGAAGTATTTGACTGAATCAACTGAATTTGTTGAACGTAACGTGCGCTTGTATAATGAAATGGTGGATACTTAAGAATAAGTAATTATGCAACAAAGCTCTAGTTACGGCTATTAAACCCTCGAATTTAAGCATATAAATGTAGTACATCAATATACTACTGAGCAGTGAATTTCGCGTGGGATAGGTTTTTTATTCGGAAAGACGAGTAAATCGTAATTGTGATATTGATCCACGAATTTGCTATAGCTGAGAATTTTGTTGAATGCGCGGTTGCTTCGTGCTATTTCCGTTCACACTGTCTTCATTAAGCTTTCGCTTGTTGATACCAGTGAGCCAACGACTCTTCGCAATCGGATTCTTTTGCTGCTGCGGGTTTGTGGTGTTGCTTGACGATGCGGGCTTGGAGAAGACCAAAGTAGACTCATCTTCAAGCATTGCTTTATTAAATTGTTTAGAATCCTCCTGTTGTTTCTGCAATCTATGTATCATAGACTTAGACATTCGCGCACTGGTATTGGTATTTACTTTAATCTGACCGATTCTTCCCATACCAACACCAGCACTTCTACTCATACCCAATCCAATTTCTTCACCAAAGCTATCCATAACTGTATCTTCTTCTTTACCAAACTCCAATTTATTCTGAGCTTTACGTAACTCAGACATCTGGAATCTCTCTTTCATCTTTCTAAATCTCCTCCCACCTCTCTTTTTTGATTTTTGTTCTATTGGGACTGGTAATGCTTTGTCAGGTACTTGGTCAGGTGGTGTCAATAATTTATCAACCTTTTCTTGTATTTCTTGTAAATATTTTGCACCAATCTCACCATCTGGACTTGACTTGGATAAATCAATTCGGGCAGCAAGAATGACTTTACCACTTATTATTCTCATAACTGATCTTACTATATCCGGAGGAAGGTACTTTACAATATCACAATGATAAAGATATCCAGTTTGTGCAATGGTTCTGGAAGCTACTTTTGTCGTTGAAGATAAGTCTCTCACACCTAAGGATGCTACATTACACGACGGCGTTAAAGCTAGTTGCTTCAAGGACCCAGTTGCAATTAACAATTGTGATGTTGTTATTGGACCTACTATTGCTGACACATTGGGTGCAAGTTTGGATAACTTAGTAGCAATGAAGCCTGATAGCTTTCGTAATATATCATCTAGTTCTAATACAAGTAATCCACATGAAACAATGTTAGTCATATCTGAATCTGATAGAACGAATTGTCTTTCAATTTGTTGCAATGCTGCCATTATAACAACTAGCACTTTTTCATTTGTAATTATTTTCTTCATATCCTGTTCATATGATTTTATATTCTTCAAATCTTGCCTAAATGTTAAAATCAATCTCACATAATCAATAGGATTCATGATCAAAGTTTCCAACTCAGGAAATACCACCTTGTATTGCATTTTAATTAAGGCACAGAAGACATTAATCTCATTGGTTATAATTGTTGACAATTCATTCACACTGAGAATGAATTTATACTCATCCGACAGATCATTTTCATTTGCCAATGAAGATAATAATTCCAAATAATCACTTTCTTGTTCATTAGAAAATTGATCAATCTTTTGTTGAAGCTCTGGAATCAAAGAATAAATTCGAGATAATTTAGTCCAATCTTCGACGTTTTCAATATCTGGAGTACTTAGTATAGTTTGGAATGAATCAGCAATTGCATTTGCCAGAATTATGTCATTTAATTTCTGTTGAAATGATAGTGGCGTCTTGTTTGTATTCTGTATTTCATCATGCTCCCCTTCTTCTTCGTCAACTTGTAATTCTTCATTCAATTCTTCATCCGAGCTTTCAAAGTCAGCCAATAGATCTTTCTCGTAGTCTTCCATTTCTTAATTTGATTCCTGTTGTTTTTATCCTACCTGTGAAATGAAACTGGTGGCAGCAAATCCTCTAATATAACCAGAAAAAATAATACCGAGATGAGGTTTTGGAAAATTCAAAATATTTTCATCTTTTCTTTCCTTATTTCCAAAAATAACTTCAAAACATGTCATTACAAGTGAAAACATCAATCTTAGATAACGCTGACGGCTCAGCTGAATTAATAATAGGAAATTCCAAAGTCATAGTATCAGTATGTGGTCCAATAGAACCAAAACAACGTCAAGAATTACCCAATCAAGCAAGTTTAGAAATCATAGTTAGACCTTCAACTGGGTTATCAACTACCAGAGAGAAACTATTGGAAGATAAATTAAGATCATTATTACAATCAATTATTATCCGTTATAAATATCCTCGTCAATTAATTCAAATTGTTGTACAATTTTTGATTATTGATGAACCTACCGAATATACTTGTAACGAATTAAGTGCTGCTATAAATTGTTGTTATTTTGCACTTATAGACGCTGATATTGCTTTAAATTCCTCATTTGCATCGGTTGTATCTTGTTATAATCTGGGAAACTTGATTAACAATCCTCCTGGAGATGTGTTGGCTACTAGTGATTCGCATCATGTTGTGTGCTTTGATATAGTCGAAGAAAAGGCTAATAAAGTATTACTCTTGGAAAGTCAAGGAGAATTCACAGAGGAAGAATTATTTAACTTCATATCAAAATCAGTAACAGTCGCTGAAGAATTACACACACTTCAACGTAAGTTCATCAAGGAAAAGATAGACAAGGATTACATATGGAAGAATTAGACAGGAAATAGGGATCTAAATAGCTTTGTAATAATATAAACTAAAAGGAACTAATTAACTAACTAACTTTAAAACAAACTCATCTGCAGAAAAAAACTCAGATGTCATAAATTACATACAACTAATACAACGTAGCCAATGGATCCAATCCTCCCAGTCTATAGCTTGATCCTCCTATATTCAATAAATTAACTTCAGCACTTCCAAATTTATTATTTGGATTAGATTTATGTTTAAATGTAAATCCAATAAAATTATTCTGTTGGAATTTCTTACGTTGAGATCCAGCTTTTTCTAACAATTGTTCATTTTGTTCTTGTCTGGCAAATACATCCTTATATTTCATCATCATCTCTTCATCTTCAAAATCATCAAAATAACCAGCATCTTCTTCATTATCCAATTGTGGAGTGAATGGGGGAGTTCGATTACGTAAATTCTCCCAATCCTTAATATCACTAAAATAACTGGTTTGTTGAATCTGTTTGAAGGTTCTTATACGATTTGAGGGTGACGCGATCAATTTAGTCATTAATGACCAAGTACGATCACTAAAGACATATCTACCATCTTTGGCTTGAGGTCTTCTTAAAGCGGTCTTCCAATTCTTTAAATTATAATAAGTTTCATCTTGCTTTGACCCGGAGAAAGGAGGATAACCACATAAAGCTTCAAATAGCATACAACCCAAGGACCAATAATCAATAGTATAATCATAATTCTTACCTTCCAAAACTTCCAAAGCCATATAATCAGGAGATCCAACAATGGAGTTAGCCAAGTTATGATGTCCTTGACTTTGTTTAAAAAGTTTCTGTCTTTCAAGCATTAAACGAGAAGGAAGTTGATAATTATCTAAATCTTGTAAATTTTTCAATTTTAATCTCATCGATTCAATTCTATCATTGGAAACAGTACCTGCAGCCAAACCAAAATCAGTAAGTTTGATATGACCTTTAGAATCAATCAAGAAGTTTTCTGGCTTTAAATCACGATGAGTAAATCCTAATTCATGTAAAGAATTTACGGCACAAAACATTTCACTTATATAGAATCTTGCATGTGGTGGTAGTAAATATCCGGTATTATTTAATAAAGTTCTGAAATCACCCCCCGGTACAAACTCCATAGCAAGGTATACTTTCTCAGGATCTTGGAAAGCGTACAATAGCTTAACAAGCCAATCACTCCTAGTGTTTGTCAAAATATCTCTTTCGGTTAAGACGTGTCTTGTTTCATCTAACTTCACTAATAGCTTTTTGTTTAAAATCTTAAGAGCACATATCTCTCTAGTATCTTTCTTTCTGGCCAAAAAGACTTGTCCATAACCACCTTGTCCTACTTGTGTAATCATTTCAAAATCTTTATGTTTTGGTTTTAATCTTCTTTTCCTCAATAATGCTCGTTCTCTTCCGATGTAATTCTTCCATTCTAATTGTTGTCTTTGGGGATCATTTTGGAAACTAGGATCAGTTAATAATCGATTCTCGACTAAACGCGTTCTTTCCCTTCTACTAATGACATAATCAAACATATCACAATAATAATCCAAAAAATATAATTGGGCAACTGATGTCAATCTCTTTGTTTTGGGACTATTGGCTCTTTTATAAAACTCATCTTGTGATAATTTGAATCTTTGACTTGGAGGAGGCTGCAATTGATTTATGTTTTCTTGGATTGCTTGAATATTTTGCACTTCTTCTTGTTGCTGTTGTTGTTGTTGCTGCTGCTTTTGAATTGTAGCAGGAGTATGTGGAATATGTGTAGCGGGAACGGGTGGAGCTGGTGTTGGTGTATACGGTTGTTGTAATCTTCCACTCTTATAAGGAGTACCAGGATTAGCAGTACCGACGGGTGACCCCTGTAATATGGATTTAGTAGGTGAATTCAAAGGTGTAATATTCTCTTTATTGAACTGATTGAATTGAGTTCTGTTGGGGGATCTATAGCTTGTATCTATGTCCATCATGTTATTACTTGAAATAGAAATATTTTCCATAGAGTGAGAAATATCTGACACATCATGAATGACGTGTTGGTGTTTGGGTGATCTGGTGAAGAAACTAGTCATCTTTTATATCGTCAGTTGTTCTAGACACGGGACTCGTAGTGAAAGTGATTCCAATAATAAAACGGTGGGCGCTTATATGTTGGTTGTAGGTTAATGATCTTCCAGACAAAGAGTTTTTGTTAGTGTGTTTGTGACGCTCCTTTCAAAGTTTTTATTTGGCAGCACAAAATGAGAAACAGGTTTGATCTGGGAATTTATAGGAATTGTACCAATATTTATACTTATAATTTGGATCTAGCTGAAGTTTCCAAAATGAACCAAAATCTCTATGTATAACGATGAACTTTTCAGAAGAACAACAACAAGAAGAAGAAGGATTTAAAAGCTGAAGATCAAATGAAACTATGACAGAAAGAGAAGAAGATATTAAATCATCTAAAAAAGATGAAATTTTGTTTTGATTATTTCTAAAATGAGTTTGTTTACGCTTCATCCTATTTGGGAAATATACCAATCACGTGATGGGTTGCAAAAAAAAATTCTTCATTTCGTGGTACTCATGCTGTTAGAGAAGTAAGTATGGGACTATTAATCCAACAAGACAGGAACGTCGTAGTTGGGAAACAAGATTTTGACAACCCCAAACGCAGTGAAACAGTGTAAGGACCAAAGAGTCACGAGATATCTATATTATTTAGGATTCTATAGAAAGTTCAATGGATCTGCTTTTGATCTGAAAAGACCACGAGCTGTCAGTAGAACGACTATCTTGAAACTGCAAAACTGTCGCTCATTGGAAGTTAGTTCTCTAAACAATGTGTTATAAAAATATAATTCCAAAACTCAATTTCAAGGAGCAATCCGCATCTTTAAATATTTGAAAATTGTCTATTATGATCCTAAGCTGCGAATATGAATTCACACAATTTGATCATCTAATCCATTCATGGGGGACAATCTTAACCAGAGAACTCAGAAGTTCCTTAGGAATGAAATTTAGAAACTGAATAATGATTTGCGGTACCTACGACAGACCAATAACAAATTTTCTTAGTTGTGACTTGCCAGATTCTTTAGAAGAAACTCTTTTTGGAGACGAATATATGGACAAAAGACCTGAGACGATATCATAAAGTCCACCAAAGCTCAAGTCACTAACCGGTGTGCTACCGTTCCCGAATCTTTCAAATGTCGACTACGTGATAGTGTTGAAATAAGGTTCTAGAACAAGTCTCTTAGTTCTTGTTCTTGACTATTATCATCAGTTTCACGAGTTATGAGATGGAATTACATATGTGTTACAGGTATGCCTGACACAAGCAAAATATTTCTATGAATGGAGCATTGTAGTGTGGACTGTGGTGTAGATTACCCGAAAGCGTGTCACTCACCACAACAGTCTATCCTAAGATGTTAACGCGTACAGTTGTGACGTTCCGAGGCAATTCTTAAGCTGTGATGGTCGGTTCAAATTGCGTTGAGCCCCACAACTATTCAAACGAAAATTCGATTATCAACATGAAATTGTTGAATTTAGATAATGAGATCCCAATCTTTCCAACAATGTGCTTTCGATCCATTAGTTGGAGTTGTATAGTGGGGAACGGACTTTGATTTGAAATGGGGCGTTCATTTTAAGCATTTATGCTTCTGTAAAACGCGACTTTTGATTCCTGTCCTACAATACCGTGGCGACTATTGATAGTACATGATGCCCAGTATCTCTAGCAATCACCAAAAGGAATTAATGAAAATTTTGAATTCTGACAAGAAATGTGAAGGGATATCTTGAATTGTTAAACAAGAACTGAAAAATCAATTTACAATTCCTCGTAACATTTCATCTCATTGAAAAAAGTGGGTTCCAAAAGTTATGTTTCTATTTTTGAATTAAGGTTCCTCGGAATATGAATAAGTTCCCCACGGTATCGCCTAAACTCGCAGCAGTTCTGGAGTAAAAATCTTGGCTCTTAAAAAAAATTGCCCCAAAACTATAAAATCGTAAACAAAGTTACGCAAGGCTGAAAACCGTATGCATGTGTAACTATTGGCCAATTCTTATCTGTACAGTTGCTACATGTACAGTAACATGAATTATTGCGAAAATAAATCAACCCTTTCTTGAAAAAATGATTGCAAAACCATAAATCTGGGATCAATGAGGAACTTTTCATCTTTGGGTCTTCGATGATTCAAAGTTTTAGTGGGGCTGTAAGTGACACAATTATAGTCAGGGCTTTTTAGGAATTTGGACAATATGATTATGGTTCGATATTCCCATGTGTCCGTAACGGGCCTTTGTTAATTGTTGCAAACAAAGTGACAAGATGGAAGAAGGAAAAATGTGTAACTTTTCGAATATCCGCAACAACCATAAAATAAGGGCTTAAAATTCTCATTTACAATAAGACAATGGGTGTAATTCGATAAGCAAAAGAAAAGAGACAAAGGATAAGGGGAGAGTTTCATAGTTTAACGCACGCCTATTATGTAAAAAAAAAAAAAAATTCGTGGGGTTGTAATTTAGGCTATATTTTTAAGTCAACCTAAATTCGAAAATCGGGTCCGATAAATCATCAGATATTGCGGGCTCTGTTTGATTCAACCTTTCACAATTCAACAGCAAGATTGGGGATGAATCTCTTTCCAAACCATTCCCTCGTCAACATTTAAAAACTTACTGATATTACTGGTCCTGGTGGTCGTCTCACTTGGCGACCGTCTTGACCTATGAGATATTGTAGGACTTTTTTGCAAGTATAACCTTAATACCCAAGAAATCTATCAGGGACCTACAACGATAAGAAAAAAAATTGTGTGGAGAAATCTCTGTCAAATATAAAAAATAAATAATAAAAAAGTGTCGTGAATGTCTGCCGACACTTTTTTCTTTCTTGATTTTTTTTTTTTGGTTTTGTTTTCTGGCCTGCGTTGCAAAAACTCTTATAATGTCTGGTGAATATACTGAAAAAGTAACTGTACGTCCTTTTGAGGGAAAAGAGTAAACAAACTTCGTGTATTTCAGCCTTATGATACTTTAAAAACCCCAGACGCACTTAACAGGACAGACTATCCAAACCATCTCAGATATCCCTTTACTTTACTGTTACGTGTTTGCTGTCATGGGGTGGCTGTTGGAAAATGGATTTAAAAACATTTTGAAAGAAATTTGTCAGGCGTTATTATTAAGGATTGGTCTCCCCACAAAAAAGGTGATAAGTTCGAAAACAATAATCTCGCAATAAAAATATTCTCAAACAAAGGAAGAATCGGTTCATACACTTCATAAATTTATTTTGTTTTTTACAACTTTACACGACTTGTTTCGGTCTCGGAGTTGCTTTTTAGAGCCGACTTCTCCATTTTCACTGTCCCATTCATTTCCGCACCAAAGTCTAGATGCAGGATCTTTGGATTGTCTTTCAAGGGTGAATCTTTGAAAGATTGAAAAATAACGGATTTTGCAAATCCAGAGATCGTTTAGTTAGTAAGCCCCCCCTTTGCGGAACTATGAGAGAGATGTGTTCCAGGGTAGTTATAGAATTTAAAGTTAAGAATCTATTGGAAGAATGACTGGTTATTTATAAATGACCAAGGGATGTGTATAACAATCTATTACATGTTTTTAAGTTTCTTCATAAAACATGGATTCATGCATAAATTAATAAAATTTATTTCGGAGTTTTTTTTTTCTTTCTTACAAAGACTCGTAAAACAAGAAAATAAATTATTCTCCTTTCAAACGATGTTTTTTTTCTGCTCCCAGACAACAAAAAAAATAAAATTTTTATTGTGAAGAAGAAAAAAAGGAATTGTGAAAAAAAAAAGTATCTCAAGTGGGGCCTTCAATAAAAAAAAAATGTCTGGATGAAAAAAATAAAATCATCCAACAAAATGACTTGGATTAAAAATAAATCTCGTTAGTTAGAATGAATCATGGTTAGTTGCCAGACATTTTCTGAGAATTGATGATGGATCAGGCGAGATCTGAGAATTAGACATTGGAAATTTCAATAATGCCGTGCTATCAAGTCTCTGCTGATGACTGACTAATGTAGCTCTCATGATGTCAGAGTCAGATGAGAAAAAAGTTTCAGTTGTCTGTTAGACCTGCAGTTTCTAAGCTCCCTCAAATATGCTGTTGCACAAAAGACCACAGAATAGAAATCTGTTGTATATACAGGAGATTGGAGCGGACTCCCCCGCACCTAATTGATGCCCCGACACTTTTTTTTCAAAGAAAGCCTAATGAATTATTTTTTAACGGAGAAATAAATCTTTTCCTATGCCAAATTTTTTTCAAAGCCTGATTCTTTTTTTTTTTGGGAAAAATTTTGTGTCTGATTGCATTGTTGTTGTCGTTTCTTAACTTTTTTTCATTTTGTGTCTGCATTTGCAATAAATCCTTTTTTTTTATGTTTAGTTTAAAAAAAAAAGTTGTTGCAATATAAAACCATCATCATATTTCCCTAAAATTCTACAATTATGTTTTAATATGACTTTTTTATTTCTTCTTTTTTTCTTTACCGAACCTCAACATAAAAAGGAAAATCAAATCTTTTTTTAATAATAATATTAATATTTTACTTTTAACAAATCCCTTTTTTTTGTCTGTCTAATTTTAAATTCAAAGAATAATTAATTAATAATGTCTGCTGATTTAGAAAATCAACAACCACAAGATCATACTTTGATCATTGAAAATAACGGTGCTACTCAACCACATGACCCATCTCACCCAGTCACCAAGGTTCATACTGATGGTGATTATGTTCAATTTGGTAATGAACGTTATTTACGTTCTGAATTAGTTGAAGCTTTTGGTGGTACTTTAAACCCAGGTTTAGCTCCACCACCAAAACATGACTTTGCTAACCCAGCTCCATTAGGTTTATCTGCTTTTGCTTTAACTACTTTTGTCTTATCATTAATTAACTGTGAAGCTCGTGGTGTTACTATTCCAAACATTGTTGTTGGTTTAGCTTTCTTCTACGGTGGTGCTGCTCAATTATTAGCTGGTATGTTTGAAATTGCTGTTGGTAACACTTTTGGTGGTGTCGCTTTAAGTTCTTATGGTGGTTTCTGGGGTGCTTGGGCTGCTATTAATGTTCCATCCTTTGGTATTTTGGCTGCTTATGAAGGTGAACCTGAACAATTAAGATATGCTTTAGGTATTTTCTTGGTTGGTTGGTTTATCTTTACCTTTTTCATGATGTTGATGACTGTTAAATCTACTGTTGCTTTCTTCGGAGTATTTTTCTTTTTACAACTTACATTTTTACTTTTGGCTATTTCTGAATTTAAGAATTCTGTTCCATGTAAGAAGGCTGGTGGTGTTTTAGGTTTGATTACTGCTTTCTTGGCTTGGTACAATGCTTACGCTGGTATTGCCAACCCACAAAACAGTTATATCAATATTAAGGCTATTCCATTACCAGATTTACAAGATAGATCAAAGTAAATTTATTAATGATTTTTTCATTTTTAAAAAAGGATATGTGTGTTAATATGAGAAGATGATGATGATGGTGGTTTATTTTATTTATTTTGGTCTAAGCATGAGAGTAGTCTATTTAATCCTGGTGATTGGTAATACTTGAAGATAATACTAAAATTGATAAAATAAGATCACTGCAACGTAACATTTTATATGTTGCAACAAAGGTTTTTTTTTTATTCATTTTATGAACAAGGTTCCCGGTCCCTCCCTAAACAATTTTTTTTATCTTACAATTTATAATACATTTTAATTAATGTGTTTAATCTGTCCCCCCCCCCTTTTTTTTATTTATTTATTTTTTTATATTTTTATAGTAGTAATAGTAATGGTTTTTTTTTAATAATTGTCTGTCTGTCTGATTGTAGAAGTTGTGGTTGTATTACCAGTCGTATTCAGGGACTGGTTCAACTGGTGAGTTAAGATGAAATCTCGCTTAAAATTGTTCTTCCGTCAAATTGCGAAAAATGCAAAATGTCAGTCTGTGGTAATCCGATCAACGGTTTTACCACATTTGACAGAGGCAACTGTTGCAACCAATTTTGTTACGTTGCATTAAAGAGTTAATAATCTAGGCTAGTCTGGTGATGACATGCAATAAGTTTATGAGTTAACGAATATGGCCATATACATATGCTGCCCGCCTGGTATTCCTTACGTATTGAACCCTTCACTTCCTGCGTTCTTGATTAAGATTACAAACGTACACGTATTTGGGATATGTCATGTAATAATCCGAGATCGGGTTGTGGATAATACGTGTGTTTATTCCGAGTAAACGTATGAATATAACCTGGTGAGAAAAAGGCTTATCAAAAATTCTGTTGATCTCAACGATCATCTAATAAAGAACGTTGGAAAACTTTTCCTAGTACGGAAAGCACACGACCAATACAGCAACCTATCCGTTACATGTTACTGCAACGGGAGAGCTAATAAGCCTTGGGAAATATTATTCCCTATTTTTCAACAGCAAGTAGCTGTCAGACTTATAAACCGAAATTATGAGATTATAACACAAATATGAAATCCGAAATCCAAAATCCAATTTCGCAACACAACACTGTAAGATACCAAGCACTTATAAAATCGGTATATCATAGACCAAAAACATAGAGTCAGATCTCTCATACAAGTTTTAACTATTCGCATCTACATTTATGCCGATGTCATACAAAGGCGTTTGTGACACAAATGAATTTTTTGACACATGATGAAAGCCATGTTCCAAGTTCATAGTATTTCGGCATTCAACACCGAGAAATCGCCTTTGTGATATTGCTCAGCTTTGTTACAAATAATGTAAATCCGCAAATTCTTTATAATTATGTAAAATAGAATTGCCCCAAATAATGTATATAATGTGTGTATTAAAATATCAACTTCTACTAGACTATGTAAATCACCATCTTCTAATCAAATATCACTTTAATCTTATCATAGATATCATTCTTATTTTGATCAACATTAATAATTGTTTTAATAAACATTCTTAAATCTTTATTTAAATTCATAAAATTTATACCTAAATCATCACTACATAAAAATAATAAATCTGGTTTTAAATTCTTTAACATTTGTAAATATCCTTGAACATTTGAACATTTTAATAATTTAAAATTTGGTGGTATATTAATATCTAAATCTTTTTCACTTAAATTTGGTGGAATTATAAATATCATATTTTCCAGATTAATTAATATTTCATTCAAAGGAATATTCAGGGATAAGAAAGTTGATGATAATGTTATTGCTATTGATTTATTGGAATATTGTTTGGATATCAAATATTTAATCTCTTCATCTCTTATTGAAGACTGCTCTTCTTGGCTTCCTTCTTCTTGTTGTTGTTCACCAACAACGGGGACCTTATTACTACACATATGAAATATGGGGTGCCGGTATTAAGAAGTTGCTACAACTGCTGATATCCATATTTTCGGATTTCTTTGTGTCCTTCTTGCCATATTCATGCTTTGATTGATTGTATATATACTATTGGTTTTAACTGATCGTGTTCTCTGCCTTTGAGTAAAAGTGTCTTTAAGAAAGTGGCTGTTGTAGAATTTCAACCTCAAATTACGGGATCTATATTTAAAAATTACACTTGAGGGTCTTGTGTATATTCCTGAATAACCTGAAAGTTTGATATATTGATTAATCGATGTGTCAACAATGAAGTCTTAGGAAATCCAAATAGAAAAACTGGAGAAAGAGAAAGAAGGGAGTGTGAGTTTCGTGCCTTTCGTTAGTACTGGCCTATTTCTTGTGTTCTCCATAAGTGGTAGTTTTTTCCAACATTTTTTAGACCGAGGTTCTTGTCACGTGAGCATTTCCATACAATCGTATGACTCCTCCGAGGGTAGATAACCCTCGTAATTGGTATTTTATCTCCCAACAAAAAAAGTTTCTTATTTATAAAAATCTTTTCCCCACAAATTTATCTGCTTAACTCCCTCCTCCATGGTGATTAATTACGTCATAAATTAACCAAACGTCTATGTACTTTACGAAGTGATGTGAGTATAATTACACAGTTGAGTTATATATCAACGGTCTCAAAACATCAAAGCATTAAGGAAATAGGATTCTAGTTTCAGGTTTATCTCAAATATGGTTTCAGTCTCACGCCAGAGTCAAATATATTTTTTTTCGTGCCCCTTGAGCCTTCTCAAACTTCTCCAGAAACTCTATCGTTCTAGTACATTTGAAGTCTGTTGGCAGGTTGAACATAAACCAAGAATAGATTGTAATGTCTATCTTTTAGAGTGGAATATTGGAGGGCATAGTGTTCCAAAATAGATATTAGTTATAAGATAGAAAGTTGTACTAGAAAGTTGGTGGCAGCTTTGATAAGTTGAGATGGAGCAGTTATCTAAGTATACAGTTTTTTGCTTAATGACAATGCACAAGCCAATATATTATATACTTTTAGTTATTGTTCTATGAATTCAATATAGTGGCTTTTAGGTAATTACAAATAATTTTGCAATTTATACTTCATTTTTGCAATCTCCTGTTTTTCTTTTCGCAGTTTTTTTGCAATAATTTTTATTTTCAAATTTATTATTATTCTCACACCAAATTTACATGTCGGAAAACAAAGGAACAAGAATGGAGAAGTAAAGGTCAGATTTTAGCGCAAACTTTATCTAATAGAACAACTAGTACGATAATCCTTGACATAGTATCTCTTTCCGGAAACAATATTAATAGTAGATCCAACTACGATTAGTACCATTGTTCGAGATAATAAAACAAAGACTACTGAATAAATTAAACTTGGTAGCTCCATTTTGAAAGACTTCGCCAAGATACTCCGTGGAAACGCAACAAAACATCAAACCCCGTGACAATAGCTTTCTAAGCTGAATCTTGTAGTGACTTTTCTTCCATGCTTTTACCCCAGTTTGTGTGGTTTGTGTGTAGCCTTTCAATTATTTTCCCCAGCATTGTGTAACATTTAGTCTGGAGCCTTAACAAAATATTGTCAATATTTGCCTTACAAAACGCGCAACGCATTCACAATTACCCAATCGGGAAGGACATTCCGTTGGATCCATTAGGCATCGCTACAAATATTGCAACATGTAATATGCATAGATTGATGACTAATTACACATATTGAGAGGATATTTGATATGAGGTAATGGCTTGTTGCATTAAGAAGACAAAGATCAATAATAAGTTATCAACGATTTTGATAACATCTTAATTTATAATTTTGATTAATCTTATCTATTTTTAAAAATGCGAGTGAACAAAATGAACATTAGTTTAAAAAGACTAATGATAAAAGCCTACAATGAAAGAGATGAGCTAACGGTATTGTAAGACCCCTCTTTGTTCCCCCACTAATCTATGTCATAAATTAGTTCCTGAATTGTGAATTATCTATCCAAATTGCGAAACAGATTCAGAGATTTAACGCATACACATTCCCAATAAGGAAGTTGCGCGCGGCGACCCAAATAGGAAAGTGTATACCGAACAATTAATTTTTCAACACTTTTCATCAAATCTTCTTCTTCTCCTTGTTCTTCTCCAAAATGATTAACCTTCTCTCCAAAAGTTTAAAAAATGTTGCCGGATATTCCTATCTCTTGAAATTATATAAATATACCACATTTCCCCCGTTTCTAGTTTCGATTTTTTTATAAACCTTCTTTTTCTTTCTTTAATAAATAAGAAATCCATACAATACAATACAAGAAAATGGTTAGCCTCCACCCATTTGACTCAGTCAAAGATTATGAAATTAGATTAGCATCCAAGTTGGTCAAGGATTCTCACAATGCATCCGAAAATGTCCACTTTGTTCAAATTGATAGACTTGATCCTCCAAAACAAGATATGAAGAAATATCTTGAAGCTGAAAGAGCTGGTTTACCAACCCCAGTTATTCCAAGAGTTTTATATTGTTACTATTATACCAATACTTTAGTTTTCAACAAGGCTCTCGTTAATGTCAGTGTTGGTCACATTATCACCAAGACTCAATTACCAAAAGGTGTTGTTGGTCCACTTTTACCTGATGATATGGTTGAATGGGAACATCACTGTAACAACCATCCAAGAGTTCAAGAAGAAATTGCTAAATTGAAATTACCTCCAGGTTACTCCGTTAGAAATGATCCATGGATTTATGCTACTGATAGTCCAGATGAAAAAAGACCTTTATGTCAATTTTTCATGTATGTTTTAGCTGGTAATGGTCATTCTGAATCTAATCATTATTCATTACCATTGAAGTTTTCTCCAGTTTTTGAATGTTTCACTAAAAAATTCATTAGAATGGATTATTTACCAGGCGGTTTTGATTCTACTACTGTTCCAACTCAACCATGGCAACAAGTTCCATGTGTTGAATATCACCCAGATTTAAATGGTGAAGTTTTATCAAGAGAAGTTAAGCCATTAATCATTCAACAACCAGAAGGTCCATCTTTCAATGTTCAAGGCGGTAGGGTTACTTGGCAAGGTTGGGAATTTAGAGTTGCCACCTCTTCTAGAGAAGGTTTCGCTATTTATGATGTTTGGTTCAAGGGTAGACAAATCTTTTACAGAATTTCTCTTTCTGAAATGACTGTTCCATATGGTGATCCTCGTGCTCCATACCACAGAAAGCAGGCTTTCGATTTAGGTGATTGTGGTTTCGGGGTTAATGGTAACAAATTAGCTCTTGGTTGTGATTGTCTTGGTGTCATTAAATACATGGATGGAACTGGTATCCACGCCAATGGTGAACCATTTGTTATTCCAAACACTGTTTGTATGCACGAACAAGATGATGGTTTATTATACAAGCATGTCAACTACAGAACTGATAATGCTGTTGTTGCCAGAAAGAGAATCTTTATTGTTCAAACCATTGCCACTGTTGCTAATTATGAATATATCATCAATGTTAAATTCCAAAATGATGGTACTATTGATATTGAAACTAGAGCTACTGGTATTTTATCCACTATGCCAATTGATGAAAACGTCAAGGTTCCATGGGGTACCATTGTTGGTCCAAATGTTATGGCCGCTTATCATCAACATATCCTTTCTTTCAGAATTGATCCAGCTATCGATGGTCATCAAAACACCGTTGTATATGATGATGCAGTCAAGATGCCAACTGACGAACAAAACCCATTCGGTATTGGTTTCGTAACTGACAGAAAAATCGTTGAAAGATCAGGTTATGTCGAACAAGCACCATTTGCCAACCGTACTTACAAGATCATTAACGAAAATGTCATTAACCCAATTGCTAAGACTCCAGTCGGTTATAAGGTCCAAATGCCAGCTCGTCAAATGTTACTTGCTGATCCAAACTCATTCAACAGTAAGCGTGCTACTTTTGCAACTCAACAACTTTGGGTTACTAAATACCGTGATCATCAATTATTTGCTGCTGGTGAATTCACTAATCAATCTCAACAAGATACCGGTATTGGTATGTGGGCCAATGGTGAAGATAAGGTCAGAAATGAGGATGTTGTTGTTTGGGCTACTTTAGGTTTCACTCATATTCCTAGAGTTGAAGATTTCCCAGTTATGCCAGTTGAAGTTCATAATATTCAATTGGTTCCTGCTAATTTCTTTGACAAGAATCCTGCTTTGGATCTTCCACAAAGTAACAATGCTTTCAACAAATCTACTTTGGTTAAGGATGAAGAAGAAAAGTCTTGTTGTAAGTCAAAGATATAAAATGGTCGGAATTAGGTTTATATAGGTAGCTTTTTTTATAGTGCTATAAGTTTTATTTAAATATATTTAGTTTATTAGATAATGTATGAGTTTTAGTAATAGACATTGTTATTCACATTAACCTTGTAATGCAAAGATTTGGTACACTGATATAATATCTTGCAAACACAGAAGAATCGTTTTCCACAGATTCCACATTTTTTGTTTAATTCGACGAATAACTGCATATATTCAATATATTGGGGTGTTATATTAAACGAGAAGATGTTTGGAAGTTTTGGAAATATTTTCGAAATAGTTGCCGTTCCAGAGTGGCTCTTAACTATGTAAAAACCCAAAAAAATCGGGAAATCCCACGAAGGGGCAATCCCATGAAGGCGTGCCTGACTGTAAGGTTTCACAGCCATTTAAAATGTTACAAATATAATTCATTAATTAACTAAAACTATAAAAAAACAAGACATTAAATAATACGTGAATAAACAAGGGCAAATATACAACAACACGAACTGAAAATCATACTTTCGAAACTAAAGATACAACAACCCCTCAAAAACTCAATCTAAATAACTCAAGCAATAATTCATCTCATCTTCATCCAAACTCTTGATATACAAACATTTGGAAAGTAATTCCGGTTGGATCTTGAACTTATATGAACTAGACCATTCAATGCATTGTGATAATGATTTAACAATATGTACTGCCGTCCTAAATTTGGAAAAGTTGATCAAATCTTCATCCATGAGAATATAATCTTCAGTACCAAAAAGGATATTACTTCCTTCTTTCTTAATAATACTTGGTCTTTCGGCATTGAAAGTCAAATCAGATAAATAAAGACCAACAAATGGAATACAACCTTTTGAAGGAGTCATTTGATTAATTAATAATCTGAGATTAATAAAATTCTTAACTGGCAGACACATATCTTCTAAATTCTTCAACATTAATATATCTCCAGGTGGTAAATTTCTCCAAGTATTTCTTAATTTTTGAACTTTTTCACCAGTTAATGCTAATATGATTTGCATCAAAGTTGAATAATTCTGTAAAGTATAACAATTTTGAGCAACATGAATAAATCTGGAAATTATATTTATCCTTTCTTGTTCATTGATACTAAGAACAATTTCTGAAATAATCCAATTTACCATTAAATTAAATCTTGCAATCACTAAATTAACCGATCTATTCGAACTGAAATAAACATCATTAACAATCATTTCTAACCAACTAGTAGCAGGAGTCAAATCTCTTTCCCATTTCATTTCAATTAAATCCTTCCAGTCAATCTCTTGGATCATATCCTTTTCAATTATAGTCAAATGTTCAGCCAATGATTTAGAATCATAAGAAAGAATAAATGAAATATGTGACCCATCATACATAATATTCTCTATAGCCAATATGTGACTTGAAGGATGATAAGCTTCCAATAACTTTTGTGGAGTTTCATAACGAGGCGACAGACGACCAATACCACTCAAAGGTTGAGTAAAGTTGGTTATGGTATTATCATGATTAGGAGTCGAAGTGACTGGGTCGCTATCTTCATCCGCTAATTCACGAAGTTCTCTTGATCCAATTGGGGTTAATGGATCTGCTGCTGCTTGATTAGACGCATTGGTTCCAACACTTAATGGTTCTTCTTGTTGGGAAATATCATAGGTTGTCAAACCAATAGCTTCTTCAGTATCAATATGGTTGATTTGATTAATGATATCTTCGGTATTTTCATGAAATTCTTCTTCAGGCTCATTCTCTTTCTGTTCTTCGGCAGGTAAAAAGTCTGTTTGAGCTGTTTCTGGTGATGGTCCACATAAAGTCAGCTTTGATGATGCTTGTGATTTCCCTTCTAATTTCAAGAATGCAAAATCAATAGGATTGGTAAAATGGAATGATTCATCAGGAATAGCTGCCAATTCTTTAAGTACATTATTACTTATGCCTGGTATTGCAACTGAATTTTTGGTTGAACCAGTGGTAGCCAGTGATTCTTCCTGACTGGCAGTTGTTTTCCTGGTAGTAGATTGATGATCTTGATTGGTACTATTCTTTAGAATTGTAGTTGAGAATATAGAATTATTCGTTGATACAGATGGGATTTCTTCTGAGGTTGGACTAGCCTGACTAAATGGTAACTCAGCTAAGGCACATAATACACTTAATCTCACTACCGTTCTTTTGTTTGATTTTGGAGCAAAATGCTGTACGCCAGATACAGTAGAATTCGTTTCATTTGTGGAAGCTGTACTTGTAGGAACAATTGCTGGCCAATCCAATGATTCTTTATTCAATACTCTTAAATTATTAAACGCATTCTTCTTTCTTATAGGTAAAGGTTATTATAATAGTTTAACACGTCTTAAAGAACTTAGTAAGCTCTTTGAAAATGCAGAATCATAGCTCACATAACTTTTAATCGACTCTCTGACAGCCATAGATCCATTTGCAGAATATCTTGACAACCTTCTCGTATATCCAGTTGATAAATTCTCTGTAAATGACACTCTTTGCGATTGTCTTCGCTGTGGACTTACCATAATCCCCAAATCAGCAATATCGACATCATATTGAGAAATATTACTTGGAGTAGAAATACTAGAAGTATTTTCAATACTACGTAACCCACCTGATTCACGGCTATCACGATATGGATTTATCAGGAAATTAAAATCGTCCAATTCTTCTTCTTCTGCATCATCAAGATCCTCTAATTTATCAACATCATCACCATCTGCAACATCAGCTCCACTTACAATATTTGATCTACCTTGAGAATGAGAATTTTCCAAGTCTAAATTACCATCGTCGTTCCAATTTATACTTGCAGCATTTTGGAAAGAAGAATCATTTGAATTTGGAATAGCAGCTACTGCATCTTCGACTATTGTGTCTTTGGATTCACCATTAGCTTGAGGAGTTTGATCATTATCATTGATGAGATTATCTATTTTCTTGATGTTCAATTCAGACAAATCATTAATATCAATAGCTTCATTCACATCCACGTCACTGTTTAGATTCACCAGGTGTAAATCAGGTTGTTTTTGAGGTTCATCATCAACCAATTCCATAGATTTATGAGATTCCAATTCTTCCTTGCTTTTCTCAGCCTCTTTCTGTGAATCCGATACTACGTCATTTTCTTCAATTGTACTAGTATTTGCCGTAGAATTGCTTCCACTGGAAATATAATGTCGTATCAAAAATTCTAATTCATCAATGATTCTGGCACTTAAGATATCAAAACGGGATTCAATACTGGTATTCGCCATGACGTTGATCGCATTAGTTATCAAATGATTAATACCTTCATTGTGTGGAGAAGTTGAACCCAATGTTTTGGTTGATCTCGACTCATTCAAATTTGGCCCTGCAGGTTTGATGGTTTTCTTCCAACCATCAACTAATCTCTTTATTGAACCCTTAGTGGAAAAGTTATCACTTTCGGCAAAAGAAGCTCTTGAAGGTGGTTGAAATAATTGTTGTTTTGCCGATTGAGGAGTGGTTACAGGTGATGTAGTATCATTTATAATCACATAATCCATCTTTTTGGCAGGAGTCGGTGGTACAATTGTCGTTATTTTCGATGAAGGTAATTTTATGTCCCCATTGGTAGAAAACCCTTCCTTTGGATTCCTGGTTGGTGTGGTTGCAGCTTCTGGGACGACACTAGATTGATTTTGATTCGATGAGTCAACTTGTTGATATGCTGGTCGTTGTTGTACGTTCTTCGTCTTTTTCAATTCTAATGCTGAGTCCTTAATGTTCATGTAATTATGAGATTTGACCGGTTTTCTATTATTGTTGCAATTTCTTGATGGTCTGGTTGGTGTGACAGGAGGTTCGGACGAGTCTGTGCCATTGGCTATTGGAGGAGGAGTCTTTGATCTAGATGATGAAAGGTGGAATCCAGACTTACGGGCTTTATTCCCATCTTGAATTGATTGTAGTTTATTGTTGATTGACACTCTTGAAGATTGATGATGCATTAATAAATTCTTGACCGAGAATTGAGGATTATTCTCCAGCGAACTGGACGAGTTGTTGTCATATATTAACATCTTATGATGGGTCTTTAAATCGTACAAAGATAACATGGCTGATCTACGATAGGAAGGATTTGTATGAATTGACATTTCTGTACTGGATTTAGGGAATTTTTGTTTACCTAATTCAATTGTCTCTGGTAGACGATAATGTAAAATTTGATCTTTATTGGAAGTAATTGAATCTAAATCAAGGTTTAAATTCCAAAATTCATCAATTAATTTCAACCAATGTATTTTCAAATCACCCAAAATCTTAGATATAAATGTAACTGTGGCTTGATCTAATTGACTATCATCTTGTCGGATTAAATTTGATTCTATTGTAATTTTATTTAAGGTGTTGGTAAACATATCACATATAAAGTTATTTGTATCGAAATCATCCACGAAATAATTAATAATCCAATGTCTTAATACCACAAATGTTCTTAATAATACAAGTTTCCCAATTCTGATATTAGGTTCTGAATTTGAATTGATATATTGTAATGCCCATATAAGTCTAGTCAATAATAAATCCATAATTTCATTACTATTGGAAAACATTCTATAAGTTAAAAAGAAGTCACACACAAGATTATAATCGATTACTTCAGGAGATGTCAATTGAACAATCAATGCCCTTAATGTGGCACAATTTATTAAGTCAGGATTACTATCATCGAACTTAACTACTTCATCATTGGTTGAGTTGGTTTCTGTAGGTAAACAAGGGAATAATTTTTCGTCATCAAATATAGATTCATTATGTTTATTGTAATGGAAGTCAGGATGTATTTTTAATTGTTGTTGATGTAAAAAGTAATTGGAATTTGATTTGGATAAGTTTCCTGTTGTGATTGTAGATAAACTAACTCTATCTTCCTCTTCTGGTCGAGATAAACTGCTCATATTCAACATTTTGAAGGATTGAGTAGATTGGGCCATGGGGTTATCAATATCACCACTTGTGATATTGTCCCTATCATTCATGGTAATGGTTAAAGATGCCCTATTGAATTAATAAGATATTTGTTAAATGAGTATAAAAATAATTATAAACCCTGGATTCTAGTTGTTTTCTTTCGCTTTTGAATTGAAATATTAAAAAACTGTGATTAAGTTTGAAGCGAATGAAGGAGATGGAATATGACAGATGGGAATAGAAGAAGACTAAGTTTTGTTATTTGTTGTGCTTTTGAGTTTTTTTAAAATTTCCAAAATGTTGATGAGACAATGTGAACAATTAAGTTTTTAAAATTTTCGTTGTTGCTAAGTGTAAAGACGAATAGAACAATTAAAATCCATTGTTAAGAAAAATTTGTAATTTCGACGCGTCTGTTTTTATTTCCATGATATTTTTTATGGTTTAAAATTTCGTTCCCGAAATTTTTTAAACTATTTTTTATTTTTTAAATTCGGCTTATTCCGTACAATTCCGCACGTGATTCGTATAATTTGAAATAATAAACTTGGTTTAGTGTTTCGTTAAATTGATTATAATTATAAGCTTTCAGCTTCTAATTGTGGATCATAATCTATAATAAAACGTTTAACATTTGAATGATCCTTGTTCCTTGAAGTTAAACTGCTTGCACACAAATTCCGCAACGTTTCATTCATTTTACTTTAATTGGCCTTGTTTACGTTTTCGGTTTTAGACGAGATCCAAATTAATCACAGAAACATTCAAATCCTATTTTGTAACCATTTCCCATAAAATGAGGTCTTGTGAAGTATAAAGCACCTATAATGAAAGCCTGGTCTGATGTTGTAGATTATGTACCACTTTGGGGAAGCCACTTCGTTTTGCAAGACGAATTCAATTCGGACAATAGGTGACATGACCATCATAGACGAAGTCAAAAAGATACAGCTTTCGTCTTGAATCAATATGACGTAGCCTTAACGGTTGATTTGCACCTTCCTTACCATTTATAGGGAGAACTAGGATCTGTCCGATGATTGGATTTGGTTCAAAACCCAACAACAATATGAAAAACATTAATATTCGCAACTGTCACGAAACAGTCACGAAACAATCAGGAGTCAGGAACAGTCAAGGAACAGGACGAAAAAAAGGATATACAACATTGCCAACCTCCAGCTCTTGAAAGAACCCCGTTGTCTTTATGGGCAGAGAAATGTGTAGCTCTTTTGATTTGGGTTTTATGTTTATAGTTTGAAGAAAGTGTTGCAAAAAAAAAAATGTGGTTGCCAAACTTTTATCACAATTACAAAAAATTATCAATTTCTTCTATAAAATATAAAAAGCTAATATACATAGTAGAGCTCTGTCTTCTCTTCCTTCATACTTCCTAATAAGCTTCAATCATCACGATTGAATCTCTCTTCATTTCAAGTCCTTTCTATTAATTTACTTCATATTCTGTTGAATTGCATTTCTCAAGGCATCAAAAGGAGATGCTCTGAATTCAGAACTCTTCAACACATTATTGAAATTCTCATGTTCTTGTTTCATAATAGTCATATACCCTGTAGATTTGATTGGATTTGGTTTATTCAAATTCCCTTTTGAAGATTTAATATATTCCTTTGATGTGAATACATTCGTAGTTTTGTTATTCTTATTACTATCATCGGTGGTAGTTGTTGTTGTTATTGTTTCTTGTAATGAACTTAACAAATCATCCATCTTGGGTTTTAATTGTTCTTTTTCCTTTCTCTTTCTTCTTCTGTTAGATGATTTAGATATTCCACTAGAAATATTAAATGTGACTTTATTTAATAATTTATTTGTAAAATTTGCACTTTTTGTTTGTTGCTTCTCTTTCTTGGTGGTTTTGGCAAGTTTCAATAATGGATTTTCATGATATGAATCTTGTGGAGTTGTGGCTTGTTGTTCTTGTCTGAATTCAGATATCTTGGATGCCAAATTTGACCTCCTGGAAGAATTTCTGTCTCTTAAAGTTGTCTTCTTCTTTATTCCTGCCTATTTAAAGATTGGTTAGTAAGTCGTACTCTGGATTTCGTAGGAATCGAAGTACTTACCATCGTTCGATAATGTTAAAACTTGTACTGTTAGTTGATGACTATGACTGAGATGAGGACGGTAATAAATTTTCTGATACTTGCGCAGTAAAGTGTAAAATCCTGATAAAAAAATAACATGTAAAATTTGTAAAACTGTAAACCATTGTTCTGCAGGTTTGAGTTGCAACTCTGACAATTTTGCAACCAAGTTAATAACGTTTTTACAAACTTCTAGAAAGTAATTCTTATTTCTTCTGGGAGGAAGTCATACCATACTAATAACATCTAGTGTTTATACACAATAAGTTTGTTTCAATTTTTTTATAAAAATTTTACAAGAAATTTACTAAAAAATGATTAATTACAAAATTTTATAGAGACTACACATGAACTAAATCCAAACAAATACAAGCTATAATAAACCCCAAAGCAATTGTCCTCATTTGTTTGAGATAATCAAATAGTCCGCCCTCTCCACTATCATGTACAATTGATTCCTCAAATTCTTCTTCTTGTTCTTCATTTAGTTCATGGTTGTCATCCTCGTGATCAACTTGAACATCACTATGTTCAATGGTGGTGCTATTTTCAAACAGCTTTTCCTTTCCAACTTGTTGTGTTGCATTACTTGCAACTTGACTTTTACTTCCCATGATTAATGGGTCAGGAAGCATACCAAAACTTGCCAAACGTTTCATATCCCAATCCAAAGAATTCTCAGTCTTCCAGCTCCAAAAAATCCATCCACTTCCTTTTTCTTCATATATATATAGCTGTTCCTTCAAGAAAATCATAGTATCTTGTTTAAATGTTGAATTATTAGGATCATCATGACCAAGACAACTTCCTTTATGATCACTCAAATAAGTTCCTTCCCATCTGTTTCCTTTTCCAATACCATTAAGATACTTGCTACAATCAGTCAAAGCACCGGAAAATTCTCCAACTATGCTTCTATGACCACTTCGACTAATTCTTTCACCAAGATTTTTGACATTCTGAAGATGTCCGGCCAAGTCTAATTTAATTTGCCAATCGGTAAATACTTCATAAAAATGATGATCTAATATAAATTCACCGGGGAAATCTTTCCAACTTTCTATATTTAAAAAGGCGTCATGTAGGACCACTTTTGCATCAATTTGTTTTTCATTAGCCAAAGTGAGACAATAGGTATAATAATCAAGGATTTTATTTTTATTTAACGTTAATCCCATAGGTTCATTAACAACTTGTATACTATGAATCACTGGATTTTTTCCATATTTATCAAAGATATAATTGATAACTGTTTTACTCAACATATAATTTTCTTCAACGTCTAACCATTGTGGATTTGCAGTAGTTAAACCAGAATTATCAAATCCATTTTGTGATCCAGGCATTCCATGTAAACCAATTTGAATTTTTAGATTATGTTTTTGAGCCCAATTGATAGCTAAATCAAGATATTCTTCTTGTCCTTGAGTATATGGATCATCAGGTAATAAATCAAAAGCCCAATATCCAATAGGTATTCTCACTAAATTTAAATTCAAAGTTGCAATTTCTCGGAAATCTTCTTCAGTTATAAATGATTGCCAATGAGGTTCAAGATATTTTCGACATGTGGATTGGGTTAAGAAAAGACATAAACTATATTCATCCAATGGTATACTTCCATACATTAAATCAATTTTCTCAAATATTGAAGGGGTTATCCAAGGTTCTGTGACTAACCAACCTCCTAGATTAACTCCATAAATTTTTGAAAGTGAATCATTATATATTGAATTTGCATTATTGAAATTTAATTTGGATTTTTCTAAATAATCTTGATCTATTGTATCTGAATCTGAGTTCACTCTAGCATTTGATAACAGTAGTATATTTAACAACAAGAGTAATGATAATATTAACATTTTGTACTAACAATTCGTATTTGGGTGCAAAAAAAAAAAAGAATTGGCGGTTAAGACAAAAACTTAAAAATAGTTTGGTGATGTTTTGGTTTGCGTGATTTTGTACTACAAATTCGAACAATTAGGTGATGGAGAGAGATAGACAGAGAGAGAGAGGAATTAGTTGTGGTTTTAATATAAGAATTATATATTTTTGATATGTACAGATTCTTATAGATGTCAAGGAAGGCGTTGGATTTATACTAATATTCCCTTAGAGTTAAGTTTAATCAATACCCTAGAAGTAGAGTAGTAAGAGTCAATTTGGAATAAACAAAGAATTGAAAGAGGAAATTATTAAAAAATAAATGTAAATTGATTTTGTTAGTGCGCGCACTCACCCGAAAAAATGTTTCCCTGTTTCTTAGAATTTGCTAACATTTAAGATTTTTTTTAACACACTCAACGTTGTCAATTTTTTTTTCAATCTCATCTCACAACCAATCCAATCATTAAATTTCAATCACAAACGTCAAATTAGACATCTCAGAGATAAACACAACAAACCAATTTTTTAGTAACCCATACATCTCCTAAAACACCAACTACATTATTCTTAGAATCTATCGACTAGAAAGGGAGATATTATTTTTATTTGAAAGACAAAGAAACAGCCGAACAAAGAGATCAAGTATTTGAATGAAACTCCATTAAGACTGAAACGAAATTGATACATTTTATATAGAAATAAACATGAGTAGTATAGGTGATGATTCAATATCTACTCTGAAACAACAACCTGAGAGTCATCGGAATCAGTCAGACGAACAACTTCCGTCTGATACAATAGCCGCAACAACAACAAATAGTGAAATGCATGCCACTACTATAAAACAAGAGGTGCCCGATATTGACAGTTTAAATCTTGATGATGAATTATCAAAATTTTTAGATAATCAAGAAACGGTGCATAATGAAAGTATTGTTAAAACCAAGAGTTTGAATACAGTGATAGCTGATTTAGGGTTACCTGAGTTGGGACTTCATACCGAAAGCATAGCCACCGGTACTATAGCCACAGATATAACATCCGTCGATTCGAAATCTAAGCAAGACATTGAAGTTTCTCATTCAAGTAAAGATATAAGTTCTACACAAACCCAACAACAACAACAACAAGCAACTAACAATGAAGACACTAGAGACAAGACATCACCAATAACCATAAAAACAGAACTGATAAAAGAAACTCCAGAACCAAAACTGCAAACAAATGAACCTGAAGAACAAAATTCTCGAGTATCAGCCTATGCAAGATTAGATTTTGAGAATTTTACATTCTTTGTACAAACATTACAAGTTGTATTGGGTAGAAAATCAAATGATGAATTATTACAATCAAGTCATAATGCAGTTGATGTACATTTATCACTGAAAAAGGCAATTTCGAGAAAACATGCAAAAATCTTTTATAATTTTGGAACTCAAAGATTTGAAATTAGTATATTAGGAAGAAATGGAGCATTTGTAGATGATTTATTTGTTGAGAAAGGAATAACAATTCCATTAAAAGATGGAACCAAAATTCAAATTGGTGATATTCCATTTAAATTTGTATTACCTTCAACTGAATCAAATGAAGATGATGAAAATGGTGGAACAATCGTAAAACAATTCAATCCAAGTGATGCCATCAATTTAAGAACAAATATTTATAATAGAGATACATCAACATCAAAACCAAAGTCTAAATCAGCATCAAAGCCAAAACTGATTATTAAAAAAGACAAGGAAAAAATAAAATTGGAAAATGAAACGTCAACAACAACAACAACAAAACAAACAAAACCCACTCCAACTTCAACAACAAGCACATCAACAGGCACAGTGACGACGACAACAACAACAGCACCCAACACCACTACACAGCCGTCAACAGCAGAAGCACGTAAAAATTCCATATCTAGAAGAGATTCATTACTCAAAATTAGACGATTATCAAGTGCAAGAAGGAAATCCCTCGTTGGGAACAACGACGAATTAACGGAAATTCTCAAAGATTTGGGGGTTTCCTCAATTGATGCTATAAGTGAAGAAGATTCTGAATTATTGGATGCCCAAATTCAAAGTTTATTAGACGAAGCCGAAGGATTTGATGAAAATTTAATGAAATTGACAGAAGCTAATGAATCATCCACAGCTACACAAGATGAGAATTCCAAAGAAGTTACTGAAAAGACTGAACAAGATCAAATTGAAGAGAATGAAATTCATGACATTGAGATGAATTTATCGGTTTTGGATCAAGAAATTGCAAGTTTAGCACCTTTGATAGATGCTCATAATCAAGATTTAATGAAAGAAAAGGAAGAAAAAAAGAAGCAATTGGAACAAGAAAAGAAGAGGAAACAACAACAACATTTACAACGAAGGAATTCTGCTGCCAAAGGGAAACCAGCAGCCACAACAACGATGCCATCAGCTACTGCTACGTCAACCCCCAGCACATCAGCATCAGCAACCCCAACCACATCAACAGGAACAGCAGTGCCGCCTCGTACTACCCCACTTATGGGAAAACCTGCATCTATCCAACCACCGGCTTCAAGACTATATAATAGGGCTTTGAATGGCGCCACGGGATTGACAGGAACTACAGGAATAGATAATAAATTAGCAGCAACCTTGTTATCACTACCTGCAGCCTCCTCAGCTTCATATATATCCAAGCAAATAATACCTCCAAGACCACCACCACCAAAATTAGAGGCACCTGTATTGCCAGTTACATCGGAACCTTCAGCAATTAGATCTCGTCCTCCACTTCGAGCAATTACAGTTAGAGATTCATCATATTTAGCTACTTTTGATGTCCCCAAAACCATTGAAGAACCTTCGAAATATCCAAAACCTAAAGTTAGAAAAGATTCTACAAGAAGACAGCCAAAGAAAGTATATTCCCCTGACGAAATCCCGGAGCAATATAGATCAAAACCAAATGTTACGTTTATGATGATGATCACTAGTGTTTTAAAAACTGAAGCAGCAAGAAATGGATTGACTATAAATGAAATTTCAGAAGCGATTAAAGAAATATATCCCTATTTCAAATATTGTCCTGATGGATGGCAGTTTTCAATTGCTCATTGTATCAAATATAACAAAATCTATAAACGAATAATGAAAAGGGGTTCTGAATGGCTCTATACCATGGATGATTTATATATCAGTGAACGTGAGAAGGTGAGAAAGAAACAACAAGAAATGGCAGCGGCAAAGGCAAAAGCAGAAGCTCTTAGACAAGAAGAATTAAAACAGAAACAAAGATTGGAAGCCCAACAAGCAACCATAAGTCACAATATCACAGGAAGAACGTATACTTCGCCTTATGGATTACCAAATTCGAGATTGACTCAAAATCAATACTTGTCACAATTACCATACAAACAGCCACAGATACCGGTCACCACTGCCAATGGACAGAAACCAAAGACAATTGCAGAGTTAGCTAGTGAAATAAGAAGAGATGGGGTTGTGGGATCCAAAGCACCGATGTATTTCAAATCACAACCGGGTTCAACTGGTCCAGTACCAACACCAGCAGCTGCAGGAGGTCCAAATACCATCAAAGCACAATTGGCAGCCAATAGATCACAACCACAACAACCAGCAGCTCCATCAATGTCGGATCCAAACACACAAAAATCATTGGAATACTTGAGAAAAGAGCTTTTTGTATTATATAGAGCCAGAAAACTCACCTATGATAAACAAACCGCGACAGTATTGATTACCAAGGCATTAGCAACCACAATCGCGCAAGTTAATAGTATTGGGGCCAAAGCTGGTTGTGGAGAGAATGCATTGGGATTTTTGGTAGATAAGGCACCACAACAAGTTAGTAAGATTTTGGATATTGCATTAACGAAATCTATTAAGGAACACGAAGGCAATTTCTCGAGATCACCAAGTCGTGCGGCTACTCCTGTTCCACAGTCACAGCCTTCACCTGTCAAAACAACTACCCCTATGGTTCCGGCCCAACCTGTGAATGTTGTCAACAAAGCTTCTCCACCACCTGTTCAACCTGTTCATGTTAAGACGGAGCCAATTCCAATGAAACCAATTGCTAATCCACCTATTATTGGAACCGATAATCCTGTCAAGGCAGTTGTTGATGCTGCAGCTGCAGCTCGAAATGAAACAATATCACATCCATTACCAATTATCACCAATGCAGGGGTACCAATAATCTCAAGTGTTTCGCCAGTGAAGACTACACCACAACCGACCATACCAGTCGTATCTAACACACCACCCGTTTCAACTCCACCTACTGAACCAAAGACTCCATCTGCTTCCACATCTCCAGCACCAGTTGTTTCAAGAAGTACGACACCAGCATTATCAAAACCATCCTCATTCGGTCTTTCAAAACCACCAAGCTTCAAACCTGATTCATTAGGCAGACCAGCATCATTATCTAAACCGCAAAGTTTTGCCAAACCTGGAGGAAGTAGTGCATTGTCGCGTCCTCCATCATTCTTGTCAAATAAACCAGCATATAGAGAAACTCAACAAGTTAAACGTGAACTTGAAGGAGGAGCGGGAGGGGTAGAAAGTGATCAAGCTAAGAAGATTGCTAGGACTGAGTAAAGTATAGAAAAGGAAAGAAAGATTTTTCTTTTAGTTTTTTAATTCATTTGTATTATTTCTATGTGTTTCTTATTATGTAATTTTAATATATTTATTGGGATCCTTTTACATTTTTACATTTTTTGCAGTCATTGAATTGTAACCTGTAAAACTTTTGTATGGGTGGGAAAAACTGTAATATTGTTGATAAAACCAGCGAATATGGGTGGCGATCATTTCTTCGGAAATTTAATATTATCATCAGAAGGGAACAGAAGACATTGAAAGATATACACACATTGCCACCATTCTTTTGAATCAATTGAATAAAAATATTATTGAAGACTTGAATTACCCAAGACGTATACAATTAAAGATTTCTTCATAGAAAACACAATTCACCAAATCAGAATAATTCATAAATAGAAACAACACACACCCCAAAATGAATACAATCTCCAGTAAGTTCACCCATACCAACAACAACAATATATTCAATGAAATAAATTCAATTCATCAAGGAATTGCCGCTAAGCCAAACCTCAGCTTAGCACCTTCAATTGAAGTACCCCAAATCTCACAACCAACCGATTTCTTACGAGCACATACCGATGATGCCTCAAACCCAGATTGTAAAATCAAGATTGCTCATGGTACCACTACATTAGCATTCCGTTTCCAAGGAGGGATTGTAGTTGCTGTAGATTCCCGTGCTACTGCTGGGAATTGGATTGCCTCTCAGACTGTTAATAAAGTTATCAGAATCAATCCATTTTTATTAGGTACTATGGCCGGTGGTGCTGCTGATTGTCAATTCTGGGAAACTTGGTTAGGTACACAATGTAGATTACATGAACTTAGAGAAAAGGAAAGAATTTCAGTTGCTGCTGCTTCGAAAATCTTGAGTAATTTGGTTTATGAATATAAAGGGATGGGATTAAGTATGGGTACTATGGTTTGTGGTCATACTAAGAAAGAAGGTCCAACTATCTATTATGTTGATTCTGATGGTACTAGATTAAAGGGTGATATATTCTGTGTCGGTTCCGGTCAAACATTTGCTTATGGGGTATTGGATTCCGAATATAAATGGGATTTAACTGTTGAAGAAGCATTATATTTAGGTAAGAGAAGTATATTGGCAGCCACTCATAGAGATGCTTATTCTGGTGGTTCAATCAATTTGTATCATATTAATGAAGATGGTTGGACTTACCACGGTAATCATAATGTTGGTGATATCTTTTGGGATATTAAGGAACAAGAGAAATCATTTTCCAATGTTGATGTATAGATAAATACATATGTAGTTTAATTTCCATGGAAGAATATATAAAAAGTTACGTTGAAGGTAGTATATAACTGTACCAGTTGGCTTGTCTAGTGTGGAGATACAATGTGGAAATATATTGTACATAATACATAGACCACATTTACAGTGCACAGGAATATTGAGATTAGGGCTCCAAGCCCTAAATCTGTCATCGCACGTGATATCCTCCGACATATAAAAAAAATTATTTTTGTGTTACAAATTCTCCTCGCATTGCTTTCGCACTAACAAAACTTTGTTAGAGACTGAAAAATTTGTTAGTGTTACCGAAAAAATGTCAATAAGAACAAAAGAAAATTTTCTAGAGGTTCATCTTATACTCTTTTAATATTAACTACAGTAACATATAGCCAAAGATGGTATGTCCATATATACATGGAATGGAGTAATAGAGGGAGATTATATGACTGGAAAGAGATAAATATGTAAAATGTTGGAATGAGAATGAACCATGGCAACAACTGCAATATTGAAAGTATATGAAAAATCACGATTCGAAAAGTTGAAACAATTTAAGACTCCTTACGAAGACCTGCTAAACAAGAGAATGTCTACTTCGTACAACTACAAGAGTTCTTTAATTTCATTCGTCAAGTACAGCTGAAACCATTAAATTTGAAAGATTCAATAAAATACTTCCGATGTTTCATATTGAAAGTCATCACACGATTCTAGTGCAATATAATTCCTCAATGCTCCATGCGAATAGTTTCATTAAATACAATCTTTACTAACAACACCCTTCTTATAGTCTGCTAAAGCTCAAAACCCTATGCGTGAATTGCATATCGAAAAGTTAGTCTTAAACATTTGTGTCGGTGAATCCGGTGATAGATTAACCAGAGCCTCCAAGGTTTTAGAACAATTATCCGGTCAAACCCCAGTTCAATCTAAGGCCAGATACACTGTCAGAACTTTCGGTATCAGAAGAAACGAAAAGATTGCTGTCCATGTCACCATCAGAGGTCCAAAGGCTGAAGAAATCTTAGAAAGAGGTTTAAAGGTTAAGGAATATCAATTAAAGACCAAGAACTTCTCTGCTACTGGTAACTTCGGTTTCGGTATTGATGAACACATTGATTTAGGTATCAAGTATGACCCATCTATTGGTATTTACGGTATGGATTTCTACGTTGTTATGGGTAGAGCCGGTGCCAGAATTGCCAGAAGAAAGAGAGCTAGAGGTGTCGTCGGTAACTCCCACAAGACCAACAAGGAAGATTCCATCCAATGGTTCAAGCAAAGATACGATGCCGATGTCTTGGATAAATAAGTTAATTAGGATGAATAACCTTTTGTATATTTGTTTAGTCATTTCGTTTAATTTATAAAAATTGTATAATAAGTGAAGAGGTGTCTAGTGTAACATTAAATAGCGAAGAGATATTTGAAGAAAACTAAAGTCGGGATGTGCCTTCATTAAAGCATCAATTAGAACAGAAGAGTAAGAGATACCTAAGGCTGATGCCCCATCCCGGCCATATTTTGTAAAATCAAGCACTTGCTATCTAGATACAGGAACCCCCTTAGACTTCTCAAGCATCTATATACTTCCCAAACTATTGATTATAATACTGCGAACTAAAAGCCCGTGGTTATTGGGGATTGGGGATTCAAGAGGAGTATTCTATTCTAGTTTCTCTCGTCTAGGTCTGCCTTGGCTATGAAAAGAGAATAGACGCCGTTTTTCGAGAATTATGACCCTCTTAAAGTTAGAAACCTCAATCGTTTCCTCGATATCGGAAATCTTAGAACAACTATTCACCATCAGGGAGCAGGTCAATGGAATCCTGATACAAGTTTGTCAATGTTTCCTGACACCTCTGAAATTTCACGTCGTAAGGTGCCAATACTAATAAACTCATCCATTTTATTTACCTTATTGAATTCATTATCAAATATACCCAATAGGCCGACGGTCACACCTATTGACTTTCCTTTATTGATCACAATTTGAGCCAATCAAACATCTGCATAGAAGTCAAATTCTTCCCAAATTGAGGGGTTAACTCAGTGGATAAAGGTCTTCATCTCCTTCCAAGATTATTGTTTCTTGCTTTCCTTCTTTTGTCTACTTGTAACAACACCTCCCAAGGACACATATAATTCCATTGGCAAAGTATTCACCTTTTGCAATTCCACCCATTCCCCATTGCCTGGTACCAGTTCTTTAATATCAGACAATGCGACGGATGTCTGGCCAATCCTTTTCTCTGGGGAAGGATCTGCACTGGCGGGCTCTCTATTTTAGTAAAGGTTGGCAGATATTCCAATTCTAGTTCAAATAGACGTCCGACGGTCTCGGCGAGTTCAGAACTCTCTTCATTGACGTATTTTGCGGCACAGCAAGTCATTGGGTATTTTGGCAAGCTGCTCTTTCTCCGCTTCATCTTCCTTGCTGATGTCCTCCACATGCACTGCTTCGGGGGGAATATTCCCAACTGAAACAGCGACAACCGAATCAGATCTTTCTGTCTTCAAAATAGAAAGATCTATAAAGAACTATAGAAATAAAAGTCAGAAGATATAATCGTCTCCTTTCATAAAAATGTGAGACAAGGGATGAGCAATTTGTGGGTTTGCAGCCATGGCCCAAAAAAGTTCAAAATTTGGGGTGCTAAGAGCACATGATCAAAATTGACCCCACGAAACCAAGTGGCATTCTAACGAGAACCCGTGTCTTCAGTAAAACACCAAGAACAAAAAACTGTGGAGAAGGTATAGTACACCTAAGCCGGAAGTAGTAAACCCGCTCCACCAATTGAGATAAGAGCTTGCTGTATATCCGCTACCGGCATCATTCCAGAGTGGCTTTTAATACACAGAAGTTTTTTTTTGCCGCAAAATTATTTTTTATTTATCCATTTGATAGAATGGCCCAAAAGAAATTTAGATTAATTAATCTCATTGAATGGCCACTAATATCCAGCAACAGCATAAGCCGGCAGACGTCAGTTTGACGTTTATTGTTGGAATTAAAGAAATCGTTCAATATCAAGTCTATAATTATCTTGTCCAAAGTTAAATAGTGTACACATTATATTACCTCATTTATAGGCCAGTGATTCTTCTTGTTGAAAAGTCCACGGTTAACTAGCAGTTATTTGATTAATGTATATATTGATTAGCCGTCTCATCAGCCAACCCCGGTGGGAATGAATGAGTTGTTGATTTTGTGTAGTTCGGCACTGCCTGATTGAGAGATATTATAGTGTGCATATAACTTTGAGCCATTCCATTTTTACAAAATTCCTTTTTTTTTCTTTTTTGCCTCGCGATTATAAGTCAGACAAAGGAGGAGTGAGTGAGGGCAACTACCAATTTCTTCCTTTCTACCTGAAGAAACTTACTTGCGTTAATTTTTGATAAATTTACAAAGGAGTAACAATAGGGAAACCAACACAGCCTATCTATATATATATATCTAACATCACTTATCAGCCCCCATTTAAATTTTGACTTTTTTTTCAGCATCTTTTAACGCATCCCACATACTGGAAAACACATAAGCAATGGTAACAATAAATTATGAACCTTTAGAACATTTACCTTATATTGATGAAAATATAAGTCCAGAAGAAAGAGCACATGTGGAACAGCTAATAGAAATGGAATTAGCCAATCAGTTCAATAACAATGTCACTAATATGACAAACAACCATGCCCATACCAACAACAACAATCTTAATCGCGTGTCTCTACAACAGCAACTATCACAACAGCAACAACTTCATCAACAGAATATGCATCCATTAGTAGACCAATTATTGCCATTGCCTGCATCGAATGTACCCAGTTCACTTCTAGCGAGAGAAGTGCTAAGATATGAAGAAGAGAGTGAAGAAGATGACGATGATACTAACAATCCGCCACCTATTCTTATGGAAGGTGGGATTGATTTGTCAAGATATACTGATTTTAACAGTAACAACAGTGTAATATCACCAACTGAACGAGAAGTAGATATCAATTATAATCAAATGTATACTACTTTAGAATATGCTCATTTACAACAAAGGAATTTGAATGTAATGCTTAAGAATAAGCAAGAATTATCACAATTGCAATCTCAACATTTGCAACAACTACAAGAGATTGATCAAGATTTGCAACAAAGAATTGGAGATAAGAGACAAATGATTGATGACATTGAACAAACACGAAAGAAGAGACAAGTTGATGATTTCAAACCCGTGGGTGATTATTTACAACAACAATGGCGAGATGGTATTGAATCATGTGTTGAGATGAGTATTGAAGGAGCTAAATTAGAAATGAATTAATCTGGATCTTCTTCTCCTTTTATAGATTAACTATATAGTGATGACTTTAATGAAACATGCGCTTTTATGACAACCAAGTACACGACATCCTTGTAGCCTAGAGTATAAGTACACGACATTACTATCTATCTATCTATCTACTGTAGTATTGATTTCTGTTGCTCCTTTTTCTTTCTAAATACTAAATCTGATTTTAAATTACCAATATTAATAATTCTTGGACAACCTTCTCGATGTTTCTCTAATCTTACACATTCTAAACAATAATAAGCTGGTACACCCAATTCATTATTATCACCTAAATAATTGGAACAAAGAATACATTTATTATATAAATGACCAAATGAACATTCATGACATATTCGTACTTTTGTTGTTGGTTTAACTAATGAATCACATATTGGACATTTACCATCACACTGTTGACACACCATTCCTATTGACTTACCTGGTTGTTTCATACATTGTATAAGATCGTATTGGTGAGCACTGTAGACAAACGAAGGAAAGAGAGATAGAGAAATCATAGATATATCAACAAAACCTATTGGTCCTTGCAAGAAGAAGTGATGGCTAATTGAATGCAAAAAAATAAAAATTTCCTTTTTCTTGATTCCCTATTAAACTACAAGACCCCATTTAGAGATCATCCAGATCATTACAAAACTTGACTACTAAAGCATATATATAACTACGAACCCCAGATTACCAAAAGAACAGTAATCATGTCATCCTCTAAGGAATCCGCAAAAGGTAACCCCCTGGAAACACCAGAAGAATGCACAATATGTCTAGAACCAATCCTCCACACGGATACAATAGGCAAAATCCTGAACTGCTGTGAAATCTACTATCACGACCACTGTATAATATCTTGGTCAGATATGTCTAACAGTTGTCCCACGTGTCGCAAGCGATTTCATCAAATCCAAATCTCTCAAGCTTATCATCCCCATAAAATAATCAACACAATTTCAATCCAAGATAAACTCCTACCTAATCAAGGTATAAATGACATACCAAGCCAATTCATTATTCCACGATTTCAAATCCAACCAATCCGAGAAGATGAATACGAGGATGAAGAGAATGGATTGGTGACGAATGGGGTTTGTTGTATTTGTAGTTCTCTGCATTATCAAACACGAAGATTGATTGGATGTTGTACTTGTGGGTCAAGGTTTCATTTACGGTGTTTAGGGGTGGTTGATTCGGGTAATGGATATTTGAATTGGTGTTGTCCCATGTGTGATTTCGAACAGGAAAGTATACTACCTAGACGAGTTTTGCCGATTTTGGGAGCCCTGGTTGGCGTGAGTAGTGACAGGGTAAGGAGAAGACCTAATTTGATTATCCATAACGAGAATAATGAATTGGATATTGATTTCTTGTACGAGAATCAATATCCTACCGAGATGAATAGTTATGAACAACCCATAGAAAGGACTCATCTGACAGTTATAAATGGAGGAGTTATCCTACGGAGAGAAGAGAAAGCTAGACAGAGATTAACCGAAGAAGAAATGAACTCCTGGCAATTATTCGACCAAGCGAAGGCACAGACAGATATTAATACTGACACTTCGATAGGAAGCTCCTCCTCAAAACCTACGCGTTGTGACATAACCCCCACATCGTCCGATAAGAAACGAAGACGAAGAAAGAAAATCACTCCAATTGAACCAACCAAACAATCTACAACAGACACCCACAAACCCCAGATCGGACCAAGTAGAATATCCAGCCTCATAAATCAAGTCCGATCCTCCCATAATTCCAAACCAAACACCAAACCCTCAATCCAACCGCCACCACCACCACAACAACCCCAATTCACCACATTTCAATCATTCCCAAGTGCAGACTCCCCAATCTCACCCTCCAGCAATAGTCCAATGGAACTGACATCATCGGCATATTCAAACGATAGCGACACTCAATATGAACTGGATAATACTCGAAAACGACTCAAACCCTGGGAATTGACACTTCTAGTATTCTAACTCTAAGTCTTTATATAAGCTTTGTGAGAATCCGGTAATATAGGTCCTGGGAGTAGTGGTGGGGGATATATTAATACTGAAGAGGATTATGTTAGTATAAATAAGAGTATTTCGAGGTTGGTATATAATCATATATTGAATGAAGCTGGTGCTGGCGCTGGAACTGGTGGTGTTGGGGGAGAAAGGACGGAGGATGTGTTTGATAGATATTTTAATGATGATGATCCTACGAAATTACAAGAGATTGTGGATAGGTATGCAAAGAATGTTTTGCTAAAGTAATAATGGTATTGCTTTTGTTTTATATGTATTTATAGTATGTATAAGAATATTTTTTAACGACGACGAGGACCTTTTGGTTTATTAAATTTCAAACCTTGCTTAGTTGCGGATGTAGCAGATGATACAGAACTAGGAGTTGCGACTTCACTTTCAATTTCTAATTCGCTTAATTCTAATTCATCCAAATCACCAATTTCAATGTTTTTATTTATTGATAAGTTATCTTTCTTTAATATATTGTCAATGCGACTAGTAAGATTTACTTTAGAAGCAGCATAGACCATTCTTTCACGAACTGGAGATCCAGACGCTGTTCTTATTTATTTACGCTTAAAAACTAATCGTATCAATATATGACGTTTAACCGGATTTGCAACACCCCTATCACCCAACTTACTTATCAATGAATCTAACACTACTCCAGTTTGACTACTTGTCAAAGTAACCACTTCATTCTTAATATTAAAAATGATCAATTTCAAACTATCACCCAGCGAAACCAACCCTTCTAACTCCTTAGTCAATTCAGGATCAACGTCACCCAAGTATAGTAATAATACTACGTATCTTCCATTAAGGAAGAATTTGGGTACTGATAGGTAACTAGTCTGACTCCCAGCTATACTCAAACTTTGCATCGTATTCAATTGATTAAGTAATCTTTCATCTTGGGATAATGGTCCTGATTTGGTACTGTCTTGAATCGATTTCTCATAATTATCAAATGTCAATTCATCTAAATCTGTCCAAGCAAATAATTTATTCTTGGGGAATTTATAGGATCCAAGAGATGTTAATAATGTGTTTTTGGTGGAGGCGTATAACATCTTTTGTTTAATTGGAGCAATGTCAGGAATAAAACTTATAAAGATACATTCTTCATTACTACCACCATCTGGAATAATGATATATGACGGTTGGGGATATTCGCTGGATATATAATCATTAATTGATTGGAAAGTGGCTGGAAGATCTTGGGAAGTTGTGGAAGTGAAATTTGAATCTGGAATCAATTGAGTTGAATCTGATGAGATCTTGATAATCAATGGTTGTGATTCCAATGATTTGAATACATCTAATAATTCCTGTGATGTTGTAATACCTGATTGAGTTGACATTATTGGCTTGACTGTTGGTGTCGAGTGATTACGTCAGTCTTGAAACTGCCCCTTCCTTTTTTTTTGGCGTTGGAACTCGAGATTGAATGGAGCGAAGGGCTAATCCTTTCTGGCAATTCGTAAACAAATGGAAATAGCTATTTTTTTATTCAAAAAGTTTTCAGCAACTTACTTTCGGTTAAACTAAATTAAGATCTAAGGGGTGAAGACATGAGCTTCCTATCATTCTTCTTAGCTGATAAGACCACAGGTCCTATTCCGAAATATATCAATAATGGGAGCCAGGATGATGATTCAATTGATTTACAGATCACCAGTAATTGAATGTAAAAATTTGCTAATTTCTAGATATTCAATAGAAGTAAAGAAGATAAGGAAGATTCCCGTTTCAAATACATAGATGGATCAACTATTGACTATAATTCCAAAGAATATCAAGAACAAGATCAATCATATAACTTCCAAGGGTTTATTTCAGCAATAACCAACGATGAATATCGAGTTATGGTTGATTTCGCAAAGAACAAATTTAGATCATGGTGTATTCTTCCAGAACTAGGTGAAAGAACCAAAAATGGGCAATTTCTGGCTCTACTAGATTCAAATGGCCGAGAAGTACCTAATTTCAAATTCATATTACTTCCTATAAATGGTATATCTTTAGACTTCATCGCTACCACATTGTCCGCTTCACCGCTATATGCCGAACATTTCGAGTATATCACCTTTAAGTTTAGATATCAACTAGCATTATGTTCTATAAAAGAAGTAATAACCGATTCAAGAGTCCAAGATAAACATAAACCGATACGTATAACCTTAAAAGAACATAAGCAGATTATACGAGCATACTTCACAAAGATTGCATTCAATGTCCAATTATATCGAATCTATGAAGAATATATCAAACACCTACCACCAGCACCATCACTCACAAAAACCCCAAATTCCCCAGTTAGAATAAAGACAAAACCATCTCTAAGTAATTTGAATACCAGTCTTTCTAGTCTTTCTTTAGACCACCCTTCAAGATCTTCCATTTCATCGACCTCTCCCATCAACAAATCAAGTCTTTCTATAAGGGGTTGCTTTAGCTTGTCAGAACCATCTAGAGTTGGATTTAATAGAGGTTCTAAATCAATGGGAAATCTACGAGCTCCATGCTCTCCCAGTAATAATAGACTAAAATCAAAACCTTCAATACCGAAATTCAGATTAGGCGAATTATATAATCCAGTAGCTAGTCCCCAAGTCATTGATGAGAACAATAATAAGAGTTCCCTGAGTTCTAATTCTGGTGATGATTGCTTGTTATTCCAAGGTGGGGATGATTTTAGATCTGATATTTATGACAAATGTAAATTGGCAATCTTGGAGAAATTAAAAGTTGAAAAGATGACAATTCGAGCTTAGATTACATAGTTGCATATTATATTTAAATATAGAGTTCTTTATTCATATTGTTTCTAAGATACAACTCAGTAGAAGCTAGATATCCGTAGTCAAATGTGGATTAGATTGTCGCCAAATAAGACTTACGTTCTCCAATGACAAGTATTACTATGGCTACATTGATCCATACCGCAACCGGAAGCCCTTAAACATAATCAACACCCAATTCGACAACAAGCACCGTGGGACAAGACAGTTTGGATCCCATTTGATTGAGGCATATGCTAGGTAATTGATGTAGAAGGGAGATCCGACGGTTGTCACTGGTGATATCCACTTTACCACGGGAGACTATCGATACAAACTTATTACGGAAACGAGAGATGTTTGCTCTAAAAAATCCCTGGCATGATACTCCACGGTTCCTAGTTTTTCAGGTCCAGAAGGAAAAACGAGAGATTTTGCCTTTACAGGTACACGAAATATTCATAATTCTAACTACCAAGTTATATAATTAGTGTAAAGATGGAACCTAGATTCCGTAATCATAGACCAATCATAGTTGACTTCTCTATTTAGGTCAAGAGACAGATACATATAGACGATTTTTATAATATAGACTTTAAAGTTATATACATATGTAATATTTTTAGCATAGCAATGTAACATTGACATAGCTTGTTGCTTCTTTGAATTTATTGCTAATGGGCAACTTTGTACATTTATTATTTTTTAACCCAATAATANTTTAGCCGAATACTCCAGTATGACGACATGCGTCACTGTATACTAAAAATAATTAATTATTATTTCAAAAAAGAAACCCCAGGCCTAGTGCGGGATGGGTACCTATTCGGATAAGTTGGATTCAGGGATCAAGCAGTTAATGTGAAGTTATTCCGAGAGTCCGAGTGTACAATATTAAATTTCATTTGCGTTAATCCCAGAATTGTATGGCAAACCTTTGTGCTATGTAAGCAGATCATTGCAAAGCGTTGTATTAGCCAAGTAATTGAAATGAACTAACAGTTGAGTTATTGTAAATGTTAACCGATTTTTCAGTGTAGTTGAAAATTCTTATTACACTACCTGTATTTCTACAATCTAATTTTTCCGGATGGTTCCTTCTGTCACATACTTGCCTCCATAGGTCATAAAAAGATTATTTTGTAAGGATTGCATTAGCGACATTCAATATTTGTTATCAAATTTAGTTCAAATAGAAGATAAATTATTCCCTATGAAGGGGGATGTTTTTGGTTCAATACACAGAACAAAGAACAACAACAATCATACAAATTCATAATGTCCAGAAACATTTACTTCCAATATATATTATTTCCTGGGTTTTTCAATCATCTGCAAGCGGCTTGCTTATATAACAGATAATCGCAGAACTTAAAGAGAGAGGGAGAGAAGAACCATTCAATTTGATTTATGACAAATAAGCTTGATTGCAAAAATAGGATGAACATGGTAGCGCTTTACGAATGCTTGCAGTCCTTCAAGCGAAGGGCAAAGGAAAAAAAAATAGCCAACTACCAATCAATATCATCACAATAATAATCACAACCCCCCAATATACGACCATGCAAAGAACATTCTTACGGCAACTATCAAGATCCCAAGCCCGTCTAGGACTCTTTTCCAAATCCTCCTCGCAGCCCGCCCGAGCTTCGCCACTTTTCACCCCACCACCAGATTCAACTCCACAAGTAAGACCATCCAATGCTGGGGATTTATTCAAAAAGAATGATATTTTGATGTATGCCGACAAACCCCTAAATTACATCGAATCACTCAAACCCAATGGTTTCCATCTTGCCAATACACTCTTAATCACCTCTCCCAACAGCGCTGGAAATGTGAATGGGTTGGTATTGATCGATACCGAGACAATACTCCAACTAAACCCTCTCCGCTTCCAACCTCTACATATACAACTTAAGGGCCAGAATGTGTTGAATGTGTTTGAGAGGGTGCATCCGAAACCCGAGATTTTGGTTATTGGATTAGGGAAAAAGAGTAGGATGTTGCTGGGGGAGAATAGACGGTTTTTGTTGGATTTGGGGATTGGGTTGGAGGTGAGTCATACTGCTAATGCTGTGGATGTTTTTGACTTGTTGAGTACGGAAAGACCACATGTGATTGGGGCGTTGATGTTGCCTCCAAATGTATAATTTTACGAAAACGGCTTTATTTAATTAATAGAAAATTGTAAATAGGATATGTATAATTAACAATAATATATTAAACCTTTAATGAAATCAAAATACTACGAAATGAATATAAACAATAAAAACAAGTAACTATAAAAAGAAAGGCAACCAAAAAATGTCTGTAAAAAATAAAGTCCATCTCCATATATCCAGGAGTTCTAATTCTTCTCTCTGGGAAATATCCATACCAGAGAGACCCGTAGATCTAAAGACCAGGTGGATATCCCTTCAAATACCCACCACCCCCTTCAGAAGGTGACCCACCCTCATACATCATCGTCATCATCATTCCAGGCGTATTATTATAAACAATAGTATTCTGATTTATAGGTGTCGACATCACCATCATCCCCGAATTATTTCCCCCCACCCCCATCATCATCACCGGCATACCTTGTTGTTGTTGTTGTTGGTGTTTTGGCGGTGGTGGCATTCCTTGCATTCCATGTTGTTGAAGATGGTGATAGTAGTTTGTCAAAGTCCCCGGGGAATGATTTAGGACTTTGTTTTCATTATCCAAGAAGAATTAGAGCCCACAGTCAACGTCGGCTAGAAGCTTGCTCCACACCAGCCAATCCACCCTTGTGTTTGTGTTTTGGGTGGACATGATGCTATGTTCTCTTGTTATATTCATGGAATGGTCGTGGTGGTTTGGAGGTGGGGGTTGATGCGGGGGATGCGTTGATGAAGCCTTATTTTGAGGTTTTAGGAGATCCTGTTGCTGATCTTTTGATGATTTCTTCTTTAGGGTATTTACATCGGTGAATATGATTTGAAATTTATTCATACCGGCTTGCATCTTTTCTTTATTCCGAGTTCTAGAATTACCTTTTGGTTCTTCTTTGATCTCTTCTTTAATATAACTCTTATCATCACCACTGCTTGATGGGATCTTTTTATGTCCTTTAGATTTGGACCTGTGTTTTGAACTTCCCTTGCGTTTTTCATGCGGTTCTTGTGATTTATTACGTTCCGAAAACACACCCATTATCGGCTCAAGCTTAATAGGAACCACCACTGGAGTTGGACTAGGTGGAGGTTCTTGCAGTCGTGGATTATTTTTCCTTCTCCCCCCACCACCTATATTGTTATCATCATCTTCTTCATCTGATTGTATTATCGTAGTTGGAGAACTAGGAGGGTGTAATTTTTGTTTTGCCGGTGTTTCATAGCGTAATTGTGGAGCATTGGTGATATCTGACAAGACGTTCTTTGATGGTGTTTGGAGATAATATTTCTTAGAATCGTTGTTTCTTTTTGGGTCCCCTTTCTCTCTTTCATCCCGTTGCTCTTCTTCATCGCTATCTTCATCAGTCTCATTTTCATCTGGATGCGGAGCCTTGGTTATGATTGATAATTTATGGGGTTGTCTAGGAGGAGTATCTAATTGAGTTATAGATCTCTTAGTGGCAGTCTTGGTTGGATCTTGTAATAAATTCTTCTGAGCACTTCCACCAATATTGGTATTATTATTAATAATTCTAAATTTTGATGGAGTTATAGTTTGTAATTCCCTAATTGGAGTATTTCCAACTGCGAGTGGAGAATCCATAAAGAAATCAGAATAATGGATAGTCTTTTCATTAAATGGAGTCAAATTATTCAATTGAGTTTGTAAATTAGATACCGACCCAGTAGTACTACCAGTTGTACTATTATTATTACTAATATTATTTTGAAGTAATTTTTTACCTCAATTACTTTCTAAAACTATTAGGTATTTAAGTAAATATCTTTTTGAATTACCAATTTGTGTTGATGTAAAAAGTCGACTATTATAAGGAGTTGAATTAAATGATAATATTTGTTCATTTGAATATGTCTTTGATATTAATGGAGTCCAACCTGTAAGATTCGTTTGCTGTGCGTAGAATTTAGAAGCTGAAGGTGGGAATGCAAGTGCCGGGGGTTGGGCTGATGTTGATGATGTTGGTTGTGGTATGGGCGCTTGTGACAGTGTCTGTTGTTGAAATTGAACTGTAGGAGGTGCTTGTTGGTTTTGTATATATGGTGGTTTTATCACCTGCAGTACTGGAGTACCCTTGGTTGGTCCAGGGGTTGTAAGTACCGAGGGCTGTGTTTGTGGTTGTGGTTGTGGTCGTTGTTGTTTTGATTTCCCATCTCCGACATAATTGTATAGTAATGGATCTATCCTGGAAGGGGATGAATTTAGGAAGTCATCTGACATGATATTTAGTGTTTATTAGTGGTTCTGAGTGGATGCGAATCCAGTGTTGTTGAAACGGTGAAGTTGATGTTGTTTGATCCTGATCTGAAATAATGAATGTCTTGTCTAATAAATAAAATGAATGTGTGAGTTGGCCAATAGTAAATGACGGTAGTACTACTTATCAGGGTATGTACTTTCGTATATGGCAATATATATAACTGTAATAGTGATACAAGTATATAAAAGATCAAATGAGAAAGATTTGATAATGTTAATTTTTTTTTTATTGTTTGTGTTCTGGTAATTGATTGATTGATTGTGGCTGTTGAAAATGGAAGCGTTGATTTTAATGAGAGAAAATTTTAAGTAAGGAGACAGACAGACAGGCAGGCAGAGTGAGAAAACAATATGTAAACAAATAATTAAATAAAATTTCATTATTTAAAAAACACGCTTCTACAATTTCTATTTATAAATCAACATTTATGATGATATGCATATGATACATGAATTGGTTACATTTTGCAATCACCATACTACACATCATTACTATCTATCTTTAATATTCTTGGTCAATCTATAAGTAACATTACAGTCATCTGCACCCCCAACCGCCCCCCCGAATTAAAAAAAATTAATTCTTAATTTTTCGCGTCAGTGTTTTTTATTTAACCAATGGTACTTTTCATTCATACTGTAAAAGAGCTGTAACCAACCAACGCTTCAAACTGGAAATAGAACGGTTGTTGGTTGTTGGTTGCTCTACAAGATCTAATGATTTATTGTTCTAAAAATAGGCTTGTCTTACAATCCTCTTTGCGATAAAAGAAAAAGCTGTGTAAAATTCTAGAAAAATAGAAGAAGAATGGGAATGGAATTATTTACAGAACGGAATTATTACATCTACAGTAGAAATAAAAAAAATAATAATTTATATTTTCGCGTCTTTGTGTAATAATGCAAAAATTCTTAGTTCTTTAAATTTAAGGTGACATTTAACATCCTAGTACACCTTATTACATCATCATCATCATATGCTAATTAACTTTTTAACGTGAGGGGTTAATATAAAAACTTCTTCTTCTTTCTATAGAATATGTCATCTTTCTCATCGAATAAATTTAAAACGCTTGGCAATGTAATTAATTACACTCTCCACTAGTGCCACCCCATGGTTGCAAAAAACCTAATTGATACTATACAGTTCACTTATCTATCTATCTCGAGAGAGATATTATAGACTTTGGGAGTAAATTTCAAAAAAACATAAATTAAAATTTAATTAATTATAAAACAAAAAAAATTATATGTAAAAAGGTAAAAAGAAAGACAACAAAAAGCTATCAAAGGAATATACGTAAACAAACAAATAATCAGAATTAAAAATTGGAAAACACACAGAAAGGCATCAAAAGGAATCTTTGCTTTTTAGATGTTAAACTTTCATTCTGTTTACGCAGTGGCAAGATTACCTTCAGCTTTATTCCATTCTTCTTCAGTTACTCTTAAATTTTCTGCTTCATTAGCTAAAGCTTCATCATCATCATAAACTTCTTCACCTTCTTCATCACCAGCAGCCAAAGAAAGGGTTGGTCTAACAGCAGCAGAATCAAATGTCCAAGAAGCTAATGCATTTTCAGCATCAATAATAATTTGTTTAGATGCTTCATATCCATCATATGCAGGTCTTGTTTCACCTGGTGTAACAGGACTTTCATCTAATAATTCCAATAAAGCTTTACCATAACCAGCAATAAGGGCAATTTTTTCAGAATGTTCTCTAATTGAATCAAATTGATAATTAAATGCGGTTTTTAATTTCTCACGAGTAATATTAGATAATTGAGCTTCAGCAACTAATGATTCAGCTTCAGCTCTAACTAGTTCTTGTTCTAAAACATTAATTTTTGGAGATTGAGGATCTTTATATTTTAAATAAGCAATTTGATCAGTAATTTTTTGTTTACGTTCTCTTGAAGGTTGAACACTACCTTCAATATCTCTAATTGATTTCAAAGTGATTCTATATTGATCATATCTATCAATAAATTGATCTTCTAATTCTCCAATTTCATAAATTAATACTCCTAATTTATCAGTAATATCACTAATATCATCATCATTTGATTCACCCCAAATTGATAATTGTTTAGCAACATCTTTACGTTCTCTAGCAGTAATTTCAATTGATCTCATTAAATTCTTTTCCATCTTAATTAAAATAGCCAATTTACGGGCTAATTCTGGACCTAATGCTCCAGCTGCTTGTTTACGGAAACTATGAGTAATTGATCCTTTACCAAAGAATTTAGATTTGGTAGATGATGGTGGTGGGGGTGGAGATTGCAATTGAGAAGCAGTTGGTGCTCTTTGAGATCTCAATGAATAAGTTCTATGCATTTTGTATCTGTTTTAACTATTTGATTGGTTCAATTGGTAGATTACTTCAAGAAAGAAAGAAGAAGAAAGTAAGGAAGATTATAAAATGAATTTGGAAAAAGGGGGCGGAAGCGAAAAAACCGTCAAATAATTCACAAAAAAAAGGGAAGAAATTCCACATACAAACACAAAAATAGAAAGAGTGTGCTGGTTTATTTTAATTAGTCGTGTAATTATGGATAATTTCATTTTATACATACATACATCTTTCACTTTGCTTATTATTGTATTCCAGTTTAGACGATACCTTATAGTCTAATATGAAATAATCCCAATTAGACTTAATTACGCTGTTAATTAGTCAATTAACTGATATGTGTGGATATTAAATGGTTTTTAGCAATTGGCCAAATTGGTCATTCAAATTTTAAGTTGCTCCACTTTTTTCATTTAAATCCTTTTATTTCAAGAATAATTAAATTTATTTTTCGCTTAAGACCACGTAATAATAGAACATTTGCAGCATAACCATTCCTATTCTTAGAAACAAACGCTTAACTACTTCTATTATGTATAATTCCAAACTATACTACAAATAATATTTCTCGGAATAATCAATTGAAATTTTCAAGTGGACAAGACATTTAATTAACTCAGCCAGCCAAGAGTTTGGGAAATAGATAATCCGAAACAATTATTTATCGTTTAAGGTTTTTATTCTTTTTTTTTTTCTGTCTCCGAATTTTCCACTTTTGTCGCCCAATTAGGAAATCATAATGGGCTTGCTCCGGCAGCAACTAATTAGGATGGGAATACTTTTTAAGATGGTTTTCAACTTGGCTCAAGCTCTAAAACTTTAGGAAGACTAGTTGTAACTAGCAACTGTTTGCCAATTGGATTTTGGAAAACAACATCACAATTGCTATCAACAACAGCTGTCTCTGCCTTCAAAAGCAACATAAACTTAATCTCATCCTTAAAAATAAACTTTATTACTTACCTAATCAAGTGTACTACCTATACGATACTATGGAGGTTATTACAGTTCAAAATATGACGCAACATAGTAAGATCAACTCATGATGGAACATCAGTTATAATCACAACCAACATATCCACAACAAGAATGATACAAATCGCCTATAGACATCTTAGGACATTTTAAAACCAAACCCCAAGATCATCATGATCAACCAGAATTCATATCAGAGTATTTAAAAAAATCCAATTGAGTTATAAAACATGAGCGGCCTGGATAATTAGAAAAATAGAGTCAAGGAAGAAGAAGAGATCTATCTAGGATTGAGCAAGATTGACAAAAAGAAGTAGTCCTGGCCCTCATGGGTTTTAACAATGAACTGAACTTCTATAAACACAACTTGGAATTCCCTTTGCAGGAGAAAGAACAACAGGTTTAATAAAA